GAACTCAAGCACCCATTAACTTTGGGTGAGCCTAACACAGGGCTGCTGTAGCGTACCAAAGACCCTTTCCTGCAGAGCTGGTGCCTGGACTAGATAGGACACAGAAGGAACAAGGGAATGTGCCCAATGGAAGTGCTGGAAACAGAGCCCAGGTTTTCCATTCTCATGCTCTGAGGCATATTTGCTCCCAACAGACAGGTACATATCCCCTCAGGATACAACAGCCATAGTCTCAAACAATTCCATCCAGCAGCCAGGCTTCAACCCTCAGGGCACCACCACAATAACCCCTGTGAGCTGCCCTGTTCCTCATGGAAAAACACCCCCAGAATCTCTATCACTTCATAAACCTTTAAAACCCAAACCTGGTTGGAGATACTTACCCTGGTTGAGATCATTTCCCCTAGGCTGCCTGTCAGTCCTGGTTTGTACATTACTGGCAGCTCCCAGCACCCTTTGCTGGGAAAAAGGAGGGTTGAGAATTACAACAGCCCTGGAGAACTTGGCTTTAAACAAAGAAACAAACCCCAGCTTCATCATCCTGTACAGTTCTATTGTGATTCCAAGTGTAACACAGAGCAAACAGTCAGTGCCCTGTCAGAGGAGACACCTGAGATAGTTCAGCTCATTTCAAGTGGCTGAAAACTGTCCTTAAAGCTTTTTCCTACTTGCAACTAGAACTGCACTAAAGAACATTCTCCCATCCACTGAAGCTTGGTTTCCTGTCCATGCAGACATCCCATCTGTTAGTATTGCAGCTAGAACTGCCAAGAACTACCTTTAAGCCCAGCTTGTGCTAAATGGGCTCCCTTTACCTGTGAGTCCCATGGAGGGATGCTCTGTCTTAGCAATGTGTCTTACTAATAGCTTTAACCTGAAGGGAGATTGAGACGAGCTCTTAGGCAGAAGCTCTTCCCTGTGAGGGTGCCCAGAGAAGCTGTGGCTGCCTCATCCCTGGCAGTGCTCAAGGCCAGGTTGGACACAGGGGCTTGGAGCAAGCTGCTCTAGTGGGAGGTGTCCCTGTTCATGGCAATGGGTTGGAACTGGATGAGCTTTAAGGTCCCTTCCAACACAAACCGTTCCATGATCTCCATTTAAAGATCCCCAATATTTTGCCTAAAGAAAAAGCCTAGGAAAAGTTGCCAGGCATTTATAAATAAGCACCGAGGGCCTGAGTGAGACATCAAGAACAGCCAGGATGCAGCCTTGCTCCTTTTCCACCCAAGCTCTGAGCACTTTGTTTTCTACCAGCACTGATCCAGCTCCATGCGCCAGCCTGGCCTTAACACCTCTTCTCACAGCTCCTGCAGGAAAATAAGCTCTGCAGAAGCCCCTGGGGAAGAGGAGCACTCCTTAAACACAGCAAGACAACAAACTCTCATCCAGTTGCCTCCTGCCAGCTCCAGCTCTCCACCCCATCAACCAGGGCCACTCACAAAGAGGCTCCTTTCCGGAGGGCTGTGAAAGCTGCATTGCTCTTCCAGGGCTCTGCTGGCCAGGCACAGCTAGAGGGAGAGCAAACAGCGAGCAGGAAAAGCAATAAACACTGAAACAGCGAGGGGAAAACATGCAGACAGTGTTTATGCCAAGCAAACAGCAAACAACACTTTCCTTGCTAGAAAGCCAAGCTGCAGTAAAGAACCAGAGTAGAGAGTGCATCTAACAAAGAGGCAAGGGCTTTAAATGAGATTGAAGAACCTGACCTTAAAATTAAACACAAAATCTGGGGAGAGGTTATGGCCTGAGCTCTATTCTCAGGCCTACCTGGGAGCCTAGAGGCTGTTTGAAATCAGAACTGCTTGCCACAGGGGGAATAAAACCACTCTACCCTTTCTGAGCCTGGGAATAGAGGTTATTAAAGTAGTAATAAAGAAACACTCCCTCCCTCCCTCCCCCCAAGCATCACATAAACAGTAGACTTACCTGAATAACAGATACAGCTTCTCCACTCCACAGGGACCCAATACCTGCTCATCAGTACTAATACTATAAACACCTTCGTATCCTTTCACCTCTGGCTATTTATCAGGGGAACACTGAGTCCTAGGAACTCTGCAGGGAGCCAGCCATCCTGCAGGATATTTGCTGCACCTGAGCCCCTGTCATGGCCTTTTAGCCTTCATTGACACCAGCCTAACCTGAGCATCACCCGAGTGAGAATCAGCTCTGTAATAAATGGGAGTTTGAGACTTCCTTTGCATGGGTATGAGCCAGGACACAAAGCAGTAAAGACTCAAAGTCTTCTTGGTACTTGGATCTGTTGTTGCAGGTTTACCAGCTCTTTGGAGTCTGATGTTAGGGCTCTCTCCATCACTGTAGTTACAATGCCGAAGTATGTGGTACTGATTTCTGAATCTCACTACTATTAGTGCTATATAGGACTTATTTTACTCTGCTTTTTAATACAGTCATCAACTCAGAACAGTTTTCAAACTACCCTTGAGTTTTCCTCGCAGACTAAACATTTAACTCATGTTCCGTTGCTCACTTCTATTTGCAGGCCTCTCTCAAAGAAGAGGCTTAGAAAGGGTTTCTCTCTCTGTTTGATTTCATCACTGTCCTCGGCACTGATTTATAACCTGCACCTATTTATAACGACAAGTTTTATATGACAAACTACTCATTTTGCTTGAAGGTTAATAGCTCACCATTGGAGGGGAGTTTACATGTGAGGAAAGGCAGGGAATCTGCTGCTAATCCAACATAAATACCCCTGGAGTCAGTCTGGAGCATGGCATCGAAATCATTTACAAAACCTGAAATCTGAATAGAACTTAAACCCTCATAACCTGTCAGCTCCCAGCCAGGGAAAACAGCCCCAGAGTGCCTGCAACTGGAATATCCCTGCCTGGGAGATGGCTTTTATTTGTCTGGAGCAGTCAGCACAGAGAGCAAGGGTTGAACTGGACAGCCCTGGCAATGGGATGTGGCTCTCCTCAGCTCCTAATGCTAACATGGCCTGTCAAGGGCTACTTTAAGGCTCTGTGTGAATTCACTGCAGATTCCATGTGTGAAGGGCTGGTCCAGCACTGCACTGAGCCAGTCAGCTTGGTGATAAATATGAGAGTAGTGAAAAGCAGCAAGATGGGGACAACCCAGCAGGTTTTAGTTACTATAGCTCCATAGGGCAAAATTAGAATCATAGAATAGTTCGGGTTGGAAAGGACCTTAAGATCATCAAGTTCCACCCCCCCTGCCATGGGCAGGGACACCTCACACTAAACCGTATCACCCAAGGCCTTGTCCAAAATTCATAGTGGCCACATCAGCAGAAACCCTTCTGGAGTTAAGCCCTGGACTAGATACATCCCTACACTCTGGGATGAATCGCTAACATCTTTACCAGATATTCCACCAGCCTCAGTGGCCTCTGTCAGGCTCATAAATCAATTACAAGGTGTTTTGTAAGGGCACCCACCGTGGGAGCTAAATCCTCCTCCTAGTGATACTACCCAGCCTAGAGCTTTGAGACAGGCATCTTCCAGAAGCACAAGGCTGTGATATTTACCAGCCTTGCTAAGCACGTAACTTCAGCTTGCAGCTGGAAACTTAGAGCTGGAATCTGTTTAGAAGGAGGAAATATGAGTGAAGATGATGCTTTTATAGACACTGAAATTAGCAGTCAGTGCTCATCGAGGATGGTTTGATTTACTGGGCCTGAAATACACCCGAAGCCACAAAGCAGCTTGTTCACATCACAGCCTGTGTAAGAGGGAGGTGTAGCAACCAGAGTAATGTGGTGTATAATGAGTATTGAGCTCAGAGGGTCATATGGGGCCACAGCATCAAACTCAGTGCCAGTATCTTAAAAGCAAGAAGCTCTCGGGTAGGAAAAATTCATGTGAGAGATCCCTGGATAGGGAACACATCTCCCTCATCTGAGAGCTGCACAGAGCATTGACCCTAAGAAAACCAGGCTGATTTGCATTAGTTTTGTCTAAATCTGAACTATATACACAACAAAAAGCCCAGTGCAGATGGCTGCAAAGATGGGTTGAGGCTTTTGTAGAGGAAGGGCATAAAAAATGCAGCAACTAGTTGTGTTTGCTGTTCTGCTAACACCTCAATAGTGAGATGTCCCCATCATATCCTTCTGCCACAGCACATAGATAGAGCACTGGGCATGCTGGAAGCATCCAGGAAACAAAAAAAGGGCATTTAATTTGTCCCCTCTTTTAGACTTCTCCCCTTGCGTGCCACAGAGAGCCACTGCCACTGGGTGGGATTAACATCCTTGGCCATTAAACCATCAGCTCGAGTACATGGGGTTTATTCTGTTATAAACAACTTCTTCAGCCTGAACTCAGTCCTCTTGAGCTCGTAGTTTCTTGGCCTATAAATGTAATGCCTAGAGAGGAGCAGCCTCGCACACCATTAATCTCCTCACTCCAAACAGCACAGAAGCTTTGCACAGTGTTTGTCCCAGGCACAGCCCAGCCAGGAGCCAAGTGTCCACATCAGTCACGGGGTTGGAGGCCCAGCCTCAGCTCCCTGCAGGGCTCTTTCCACCCCTCTGACCCATCTGACTGCTGGTCAGACCTTCTCATACTTACACTAAGTGCTGCTGAAGAGCCAAGGTACAAGAGAACTGAGGCCTGGGAGCATTCAGAGCTAAAAGACTCTTTAAGAAAGGGGGGTGGGGTGGAATAAAGGAAAAAATTAGGGGAAAAAGGAAAAAATAGGGGGGGAAATAGGGGAGGGAATAGGAGGGAGAAAAGGGGGGGGGGAGGGGAAAGAATGGGGAAAGAAGAGGGAAAAGAAGGGAGAAATAGGAGTCTTTTGGCTGAAAGACTTTGGTGATGCAGAAGAAAGCTCCTTAAGGGGCAGCAGGCATTCCAGCAGCTCCTAGTACACTGGGGAAGCACCCATGGGGACAGCGCTTCTTATATACATAAGGGAGAAGAGGTACAAAGGCAGAACAGTTAGTCTCCTACTAAGGAGATGGTGAGAGTAAAACACAGCAAAGAAGGGGGGAGAAATAAGTCACAAATCCCAAACCAAAGTGTGACAAACAGCTTTAGTTCTACAGCAAAATAAATATTATAACTCTGATTTACTCAACAGTGAGACTTGGCTCAAACCCACCTATAGATACACAACATATGCTGCATGTCACACCACTTGGATTCTGTCGCTGCAAGTCGTGCAGGAAACAGCCCCATTTATTACAGATACACAGTACAACATACAGTAATACATGCTGGGATAGGGGCTGTGTGCCCTTACTCCACTTACTCCATCAAAGCCAATCTTTATTGATAGGGTTTAGTGATGAATTCATGTGTTACATTGCTTCCTGAAGCTCCAGAAATGATGACTCTTGCTACTTGCTGTGCCTCTAAATAGCATGTTCTCCCCAAAGTGTACCACAAAAAAATCCATAGGAATTCCGGCATGTATTGTGGAGCAGGAATGAATATATGGACATTGATAGCTGCTGTATTTTAGACAGTCATACAGGTCCAGTTAGGACAGCCACATCCCTTTGATTAGAAAGCGAATTCACCCGTGTGTACTTGTGTAACAGCACTACTTGATTACTCCCTGTACCCTGATCATACCCTCTCCCTTCCTCTTCCTGTAGGCATCACTTGAATGTTCTTCCTAAAGGACAAAAAAACACCATTTAGCACCCTTAAAGATCTGTCTCAAGGTATTTATAATGGAGATGAAAAAGCCAGTTTCATGCCTGGTTTACAGCTCTTGAACTAAGACATCTTTGCTTACCACCAACTCCATCAGCAGTGTTACTGAAGCTTGTAGGGACATCACGGGTTGATCAACCTGAACAGCAGACCCAGCAATAGATGACATTGTTTCCACACCTCCTGCTGGCCCCAGCAGTGTGTGTTTTCATTGCACAAAGATATTGTAATTGATAAAAATGGAGCACAGTGATCAAAGGGATGTGCTCCATTCCCTGCAGACATTCCAGAACAAGTATCTGGACTCCAATTTGGGCTTTGCTACCACCTATTTATGACACTGTGGCACTGTTGGATCAATACAAGGGCCAGGGGTCTGTTGGATGGGAAAGCTACAGAGGTTCATTACATGAGTGGGGTTTTTGAACAACAAGGATGTTACCGCATCTTGGGTAACACCTTGAAACATCAACACCCTTTTACTCTCTTTAAAGGACTTTATATCCTGGAGCTGTATGCAGAACACTTTGGGGCTGGATCTCACATGCTTACATCCAGGAACATTCACCGGATGGTCTTTTAGATGGTCTTTGTGAGCACTTTAACCCAAGCAGAGCTTAGACAGACTCCCTGTGATCCCGGCCACTGTTCCCCTGCAGTTGAACAAGCACCAAGCAGATGACATACCTGATCCAAGGCTGCTCTCCCCACTGCCTTTGCCAGGCTTTGACAACCAGTGTGATGCATTTGACACATTAACAAACCCACACGTGTATCTTACTAAAACATAAGAACACAAGTAGGGGAGTTCCTGCTAGAACTGGTGCCATTGGCCTTACCATTTCATAAAGCCCAAATTTACAGGCAGCGAGGTATTCACTCCATCAATCGCATCAAGGCAATACTTAGATGTAAAGAACCACAATTAAAGAGTTCAGCCCTTGGATTCCCATTTCTGAAGCAGGCATTGTCTGAGAATTCAACATACTACTTGTCAATACATCCAATTCTGAACATGAGAGAGGGCTTGTACCATTTACAGCTGAGTGTAAAAAGCGGTTTTGCTGGCAAACCCTTGTCTCCTTCCTCCCCAACACATAGAATATAGTCACTGTTTTACTTCCCCTCTCAATCCTTCATTTACAAACTCAAGCACCACACAGTCAATCCCAAAAGACACGCTGATTACAAGTGCTATTGTGTTCTAACGTAACAAATGCCAAACCTCAGCCTATTGTTCAGTGAGCACTGGTGAAGCACAAATTCAATATCACAGACCTCATTTCTGAATGATAAAAGTGTATTCTTTATGATGAATGAACTGGTGTGGACCTTGAAAAGCCTCCGAAAGCAAGCTGAAGTAGCTGTGAAGGGAAAGGCTCTTTGCCTGGTTAAAAGGATGCCAACAGGAAGCAGTCTTCAAGAGGCAAAGTAAAGGTTTCTTCAGTCAAATATACACTGCAAGGCTCTAATCCGTATCCTTCCCTGCTGCAGACGATGCTATGCACCCATTAACATGCCCATGAAATCAGATCCATTCTGGATGGTGATGGGGGCTCCAGCGCTGTTGTCGACAAATATGGAGGTGTACTGGCCAGCCTGCAGAGGGAATGAGAGGGAAAGGAAAGTATCTGACAGTTCATCCCAGTGTAAAAAGGTAGAGGGGGAAAGCATTTCACTACTGTGGACTAAGCACAGGGGTCTCCTGCACTTTTCTGTGGCTCTGGGAACAGGATCTGACCTGTTCATTTAGTGCAGCTTTGACCTGGGGGAAGATGTGTAATTGTGTTATAGGTTTATTACTTAGATCCTTACTGCACCTGCATCTTTTTGGGTGACGAGCCAAGTAAGTCATCCATGCTTCAGATTCCTTTCTATGTAATGGGAAGTAGAATTGTACCTTGACAATGCTGGGGGAGATGTGAGCAATGGAATACTGTCATTTCTTAGAGGGAAGGTTACCTCTGTAGCTTGAAATCAGAACATTTAACACAGGTCTGGCTTTTGTTCCTGTTGCTGCCCCAGATTCTCTCTAATCACCCCAGGTAAGGCTTTTAACTTCTTTAACCTTAGAAAGAAGGTTAATAAAGTCTTCCCCATCTCCAGGTGGGAATTCAGCCTTGCCACTAAAGAACGACACAGCCTGCCAAGCAAATTAGCACAGTGATTCCCAGCTTCCATAGGCTTACCTGCAGCTGCAGTAAGCCATGGACATAGATAGTGAAGATCTTGCTGTTGCTTTCCAGACCAGCAATGACTTCCAAAGACCTAAACAGTAGCAAAGGAAAACAACAGGTTAAACGCCTCAGGAAGTCACAACAGATGTATGTGGAGTGACTATAGTCTCATGAGCTCCCTAGAAATAGGGCCTGGTGGTTCTAGTGCCCATCTCTACTAAGCAGGTGGAATGTTGACCTGATTCTAGCTGTGATAACTGCCTTGAAGAGAGAACAGTAGAACCTTGTCCTCATGGTAGGTCTAATGGAAGACCTACAGAGGGTTCAGGATTGTGAATGCAGAACTCAGCTGGAGCCACCTTCTTTCACAGAGGCCTTTCTGGAGGTCCTATAGTCTCTGTCCCCTACCCCTGAAGAGGTGCTGCACACCCCCTTTAGATTTCCCTGTGTACCAGTTATCCCAGTTTGTTGACTGCCACAACAGCTCCAAAGCAGTATGAAAGCGCAGAGCTCCATGCCTGCTTCCTCTGAAATCTGCCCAGCCAGTGGCAGCAGATCTAGTTGTTTTCCCAAGAAATCCAACGCCTTTCCTCACTTTTTTCCATGAAGTGATGGTGACAAAACCTAGCAAGTGCAAACGTGCTGTTTCCAGCCCCCTTGCAAGGAAATAAGATGCATGAGAGGTAGGGGAATTTGGCCCAAAGAGAGCAAGTCACTTGGCACCACCTTGACTGTAGAGCACAATCCGTGTGTCCTATCCTGCCAAAAGCCTGGCTTGGGTGGGAACTTCCCACCATTAATCTCTTTTACTCCAACTGTCTCCTTGCCTCCCAGTTTCCATCTCTCTCAGCCGAAAGCCCTCAGGGCTCTTTCAGCTCCCTCAATGAATGACTGTGTGTGCTGACATCCCCAGGAAATTCTACAAGCCTCAGTGGCAGGCAGCTCAGCCTCTGCCAGCAGTGTCTGTCCAGACAGGTTCTCATCCCTCAACCCATCTTCCTTCCATGCCACAGACCAGTCACACTCTCACCCACCACACGAGAGGTGTCTCAGAGACAACAATGAATCTGCTGATGCTAAAAGCAGATTCTAAGAGCTTTCAGCTCCTGCAATGAGGAAGGCACAGGAGTTTTCCATGGCCCCACAAGGAATCTTGCTATTCAGGTAACTCTTGTGCTCACATTCACCAGAACAGGGAAGCAAAACTTAAGTCGTTCACCTCTATTTTCCACCTATTCGTTCTCCTCATCACTGCAGCACTTCCATGGCAACATGAGTGAGATGCTGTGGTGCATACAGGATGCAGCTGAAATCATCAAAATTGAACCTCTGGCACTAATCTGAAGTGTTTCTCTCATTCTGTTCGTGATGATAGCTGAGCATTCAGCATCTTCAGCTACATCCAGTTTCATTCACACTTCTCTCAAGATGTGCAGTATTCAGCTATTTAGAACAACTGGCACTGAAAAGTTACAAACCAGCATAAAAAAAAACATTTAAAAGCTAAGGGCCAGATGGAATCTCTCCTCAGAGAAGTTCTACAGGCATTTATCATATCAAATTCACTGCTGGTGAACCCGATTTCCACACTTGATTGGATCATTGGCCCATCTGAGGAAACCAGTTGCCACGGCAGCGTTGTTGTAACTCACGTGTATCGGTGGCACAAGGATTCGATGCAGATCAGCACTCGGACGTTGTCTCTGGCTCGGAGCTGGACTTTACTCTTCAGCTCACTGTGATCTGAAGGAAGCAGTAGAAGCAATATAAGCACATCACAGAGCACCAGTTGCTGGTGTCTGGCTTAGCAGAGACACCATGAATCTTATGGCTCGTGGTTGGGTTTGCATGGCATTGTTTGGGGAGGGGGCTTCTGTAAGAAGGTGCTAGAAACTTCTATGTGTCTGATAGAGCCAATGCCAGCTGGCTCAATGCATACCCACCACTGGCCAAAGCCAAGTAAATCAGCAATGGTGGTAGCACCTTTGGGATAACACGCTTAGAATCAGAATAGTTTGGGTTGGAAAGGACCTTTAAAGGTCATTTAGTCATCTAGTCCAACCCCCTGCAGCCCGTGGTGAAGACCATGATGAGGCAGGCTGTCCCCTTGTAGTCCATTGAAGCTGTAACTTCCACACATGAATATCACCCATAGGGAGTGTTATGTGCTTGGCTTGCATGGAGCAGCCTGCTGTGGCATTCAGTCTGTGAAAGTACCCAGCTCTAAGGACAGGGGTTTGGGCCATGGTACCAACGGGAGAGCTCACTGCAAAATACTGCCATTACCCATGCTTCAAATCAGACAGGACCCAGAGAGTTCTGCAAGGCTCCATCCTGCACCTCTCAAGCAGTACAGGATCGGTTTCTGTGGGCACCACTCACCAATGTGGATGTTGGCTGAAAACTGGTAGATGCCGGACACGGGTGCTGTGAAACGCCCTGTGGCCAGGTTCAGTCCTGTCCCCCGGAGGAAAGCGCCTTTGGCCAGAGGCTGTAAGATGGGAAAAGCAGACCTTGAACAAGTGCCCAGCACCCCAACAATCACCTCTGCCCGTGACAAAGAACAAGCTTACGTGCATGAGAACAAAGCTACTGCCTTGTCTCCCCAGAACACACCTTCCAGATGGGTTCTCTCTCAGCCTCTGGAACCCACAGGAGGCAAAATGATCAGTATGAGACATGAAGATGCTCTTTTTGCTCACTGCTGAGCTCTTCTAACCCATCTTGACTCACTGTGCTCACTGCATCCCTAATGCTTTGCTGGTCCTGTTGGCTTCTAGCCTCCACTGCTGTTCTGATACACAAGATCATAGAATAGTTCGGGTTGGAAAGGACCTTAAGATCATCCAGTTCCAACCCCTGCCATGGGCAGGGACACCTCCCACTAAACCATGTCACCCAAGGCTCTGTCCAACCTGGCCTTGAGCACTGCCAGGGATGGAGCATTATATGATCTCCCATTACATGAGTCAAAAGATCCCTACTGCTCCCAAACACTTCCTAGATGGGGCCAAGCAGTGTCCCCAGGCTTAAAAATGGGACCTTATGCATTGTTTTGTGACACAAGTACAGAGGAAACACTCCTATGGGGCTCTACCCACTTGAGGTCTAAGTCAGGCAGCTTTGATACTGTTGAAGAACAACCGCTTGGATCCTTACACATCCCATACTCAGTTTCATTTCGTTCTAGCTTTGGGTTCTCCAGAATAAGCAAAACCCCGCAGCATCTCCTCCTGTCCAGGAAGCAGCTCTGAGTCAAACTCACAGCCCACGATCTGACTCGGGCTAAAACAAACTCGAGGAGAAATGTTTATTGTTTGCTTTGGCCTCAGATTCAGATTCAGCCTGAAGCTGGAGCTGGTGGAGAAGCAGCTTCACTGGGCCAAGGCAGCACATTAGGCAGCCTCTGCTTCCACCACAAGGGCATTCTGTGCAGTGTGAGCGTTGTCCTGAGAGGTGTGCTCTGCACTGGGCTTAAGGCACAGAAGAGCTGTTCAAACCTGGTTCAAATACCCCAAAACCATGCACAACACATAATAACCCAGCATTTGAGTATGGTTTGCGCTATTAGGTGGTGAAAGGGGCCTGAGACATGGGTGAAGTTTGTAGCAGTGTTGCCATGGGTGCTGTTAGGCTAAAAATATAGTGGAACACCTTTGTTCAAGTACTAGAAGGAAGTTGTTTGCTATTCTAGTTCATCACAGCCAGGAATTGAGAGCTTTCACAGTGCAGGGTAGGATTAACACCCTTAGCTTTCTCTTTGATGGGAAGTAAAGCTGCACATATTTGGGTCTGGTGGTGTTTGTTATAGAGTTACCACATGGTAGAAGGAGTGCAATGACTAACCTGCCTTGAGTCAGCAAATCCCAGGCAAGGCTCAAAGAGAAATTCCTTCTTCACTCGATTTAGCTGAAGCCTTAATATTTCATAGGGCTGGAAATGATTTATGTATGCAGATGGTGGGGAAAATATATCCATGTTTGCAACAGCAGGGACACCTCCCATAAGTATAATGGCAAAACAGTGATAATGAGCTGCAGAACAGCTACATTTCATATGTTTATATACTTTTTTATATATTTATCAATGTGCACTGATGTATAGAATCATAGAATGGTTTGGGTTGGAAAGGGCCTTAAGATCATCTAGCTCCAACCCTCTGCTATGGGCAGGGATGCCTCACACTAGACTATGTATATGCCCATGTGCATATATATAACAAAAAAGGAGCTCTGTTTTCTTTGCATATACATATGGTCAATGTATCATCTAACCTAACAACGAAGACTATGGAAGGAGCTTGATTCTGTTCTTATGCTATCACTACATCATCATTTTTGGCAATGGTATTTTGGGTTTATCTCACTGAAAGAGCAGATCCAAGCCCTGTATGTGTAAAGCTGCACTGCATAGTTAATTCATTCCTTTCTTGTTACAGCTATTAGCAGAATCAGCAGCATAATTCCAAACCCACTGGCTGGGCATGGAAGGCAATTTTAGGCACCAGTAAATTATCACTGATAAAACATTCCTGTTTCTTCATGCCCTCTGTGGCTTTGTTATTCTTTTTGCTCAGAGAAATAGACAAGGCAGGGTGAGGTTCTCTGGGCAAAAGATTCCATTAAAGCCCATGCCAATGAGAGCTCCTGCTGCATTTGCTGCCTCGAACACTGCAGGGATTTCTAGCTGCGAGCTAACCACTTGCACACAGTCATTTCAGTGAGCAGACCAACAGCAAACGAACGACTTATGTACAGCCATTCTGTACAAGGCCAGCTTCTCTTCCTCAGTTCATCTTCCTCGTGCACTCCGTAGTTTATTTCTGGGTGGAAAATGGGAACCATGCACAGAGGATTGAGATGTTTCACTTCTCAGTAATAAACAACATGGAAAGCAATGCATTGACTTAGCCGGTATATAAGGAAACAGCTCAGTTGTGCCTGCACAGCAGCCACAATGTGCAGAGGATGCTCCACTCTCCTGAAGCAGCAATAACATTCAGGTGCCAGAGGCAGACATTTAGCTGGACCTTAAGGCACTAGAGAAACCAGGACTGCAAAGCACATGGACCACCTTAATCTTAAATGGTGTGATTCCAGTAACATTCCTGGGTTCCAGATAAACCCCACTTCCATGGCATGTCAGAGGCTGCAGTTACTTCAATCCTGGCTGGGTAAAGTACCATCCTGAAAGCCTTTCAAGAGGCAATCGTTAGAAACCTCAAACAATGAGATACAGGAGGAAGAAGTGTGGGGAATTTCATTCCAGATACCAAGGAATTTGTGAGACCAAGAGGAAAAGAAGGAGGGAATATTCTTGGAGGAAATTTAGCATGGGAGGATGAGAAAACCATGATGCACTCGTACTCAAGGTCGGAGTGACTTAGACACCATCCTCAAATGACAGTGTAGAAGTGATATCCTGACACAGGGTCTTTCCACTATCTCAGAATGCTTTGGGTAAGGTCCAAATCCAGGAATTAGAGTCAATCCTTATCATTGCACTGAGAAGTAGCAAACTGTTGGCTTCTTCACACTATTAAACTGACGCAATGGAGGCAAAGGAATTATCTCTCTCTCTCCCCCTTGGACTGTTCAAAGCCAATGTTTTCATATTTGCAAGAACATCCACTGTCTCCCTCCCTGCAAATTCCCCTATATCAGAGCACAAGCTAAAACCAGACACTTCTTGTCCCAAAGCTGAAATGAAAGGCTGGCATCCAGAGCCCTGCCAGCCCTCCCACAGCAGCTTCAGGGCCAGGAGCAATTAGAAAGTAGCTAGGCATGGGATAACAAAGCATGGGAAGCATCAGCCTACACACTGATTGCTGAGATGTCTTTATTCACATTTTCCCTCCTCATTAATGAGGCAGCAGATCTCTTTAGCCCTGCCCACACTTCAAGTACAATCTTGCCTCCATGCCAGCACCCACAGTGCTGTCAAACCAGGCTTCCATAAGTATATCTGGGAAAGGTCCAGGAAAGCACCTTGTTTAGAACATAACCACTGCCTCTAGTGCTGCAGCTGGGAGAGGTCCTAGCAGCAAAACTGCTCCATAGGAAAGGATCTGCTGGGCAAGCTTCTTCCAAAATGGGACTCAGGGCAGCTGGGAAGCTCAGCACCTTCCTACATGGGCACTGTTACAAACCCTGCTGAGGAAAGCCATATTTCCTGTTCATAGTCTTCAAACGCTTCTTAGCACATCACAAAAGCAACCACATACCTGAAGGCCTTTCGCTATTAGACAGTCTTTGTGACTCCAGAGTCTGGAGTAATTCCCCTCAATTACCAAGGAACTATTTGGTTGTAGCTATTACATTGCTTAACATCTGTACTTCAGATTCAGGCCCTATTTGCAGCTGGTTAGTAAGAGTTTTAATAGCAGATTCAACAGCTTGCTTGTAACAGTGATTATGCTGACCTACAGCATCCCCTGGTAGTGTGCTCATCATTATAACATGATTGTAATGAAATTATAGAGGTAATATTTGCTAGTCTTCTATAAGATATGAAGTAAAGAATTTGAGCATCAGGACTGGTCTATCTAAAAAAATGATGTCTGGGCTCTTATTTGGCCTCACAAATCCATAACCAATGGCTTCTGTCTGCCTCTGCCATTTTTCTACATCTAAACATTACTTTGGAATTAAACAGGGTGTGCACTGAAACAAGAAACAGCTCCTTCACACTAATGGCAGACATGGACAAGTCTTTCTCCATCATTAACTGAAACAAAACCTGACTGTTGTTTGGACCTGTGAGACAGCCCTCTCTTGCACAGACCTGTTAGAACTTCAGTAAGAACTGTAATGAGGTTCAGCTAGAGGCGGGGAAAGGCTGCCTCTTGGGTTTGTCAGGAAGCTAAATGTCCATCTAACTGCAGTGAGCTTCAGCACTGAAATCATAGAATCAACTAGGTTGGAAAACACCTTTAAGATCATCACGTCCAACCTTTACCCCAGGACTGCCAAGACCATCACTAATAAACCATGTCACATCACCATATGAGATCCTACTTCTGTCAATCACAGAAAAGGCAGCACTGTATTCATAGTATCCAAGCCTGAGGGATTAGTCTGCCCTTTCAGGAAGCACCTTTAGCCACAGAGCCACCCAGCAGCTTTGCAGACGAGGGGGACTACAGCTGATCTACGCATAGTGGCTGCTGTGGAGTTGCACAGGTTCAGTCTGTAATCCCTTCTCACCGACTGGAAATTCTGAAGTTCTACCAGGGTCTTCTTGTCTACAACGACTTGTCCTTTTAGCTTGCAGTGGAATGCCTCCTCGACACGTCTGTGGGCCGAAACTTCCTCCAAGGAGAGCAGGAGGGGAGGCAGCTGGCTAGGATGGGCTGAAATAGCCAGGGATGCTCGGCGCTCAATGGCTTCTGGGGAAAGAAAAGGTATAGGAAAGGCTTAGTTTAAGAGCCTGGTCTGTGAAGCCATTAGTTCTGCATTTAACTCTTCAATTTGAACTAAGCAGCAATGGGGAAACATTTTGTCACATTTTTGATTCCCAGATAGGGGAGTGCTTTCAAAGCCAGTTCTTCACTTGCCATGGTGCTCACCAAAAGAGGCAGCTCACAGCGGCACAAAACACAGTCTTTACCTTTCAGTATCTCCTTAAACTCCTGCAGAAGGACTTCCCGGGTGACTTCAGCACCAGGTGCTCCTGGAGGCCCCTGGGGACCAGGAGGTCCTGGGGGTCCAACAAGGCCACGCTAAGGAAGTAACCAAAGAAACACAGGTGAACTAGAAGCAGGCTGTTGCACTGATAGAACCAGAACACTCTCAGCCATGAGCCGGTCCTACAGCCACGTGAGCAGCACCCAATACTCTCAGTTCAACTATAGATAGGCCTGATGCAGTAAATCTTAAGCCGGTCTCCAGCCAGCTGTGAATTCCAGCACTTGGAATTCACTCCCATCTTTATGTAGGAGGATAAACTTTGCTCAGGTAAACACCAACTGGTTCTTCAAGTACCTTTATACAGCGTGAAGCACAACAGGCACAACACTAAGTTTGCTGCTTCTGTATCTTCTTGTAGCACCAAATCATACTGGCCTTTAAGCTTCTTATTCTATTTTCTAACCAGAATAACCATCTAGCTACACTTTGGGTAGATACTAATATAACATATATTAATATCTTAGATAGATATTAATATAGATATTAATATTAATATATTTTGCTTACAGTGGTCACATACATGAATATTGGTGCAACAGTAGAGCTCTTGGGAAAAATGAAACAGTTCATTCAAAGCTTTAAACTAGAGGCATGAACACAACAGTGTTATCAGGGCTATTTTGATGGATGAAGTTCCTGTTTCCTCAACGAAACTGCAGTAAGCCTGCATGGAAGCACTCCTGCCTATCAGCTCCCTCAGAAATAGAAGGAGATCATTAAAAGCAGCACTTTAAAAGTGCACATATGGTCAAGGAGCACCCAGGCAAAAGCTGGAGCATAGGAAACACCTTGCATATCAGTGTAGGAAGGGAAGCTGCAGTGCACATGTATTAGCTGATGGCAGCAGAGCAATAACCTACTAGTTTCTTGTCTTTGCCTTTGCATTTCCTTTTAGAGGTGTTGCCATCATCTGGGCGGTGAACAAAGGAGATCCAGGTCCGCCGTGGGTCTGTGATTCGAGGATCTGGAGATTCTAGGACCTAGAGAGAAACAAGAACAAAGACCCACATCACTGTAGCTCCCTGTACCTCTGTATCCCATTGAATCGCATGGATTCAGAGAATGCAAAGTTTCCAGACCAGAAGGAACCAGTAAGAGCAAGGAGCTGGGAGCCGGTGTACATCAGGGACCTTTAGCTGCTGAGACTCTCAGCCCTCTGACAGTCCTCTTATGTACCACAGAAAACCTGCCCAGATGCCAGGGATTGTTCACCACTGACATCCAATACAAATCAGTTGGATCAATCAAGCAATACAGGAGATTAAAATGTACAGAAAACCTTGAAATGCTCCAGAACTTTCAAATCAGAGGCTGTGGAGTGACAAATGTGCACACAGAAAGAAAAGAGCTCACAATGACAACCAAAGTCCACGTCAGTGCCAGTTTGTCCATTGGCACATTTAACTCCCTTGCCCATTCCTATGTTCTGGAAGTATACCATAGCCATAGAGAAAGTATCTAGAGAAGCTTTGACATTACACTGCCTAGTTCTGGATCCCTTCTAAGCGGAGCCTGGGTAGAAGAGGGGGTCTGTCTATGAATTTGGGTCCACTTCCTATTAGACTTTCTCATTCCCATTACTCCCAGAGACAACCAGAAGTGATCAAACAGTGCTCAAACTTGGTTAGAATGAACTTGTAACTTTAAACCTGAAAAAGGCACCAGAAATCACTGGTTACCAATGCCCTGCCATGCTCTTACCAAGGGCAATGAAATGCTAACTCTGCAGGCTCCAATCTGTTGACACATAAGCATCCCAGATGCCCATCACAGTGAGGATAAATGCACACAAGCCCCCCTAGGGTTCCATGAACTATGCTGAAGTATTGAGAGCCATTTGTGAAAGAGCCAGAGAGGAAAAGCTGCAATGAACACTTAAAATCCATAAAACAAACAAGCAACCAAACACACACCCCCCCCCCCCCCCCCCCACCTTATGCCTAGTGAAAACTCCTGGAATTCACTCCATAAACCTGGTTTTAATTCTCCTGGTGAGACAGAACAGGTAGAGAGGAGAATTCCAGCAGGAAAGCAACACAAGAGTGACATTTACAGTGATTCCTAGGCCTTTACAAGTTTATGTAAGTCAATATTGATCTATCACCATCTGGGAGGAAGAAAACAAGCTGGTTGTGGGGAAAGCATAGAAGCAAAGGCACTTTCCAGGTCTAAAAGTGTTTGCCCTGAGTATTAAGCTCCTGCTAGGTCTGACAGCACCAGACAGTTCTGCCGCAGCTCGAACATCACAGCTCTATACTCAGTGGCCTTAACAGTCCCAGTGACCTTGCAAGGCGTTTCCAGTGCTGCCAGATTAGCAAACACAGCTACGTTTGCTCACTGCCTGTCCCACTTGGCTCCCTAAAGCATTGCCACTTCTCAGAGTACCAGAGTGAGTTTTAGTAACGTTTCTAGTGCCACTTAGAAGCAGCAAAGGAGGACTGCAAATGTGAGGTGGAAATAGCAGGGCTATAGCAGGAGAAAAGAGCCCCGGCTGTGTGATCTGCTATGAAAAAGCCATGCAGCTTGAATTGCTTTGAAGTTAAATCTGAAGTCTGCTGGAGTTGTGTCTGAGGTTATAAGGAATGTTGATGCTTCTGAGCCTGGAAAGCTCCCTCTCTCTGGCATGCGTCCAGGCACACGGGGTAGTACAAGGCACTTGTTCTGAGCTGATGCGATCACAACTAAAGAGCTTCAAACAGGCTGAACAAATGATTGACAAAGCAGCAGAAAAGGAGCAGCTCCCCAGGAAGTAGATGTGCTGTGAGCTGAGCAAGGGTATTCCTTAAGCACCCGCCTCAAACTCTGTGAAGCCAACTCGGACCTTCTCTATTCAGCAAATAGTCGTAGGTGATTTACTGCTCAGACACAACCCACAGCAAGATCTACTATTGAATTGCTCTATTCAGGCAGTCCCCTTATCCTCCCCTCCAGATATATGGCTGCAGAGTAGCTCATGTCTGTGCTCTAAGCCACAGCAAGGACATCCCAAGATACCTCATGATACTATGCATGCATTCTACTGTAGTTAATGAGAGACTGAGTTATGGTTGTGCACACTCCCCCTGCTCAAATGTAGCAAGACAAACTATTCATAACAGCATTCTGTACCAGAATCAGTCTTGAACAGCCCTTTTGTGTTTAGAAGCACACTTACAGACAGCCCTAATTCACACGTTTAGTCAAGGGGTTCTAGTACATTGTTTTAGCTAAATTATTATTTGCCTTTTATACTTACCACACCCAGGATTTAAATAGCTTTCCAAAATCCCATTGGAAAGTAATGTAAATGGAGCAGCATAGGAAATCCCAGGTATTGTGGGATTAGTCACCGCAATAAAGCATTAGACTCTTGCCACAGAATGCTTGACTGCAGATCTGTGTGAAGCATAGGACAGGCTGAGAAGGCCCTTTCCTTTCCATCTACTGTAACACAGAAACATCAAGTCCACAGGCAAATGTTCACAAGGCTTGCACAAGTCCTTAGAAGAGCACACGAGGTGCAACTTATGTCTATAACAAACATGGAATATATGTATCAGTTCTGTGGAGGTTTAATGGTTTCTGGTGGAAAAAGCTTGTTCTTTCCTACCCCACTTCATCTGAAAGCAGATGGGTGCAGCATCACCACACAGGGCATCACTATTTATGAGCACTGAAGTTAACAAAGCTCATAAATCTAAAGCAGGTAAAAGCCAGCCCATGCTTTACCCAAAGGAATCAGATGCCTTTTTATCCCAGTGACCGGGACTGACAGGTCTGTGGCGAAGCTGCAGTGCAGCACAGAAGGAAGCATCTTCTTACTGGAAGCACCCATCTCGGGCAGGATGGAGCATTCCCTCAGTGCTGGAGCAGAAACAGCAGAACAACGGCTGAGGAAAGGCAAGTAACATCAGTTTGTCCTTCAGAAAGGCCGGCCCATGTGGCAGGAACTCAGAACTGCAGTTTCCAGAACACAGCAAGCACAAGACCAAGAGAGTCTTAGGCACGGGGATGCAGCATTTGCTGCGGATGTGGAATAGACCACTCAAATATTCCTGGTTTCCAGCAGGCTGCAAGTCAGGCATGAACTCCCCTCCACTAAAAAGCAAGGAACCAGGCCAGCTAGAAGCAGAAGCCAGCAATCACGGGCAAGCTCCGACCATTAGCTGTGAAGACAAACAGATGTCCTCAGCCTTTCTGGAGCTCCAGCTGTGAAGAAACAGGCCAGAGCAGACATCTTGTCAAGGAGGAAAAAGAAATCCAGATGGCACATCCCAGCAAAATCAATGGATAACCCCCCCCATCCCTCTCCAGTGGCTTGCTTGAATTACAAATCCCTCTACAAGACAGTCATGGCACTCCCCGGTTTCTCCAGCCCTAGGATGATTGACAGTTAAAATGAATGTTCCATCCTTGTGGTGTTATTATTTAATTACTATGGCATGCATGAGCAATCCCAGCAATAAGCATGCAAGCCTCTATTTTTCTTGGCAGCAGCAGCCTCCAGCAGCCAGAGAGACCTCGCAGCCAACTCAGGTATCAGGGAGGGCTGAGAACAGCTTTGGAATCCCAGCAAAGGGGACTTGTCCCTGCTGGGCTGCTGGGTATTGTCTCCTACGGAGGAATCCTCATGTTAATCACGGTGAAATCAGGTTTAGTCCTTAACACTTGGAGCAGTTCCTCCAAAATCAACAGCAGCCTTGCCAGCAAGTTTTAATGAACTTTCAATCAGGCCTTTTGCCATCACTTGGGAATCACAATGGCATCTGTCCCTCCAGAACTGATGAGCCCCCTCTGTCCATAATTTCCTCCCAGTTAAAGGACAAGTTGAGCTGGAATTTCGACCGCTGTACACAAGCAGAACCTGTGGTTCTCACAGGCTCCAACTCCCAGAACAGCATGCACTGCCCAGAGACACACACAGGCTCTGGCCAGGATTCAGCCAGCATGGAAGGAACTACCAGCAGGAATCTACAGTCAAGAAACAGAGTTTGGATCCTGAGAAATTCCTGAACTGTAGCTGAACCTTCCTGAAATTCAGGGATACTGGGATCCAGTGTGCATCCCTGCTAAAAACCACAGTGAAGTGGACTGGGATCCAGTGTGCATCCCTGCTAAAAACCACAGTGAAGTGGACTGGGATCCAGTGTGCATCCCTGCTAAAAACCACAGTGAAGTGGACTGGGATCCAGTGTGCATCCCTGCTAAAAGCCAGAGTGAAGTGGACTGGGATCCAGTGTGCATCCCTGCTAAAACCCAGAGTGAAGTGGACTGGGATCCAGTGTGCATCCCTGCTAAAACCCAGAGTGAAGTGGACTGGGATCCAGTGTGCATCCCTGCTAAAAGCCAGAGTGAAGTGGACTGGGATCCAGTGTGCATCCCTGCTAAAACCCAGAGTGAAGTGGACTGGGATCCAGTGTGCATCCCTGCTAGAAACCACAGTGAAGTGGACTGGGATCCAGTGTGCATCCCTGCTAGAAACCACAGTGAAGTGGACTGGGATCCAGTGTGCATCCCTGCTAGAAACCAAAGTGAAGTGGACTGGGATCCAGTGTGCATCCCTGCTAAAAACCACAGTGAAGTGGACTGGGATCCAGTGTGCATCCCTGCTAAAAAACAAAGTGAAGTGGACTGGGATCCAGTGTGTATCCCTGCTAGAAACCACAGTGAAGTGGACTGGGATCCAGTGTGCATCCCTGCTAAAAAACAAAGTGAAGTGGGTAAAACTCATTTCAGAGTCTGGATAGATAAAAGAATGAAGACAGAGCTACCTGGGAGCAAGCCTGTACACCTAAAAGCATCACAAAATCACAGTCTTTATGCCTGAAGTTACCACCCTGCATGTTTAGCTCAGCTTTCTATGCATTTGTCCATCTGTGATGGAATTGCATTCAGTAATTATTTGCTCAATAGCAAAGCAGTTGCCAGACACAGAATGGACTTGACAAAGCATTTCAGTTCTCTTCATCCACAAGCTGTTACACCTGATGTACACCAGCAAGAGTCTTGTCAGCTGCGTGATGAAATTAGGAGCAGATTCTTTATTTCAGTTGTGTGTTTGACTTGGAACAGGTTAAAAAGCAACAGAGCACTTTTGAGTTTAGCAGTTGAAGTCCTATGGCAGCTGCTAATAACTTCTGTTACACACAGTCCTGGTTATTAATGAGATGTAAAACCAAGGTCCTGACCACTTGTGGTTTTTACAGCCCTCTCAAGGTTTTCCCCTGAGCAGAAGTGTTAGGTTTGGCATCTCAGCCAAATCCAAAATGGAATTCCCACCTGAATTCCCACTGTGGTTTTGGGGGTGAAAAAATAACCTTCACTCCTCTAAATGGCTTTCTCAAACAGCTTCCCCCCTCCACTTAGACACAAACTGCTTTCAGTGGTCACATCCATAATGAATTTAATGGATCTAATGGAACATGTGAGCAAGTTTATGTGAGCAAGAGCTACTCTGGGTGAGGAACTGATGTGTCTGTAGATGCGTTAGCTGTACTTCAATGTTCCTCAGTGCCACTCCTGGGTGTACCAGGAGAGTTCTGTCTGTAGGGACACCATAGAAAGGCAACTGAACAGCACCACTAGAGCAGGTGCAGCAGAATGCATCTAACACACAAAACTGCATCTGATGTAGGACAATTTAACAAAGAGATTTAAAAATCTTATAAACAGCTCTAGGAAATGAGACCAAGCACTGAACTGATAGTGTATGAATCCAACATTATTTTACATGGGCCACAAGGAATTGCTAGGAAGCATGTGTCATAGCCCTTCCTGTTCCTGATATGCCAGAGCAAGACTGACAATGATGACAGATACAAAACAAGACCCATCTTCTACTACAGACAGGTCACAGTCCAGTCTCTTCCATGGCTTTAACACTTGTCAGGCCCCAAAATACTCAATTCCACATGCAAACACACACTTCAGGCTAGGACTGACAGCTCTTTACTGAGGAGGAGTGCAATCAGTGCAATTGAATCAGCTGCTATTTTCAACTGGAAGCAAAACACCCTGAGAGAGATTTAAGTAACAAACTGGGTGGACCTAGCCCTAGACAGCTAACAGGGACAGAAGGCTCACAAAGCAAATGAAACTTGAACTACAAACTGCAGCAGGTTACTCTGGACCAAGTTTTGACTGTCTCTAAGGATGGAGTCTCCATGGCCTCTTCCCAGTGTTTGACCCAGTAAAGAAGCTTTTTTCCCTTACATTTAAGTGGAATTTCCTGTATTTCAATCGGTACCCACTGCCTCTTGTCCTTTCACTGGGCACTAAGAGGCTGACTCCATCTTTCATCCCTCTGCTCAGGTATCAAATGGTAACTCGTGATCAGTGTCAACCCTATATAACCACTGGACAATCTCCTACTGCTGAACCCCTGTTAGTAAAATACACTTTCTCTCTTAGTCCATCTGTGTCAGAGAACAAAAGTCTCATGTGCACATCACGTTGATAGCAACTCAGCAAGGATAAGACTGGAGAAAAGCCTTAAAAACAAACCCCAACATTCTATTTCCTTGGGAATACCAGATTTATCAGGAGATTTGGGACTTCTGCTTCCCTGTTTTAGGTAGAGGTGTCACTGTGACTCATGCACTGTGAATGTTAAAGGGGATCTTTCTCCATTCCTATTTGAAAAGGATTCCCAAGGGAAATGTGTCCCAAATTGCTTTGCTTAATTAGAAGGAAAACACGTGTACCTATTCAGTATGAATAAGAATCACTGCTCTCAGCTACTATTTCATTCCCTGCTCCTTCTGCTTTGATAAACCCACCAGCTGGCAACAGAGTCTTCCAACAGCCTTAACTGTTCCTGCACAGGGCCATAGAAACTCCATCTTTCCTGTTGTGTGCTGTAAGAAACGACATGGGACACTGCTGCTGTTTCCCTTTCCATGTGCAGGGAATCCTGTCATGAAGCTGAACTGCTCATAGAAGCACCTTCCAGGCTCAAAGAGATCAGTGCTCCACAGAGAACTGCTTTCAACCTTGCTTTACCTTGATAGGTTAGGTAAGGATAGCTTCACTACTTCACTACCAGTTTACTTCTTCCCTTAGTGAATACAAATTGGGATGCTTTGGTGTAAATGGCAACTGTCATTTACCCCAGAAGTGGTGGCAAGTCTTAAGCCCTGCATTTGCAGTGTATGTAAAATAGTCCCTTAGCTTATATACAATACAGTCACATCTAGAGGCAGTACTTAATCAGAGCCTGAAATAGATTCCAAGGAGAAGAGTTCACACTGCAGAACTGGGAGTGGATATCAAGCAGATCTAAGAAGCATTTCCATCAAAGATTTGATGTCATGCTCTCCTTGGACAGGACCTGCCCTCACTGAACTCGCCAGCTCCTTCTGCAGCCAAACTTTTGCCATGGATATTTTAAAGCAAACTATTTCAACACACAAACTGCAGCTTCCAAACAATGTCAGGTTTAATGGGTGCCCACTAGAAGCGGGTTTCTCCTAGCACTAACGTACGTATGATTGCAGGAGGATGCACCAGGAGCAGTTTCTGCTTGCTTCTGCAATCAGAACATACTCTGCATATGTATATCTCAGACTATATTCTGCAATGCATTTCACATTAAGCCAAATTAATTCCAGAATAGACAAATTGAGTTGCACCAGATACAGATCTGGCCCCTTCTGCAAAAGCAGACCGCAACAGTTCTCAAGAGAGGAGAAGGAAGTGATTGATTATGAGCACCTCAAGAACTCAGCATTTGTACAACCTGTCCTGACAGAGCCCTGCAACACACAACAGCAAATGAGCTGAAGACACACTGCTTACAGTCCCCTAATGATAATTGTAAGTGCAGCAGCCAGCTTTCTTAGAGAGGGCCGTTTCCCAGACTTGCCCAACCTTAACCAATTACTCTCACAACAGCACTGAACAGGATATTTACCATGGCAGCCCAATTGTTCTAACTTGCCCCCTCTGCCATGCCCCACTTTTTGACAGGTTTGCTCCTCCATTGCTATAGTGACTGCCAGCCCTAATGCTGGTGATCAAAGTCATGCTTTAGAGGTCACCTCCATTCGAAACAAGGGACATTTTTGTGTGAGCAGGGGGGGGAGAGGGACAGAGAGAAAGTGCTGTGTGATAGGCAAGACTCCCTTCTTTCTCAGTGTTGTGGTCTCCCTTTGCATCCTGCTCTTAATCCTGGTTTTAATTCCCAACCCCCCTCTCCTATTCCTAAGCAAATGTTCATCTTGTAGGATTCTGGGGGCTCACATCAAGTGACTGGATTTTTTCTGCAGCTTTCAGCCTAGGGTGATCCTCCTAAACACGTAACTGGAAGGATCCTACCCTGCCATTCACTCACTGAGCCTAGCAAGTCATCAGCTACAGGCACTGAGGGGTCCTGCACACAGTCTCACACTTGCCACTTGCACACTGGCAGCATCACCTGGATCCTTTCCTAAAGAGCCACAATCACCTTAAGCAGATCACCTACAGCAAAAATGCCTCTCTAATTGTCAATCCCCACAGCCTGTCTGGGGGAAGGTGCCGTGCAGGGAAAGCTCAGGCATGCTCAGATGTTAGTACTGTGTTTACCTGAGTCTGAAATAGCATTTCAAAAAGCAAAGGAAGAGATGCATTAATATCCCAGGATCATTACTGTACTGTGATAGCCACTTGCCTTTATTTAATCCCTTCTTTCTGCACAGGATACAGTTGACACACTACTCCAAAAAGTCTTTACACTCACTCAGCTCCTATGGAACTTGAGCCACGCAGAGTCTAAAATCAGTTCTAATCATAAACTGTATATTCCAGTGTTTGCTCCAGGAAGCAAGAAAATCAATCACAGAGAGGCAAAAGAGAGAACGTTCCTCTTTAAAATCCAGTAGAATTTGGCAAGATGGGGAGATAAAAGGAACCAGCATCACATTACTGCCAGAAATCAGTGCTGACAGCACATAAACACTTACCTTGGGATGCCCGTGCAGCTCCTCGCTGTTCGAGAGGGTGGCATTGAAGGGCTCTGTGTACTGGTTAGGCTCTTTCTTCATCTTTCGCTCTCTCTTTGCTGCTGTAACTCTGAAGAAGCAAAACTGCTGACAAAGTAAAGTTGCCACAAATACCCAGGTGCACCCCTTCATTTTGGAAAGGGAGGGGCCAAGGCAGGAAGGGCACTCTCCAAGCACAAAACCCTTCACCACCAGCAATAGGAATAGACCCAAGGCTGCTCTCTAAAACACAACCGAAAGGGTCAGGAATATTAAAGATGATCCTCCGGGCTCTGCAGTGTCAAAGGAGCAGCACGCCCGGATGCGCTGGTTGCTGGAGCGATCTCTGCTCAAGCAGGACACATGGAAATGGTATAGATAAACTTGTTTGGGAAATCTGGATTCACTCGAAGCAAGAGGTAAGTCCATTCAGCCTCCTGAAGCTTACATAAATACGAGAGGCCCTGGAAAGTCCTGCCACCCACCTTGCAGTGGCGCTCCCCCTCGCCCCCAATAAGTCTTCAGACTCGTTTAAAACGCACTCAACTATGAAACCCAGAGAAGTCAAATTGCTCAGGGCAAGAGTTGGTCAGGCCGGAGCTGACAACACAGACTCATTAGGGGGTTGTTAGGTTGTTGCTCTTCAACAGGAGATTTCACTTGCTATCATTTGAAGCACTGTGTTCAGCTCCAAGCAGGGTTGCAGTTGTTCCATCCGTTCTCTCCTGAACAATACTTCCCTTTCCTCAGGGACAAGTCCTCATCCTTTCCTTCTAAGATGCTGAGGAACTGTAATCCAAGTTGCTACAGCCACTGCTCTCCTGAGGAGGCTGAAAGCATCACAGCCCAGCGCTCAGCCTTCTAAAGGGAAAACAAATGTCTTGTATCATTGAAGTTAAAACAGGGAGAAGCAAAGAATCTGGGGATGTACCCAGGTCCATGAGGAACAGGTAAAGTTTTCCCAAGTCAAGCTTCTCTGCCTCTTTAGCTGAGTTTATCCTCACTTTAATGAGCAGCAAGCCCCGATGCCACAAGCAGCTGTCAGGATGTAGAATCTTGTGTCTTTCTCATCTCCATCTCCCCTCACACCAGGGAAGGTTTCAGGTACTTCTCATTGTAGACCGCATCAGATTGTTCTCGCTGCTCCTTTCCCCTGCTGCACACTGGCAAAACCCTCCTCAGCTTTTGCTTTACCTCAGCAGAGAAGTACTCCTTTCCTGAATGAGTTTCCATCAACTTCAAGACAGGGAAAAAAAAAAAAAGGGAAAAAAAAAGGAGGAGGGATCACATTCTAATGAGCTGTCAAGCCTATTCTCTTCACATTCCTATTAGACTCACTGATAAAGTGGAGCTGGCCCGTGTGCCAGGCAGATTTAAATCAATGCCCATTCCCTGCTCCCTCCCCTCAGCCCTGTTCCGTACCTCCCCTTCGGTATCGCAGGGAAATCACCATTTTTCTGGGAAGTTTGTAAAACCCTACGTGAGCGTGTGGTAGAGCTAAAAATATGTGGCTTGGAACATGCACTCAGCATCGCCCCACACATGGACACATCACTACTCCTGCTTTACACCCTCCTTAGCTGCGTCCTATACATCTCCCCTTGCTCTCATCAGATGCTGGCTCAGTGGGTGCTGATTCCTTTACAGGAGGGTGGGCTCCTTATTGAATGTAACAGAAACCCCAAGGTTACACATCTACGAGCATTTCAGAAGGGAGATCTTGAAGCACTTGGCAGATCTTTGTCAGTTCCCCACCACCTACAACATTCCTGTTCCTTCTACAGATACTGAACGTGATGCAAGAATGTCTCTGAGGTCAGACCATGAGGAAGTCCAAGAATGATAAGAGGTGGAAGCTCACATAGTTTGAAGTCCTTTATGCAGCCAGCAAGCAACAGCTTTGCTTTGTTTAATACTCCCTTTACCTGCTGTAATCCAAGCTGTAAATGTCAGGACTTCACTGGATCAGGAGCAACAGCTCTGGTATGTGTCAGCTCAGGGAAACTGAGGCATGGACAAGCCAAGCACAACATGAAGAAGCAGAACACAGTCTGGGGTTTGTCTTACAGCATCCTTTGGGAGAAACAGAGTTTGGGAAAGAGAAGAGAGAGTAAGAAGGGAGGTTACCCAGCCCCTAAACAGTTAACAGCCTATCACCCATCCCCCAAGAGCTCACATTCCATCAAAACTACGTGGCAGACTTTATTTGTTAATAATATTTAACTTTCTTTGGCGCCTTCTCCTACTTCAGCCTCTTTTTTTTCAGGTTACTTGTAGACAAGCCATGAATTTGTAAAAGTGCACTTGATGACACATTAATAGGACAATCTGTCATATCGCAGCTAAACAGCCTGACAGATCCACACACCATGGCAAGGGATGACATTCAAAGCTGGAATGGGGCAATGGCTCTCGTGGGCTGCCGGTCTGCAACATCTCCTCTCCCATTCCAAGAGCCAAATCCCAAGACTAAATCCTCACACTTGAAGGGAATGAATCCAAACTATGTTTGCAAGCACAAGGCAGAGTGACTCGATGGCCCAGCAGTGGCTGTATCTAACCCCCAGCTGCGTAGTTTTCTCTCTGTTGGGCTGAAACGAGTGCCAGCACAGTGGTTACCTCCCCTCCAACCTTCAGTTCAGCATTTGTATTATCTGTAGATAACTCCACTTTGCTGCTGCTGTTCTCACATCCAAGTTGCAGCAGTTCCAAGCACCCGAGTCTTGCTAATCCAGGAACAACATTCCATCCACATTTACAACTACAAGCAGCAATAGGCCAACACTGCACTTCACAGCACAGCAAACCAAGATCTCAAAGTGACTGAAAACACAAATAGTTTCTTCTCCAAGCTCAGCACCATTGCAGCAATAATAGGAATAGTTAAAAGACTGTAACAACATCAATTCTGCATAAGGAAAGAGTTGACATAGGGAAGGTATTATAAGAAGCCACATTTACACATCAAAACTCTGCCCAATAAGCCAAATGGAGGGTTTGCAAACACTGCGTGTGTAAAGCTGGAGGAAACTGAATAGTCAGGCAACAAAGCTGTGATTTGATCTGTCAGTCTCTACTTATGCAGTTCCCCTTTTACCCAAGATAAACCTTACCTAAGCTAAGGATAATATCCAAAGGGGAAAAGGTCAAAAGCCAGGATTTTCCTGGAGTTGCCCATTGTAGATATACTGAACAGTTCCTAAGCCTTGATACAGAGACTGTGATTTTTAAGCCAGTAAAGTAGAAGGCACGTTGTCATTCACTGACACACACATTCCCGCTTCATGGCAGATAAAAGTTTAGAGTATTCCCATCACAAATCCCTTTGGTTTTGGTGTGAAGTTTCCCAACACAAACTCAAGCTGTTCATCAGGTTATACACACAAAAGCTGTTAGAATAGACCTCATTACGCCAGCAGACATAAGAGCAGCTTTGGGAAGGCAGAACAAGAGCTTAGGGCCACTCCAGCTGCCTTCTGCACCCCATGATCCCATTCCCCCCCCCATTCCCCACCTAGCCCAGCCATCAGCGACCGCGGGGCCGCTACGCCACCTCGTGGCAAACCTATGGAATCACCGAGCTGTTTGGAAACATCATGGGGGAACATCTTGCAACAGGCTCTTTGGAGAACCAAGGTGTGAAATGACGTTGTTGAGGGCACAGACAATAAGAGGTGCTTGGTAAATCCCAGTAAAACATCCTCAGCCGTCACCCAGCAAAGTCTTTTCAATGTAATGTGAATGCTCTGAGGTCGTTTTCAACAGCCTCCCTTTCCTGTGAGCACATGAGTTTTCCACTGAAAACATGGTTATTTCTGCCTTGAACAGTAAGATCTGACCTTTTCCAGTCAGCAAGAAAAGCATCATCTTGTATATTGTAAGCCCCCTGTTGCAGTGCTGCCACAGCTTTTGTTTTACAGTCCATATATATATATATATGATTGCTTCGCAATGATTCCTCCCCCAAAACAGTCCCACAGAAAGTATAAATTTCATCATGAATGTTTATTATGAACAAACAGCTTTACAATGCAGTCATTTCTACTCCTCAGTACATGCTTGAAGGAACTCCTGTGACCTTGAAACTTGGGGGGGGAGAAGTTCTGACTATCCATAAATCCAGGTTGTTAAAGGTGACCACTGAGATGCTTTGGATTCAAGCTGCAAAACCTCCCTCCCACCCGTGTGTAACAAGATGACAGAAATTGCAGCATGAAAGTAAAGGGCCAGACATTTGTTCCAATATCATATATCGAGGGACAGCTTTTAGTTTAGTACCACATTAAATAATGCAGTGCTTCAGGGCATGGTCACAGTTTTTGCATGGCAAAGAATGGTTTCCCGCATCTAATGACTTTGGTAACATGAATGTAAAAACTAAACAGAACAAAGAGTAAAACCTACACAGAAGGGAATAACTCTTCTGTTACCAAAGGCAAGGAGATGTAGCAGGAAGGGTTCACTCAGCTTCTAGCTTTCAAGCAATGGCACCTGAAGTGACTGCCAAGTCTTTCTCTGAACCCAGGGTACTAAAGAGAAACCGCAACTGGAAGTTTTGTTTCTTAAATACAACCAACCCTCAAAATAAATAGAGCATGTTCAGGGTTTAAATGAAGTTTTGTTGTTTCCAATGGTGGCACTTGCTAAGAACAAGAGCCCCACCTTCCTTAAGGCCACCTTCTTGCCACGTAATAAAATGCCTTTTATTCAACATCTCCAGTTCTTCTACCTTGGTTAGGTAAATGCAAAACATCGGAAGATGCAAATGCACCATGGCAAGGTCTCCTTGCCTTTGTCTTCATGTATGGGGACAAAAGAACTTCCGTAAAAAGAACTGCTTCTAAGCTGCTGCCTGTAGGCGATGTCAACGGTAATAAAAGGCATTGCGAGAACACAAGCATGTCTGAATGTCACTAAAATCTATGGGGCTTTACAGCCCCAGCTACAGGTCCATGTGCTTTGAGAGAGGAGATACACCAGCCTGACAAGCCATCCTGAAAACCCTCTCATTGCAGGAAAGATACAACGCAACTGTATCCACCTGGCACTCCTCCTTCCACAAAAGCTGATGAAGCACAAAGAGGTAAATTAAAAAACAGTTATAAATAAGATTTGGTAAAACAACAAAATCTAAAAAAAAAATAAAAATCAAAGATTTATAAACACATTCTAACATCCAGCCTTTTCCAGTTCCTCCCCACCTCCTTCCCTTCCTTACCTCAGCAGGAACTGCTTTAAGATTTCTTTAGTACAGAGCTGGTCTGCTAATCCTGATCATTCCTACCTAATGCAGAGAATTGGTCACATTTATTAATGCTCTAAGCTGCATCCTCATGGGTTAACAAAACAGTTTTGCTACAATTCAGGATACCAAGAAGCAGAGAGACAACAAATCTGAAAGGGAAAACAAAACAGCTTTGAAAACAAAACAGCTCTGAAAACATTCTTTCTTAGATGAGGTAATATTTATTTGGGCTCTTCAGAATAGGTTAAGACTAGCCAGTGAGATGCAGAGCCTCCTGCCCTGCCATCACCTCTGACCGGTTGTTGTAGCATTAACAGCGTGTTCTTCCCTAGATGATGAGGCATCACTGTCAAATATGAAAGGCACAGGAAGTTTGCCTCTGATAAAGTATTTGGACAAAATTTGGGGGGCGGGGATAAAACTGAGTTTATAAAGTAATTTCAGGCAGACTTTGAACTACTCTAGGAGCTTTAGAGTATCCATGAATAATCCCGTGAACAAACATTGGTATTTCAGTCATCTGAAAGGGAAGAGTAATGAACTTACACCTAAAAGCAAAAATGCTTCTAGAATCTCAGATGAATCAGAAGGGTTTGAGCTTTTGGTGGTGGTGTTTGTAAGAGTTTATGCAAGTCTTCAAGTAAGCAAGTGGGACTAACATTAAGGGTTTACTTCAGCTAGTGACACTTCAGATGAATTCAGCTGACTCTGAAAAAGCTGGTTTGTTATTCACTCATGTTTCAGTCTTCACAAGGGCCTGGGTTACTCCATTTACCAAAGGCCAAGAAATCCAGAGCAGCTTTGCTGAATACACAATCAACTCTCCATTGGTGTGTGCAGTTTTATTATTCATTCCACCACTGGCACCTTGTGATCAAAACTAAGTATTACAGCTTCAAATTTAACATCTCCCAGATGGAAATCTGTCAATGAACAAACCCAAAACAACACTGGATATGGGTATCCCCATGAAAGACCAATTCAATTGCCTAAAGGTTGACAACTGCGCTTCTTGTAGCCCAAATAAAGCCTTCAATGACATTGTGACAGTTTAGACAACACATTTAACACACATGGTGTTACTGTCCCACTCACGTAATCACTACTGACTAGATATGAAATGATGGTCATTCTATCTTATAAAAGAAACCAGCAATCTTTTGTAGCATCAATGTCCACATGAACCCAACCCTTACCAAGTCTGCATGGAATCTCTACTTGAATCATTTCAACCCCTGTACAGACTCTCCCCTAAGGAAAGTAAAATGTGATATGCATAAATTGTGACGTCTTAAAAACTGTTCCATAAAGTAAAAAGCCTCATTTGCTTCAGATTTTCAAACAACAGATGGAGAACTGCTATAAAAATCAAAGCACTAGAAATGGTCATGTCTCATCAATAATGCTTTGACTTGTGTGTGAGCCACTACCAGACAGTAGCAAGGACAAGAGGAACTGTGAACAGAACTTCTTTTAGTTTTCTGACTAATCAAAACTACTCCATTTCCCAAACATAACCCATGAGCCAACCAATGTTTTACCTGCAACTTGATAAAACAAGTATTTCCCCCAGTCTCAGAGTCAGATGCCCAAAGAGTCCCACTCATTCTGCAACTACCACTAATTTGGTCTTGGATTTCTTTTACTATCCTCATTCTTGGGCTATGCTTCTCAGTACATACTTGACTGTGTAGGCAAAGGCTGCAAAACCAACTATAACAAACAAGTTCGCCAAAGCTCCACCTAAAAGTCCATGGTTACGGTTGGCCTGTTGGAGACCTGGATGATTGGCAGGTGCCAACGGTACATGCCCATTCAGGAGGGGTATTCCATTCTGCCCGTAGTGTGCTTCCCCATCAGGAACAACATCTGGTAAAGGGAGGGATGGAGGTCTGTTACTGAGTTCTTCTTGTGCTTTCTGTTTTTGTTTAATCTCCTGGAGAAAGAAGAAAGAAAACTTGAACAGCTGGAAGTGAAAGTGGTGAAGCTATTGGGTGCTTTGAGAAGACTGCAGAGCCTAAGTTCTTACTTCAATCTAGGAAAAGGATATGATACACTTCTTTACGTTTCAGGTCTTTCAAACTAACTTAACTGCATTACATACATTTGGACAGTCTCTCCAACTTCTTCCAGTTACCTACTTAGTGACGATATAATCACCTGGACAACAGGCCTACAGTGTTAGTGTTGTGCAGGGAAGTTATATTGTCCTAAAAAGCTATCCCCCATTCTCAGAAGTTGAGCAGGAAGAACTACAGGAAATCAAATTATTGCATGGATTAATTCCCTTACCTCCACCACTTCAGGGAAGAGCTCACAGAAGACTTTATCTTTTAAATTAAACGCTAAGCTCTGTGCGGCAAGCTGTCTTTTCTGTGGAGGAAACAAATATCATCAGCACTTGCATGTAAACGAAGTTATTCACTATAACAGACACTTCTAGACACAAGTTATGTTCTCATCTCTTCATTTATGGGGTTAGTGTTCTGTACAGGTCTGCAGTAGGCAACACATTCATTTCTGGATACTAAAATGCCAGCTGCTGCCTGTAGTTTTAACCTCTAGGTCACATCCATCATTCCCTAAGTGACACAAGGCACATCACAGCTTCTGGAGCTTACCGTGAACTCTGATGTCTCTATGCTGCCCAGTGTGGGGCCCTTTTCCACCATAAAGCTAAGAAGGCCCGTCAAGATTGTTGAGACTGACCAAGCTGGATTCCATGTATCCGGGTGGAAATCAGTGATTGAAAGACACAACCTTCAAAAGGATAAGACAGGCAGCGTGGTTTTATTTGCCATTAAAATTATTATACATTATACATATTGCTAAGACAGTGTTAATTGCTTAAGTGTTAGAAGAAAATCCTTACCTTGTATTACACTTAAACCTTCCATTAGGTGTAATCATATAAATACTAGGAGGTTTAAAAGGAAATTCTCTGGGGAATATTAGTTTCCCATGATAATAGCCACCTGCATTACACAGAGAGATGAATTACTTATTTTGCATGAAGATGAAGTCCTAAGCTGCTACTCAAAATTGGCCAAGTAAAACCCTTTGTCTCCTTTCCCCCCACACACACTAAAGAGATCAATGTCATCAACTTGTGCCTCTCAGACACAAGAATAACAATAAGCCACATCTGCAGCTGATTTACTTTGGAGCAATCCTCTCCCATGCATTATTACAAAGTACTTTCTGTTGTCAAGCCCATAACACATTTAAGGAAAACCAGCCAAAGTGTATTTAACACAATACAAATGGGGTCATTTCCCAGAAACACAGCTAACTGCAAATAACAATCCTATGAGGAATCCGATTTCAAAAAGCACTTTGTGAGAGGCTCCAGAAGACATTGTGAAATATGGGACTACAACACATTATGAAGGTTTTCACATTCCTCACTTTCTCCAGAGAAATTCATAGAATGTGTCTCAGTTCACTGAGAACATTTATTCAGTAACAAAATGGAACTTCGTTAAACTATCTTTTGACTGTCACATAGTATCTAAAGTGAGTTATCTGCTCCAAGACCTTTAGCATTTACTTAATAGGAAGCTATCTGTCCTCAGCTTAACTTTAACATGGTTTTATTAGAACCTTTGATAACAGAAACCCCACTAATAGACAGCAGTACCACTACCTCTCTTCCAGAAGCTATCACACAACTCCCAGGCAGCTCTGAAACTGCACAAAGAGTTTTTAGAGCTCTTTACAGCAGTTACGTTTTGCCCATTCAAACAGACATGGAATTACTCAGGCATGCCAATCACAACCAAGCACACACACAACTCTGCTATAAGCAAACTTTTACCTTCATAGGGAGTCATCTCAGGTCCTCGTACAACATAGTGCCTAAGACACAGAAGACATTTAAGCAGCATTAAGCCATCATACAAGCAGCCAACAACTTCCCTAGTAAAATCAAGTTCAGTATCACTTCAAGTTTCATACTCCACCTCCCAAAACCCAGATTCCCACTCAATCTGTAGGAGTGAGGGAGCCAGAGTTGATGACCTGGAAAATCTTGTTCTCTCTACAACAGAGAACATTTTAATTCTTACCATTCAAGGATATTAGATGGGAGGGGTTCTGCACAGATGTAAGGCACAGGATCCTTCTTAATTCGAAGGTAGTCTTGTTTAAGTCTCTGTGTTGCTGTTGTTGGTGCTCTCTTATTACTGTTGTTGCTCATCTAGTTGTTAAGAAATATATATAAGACAATCTGAATACAGTCTTAATAGATACAGAGCTTCTGTGCCTCATTGAACACAGATCCATTTATCTGCCAAAGCTACTTTACAGAGTACTTATTTAAATATTAATTACCATAACTTCTACATGGCAAGAATCATGCACCAACCAACACACTCCTTAGAGACTCTGGCACTGTTTAAATACCAGGAAATACAGTGCACCTGAACTCTTAATAACCAGTCCTGTACTTAGGCTGAACACACATCATTATGACACTGTTTTAAAGGGCTTAGTCCGAGTAATTAATTTCCCTATTCCATGTCAATATCTACTGTATACATTTGCTCATGGTTTAAATTCTTTCGGTGTTTCTACACATCCATTATTTGAAATAAATAACAAAACCCCCCAGTAACCTCATTCCTGCCTTTGAGGTGCAGGAGTTCACATTAAACCCTGCTTAAGAGTCAGTTGAATTTACAGAAGGGAACTCCTGAGCCAGATTATTCCCTTCCAGAGAAACAAAGCCCTCATCCAAAACGAGACAAGTCTGTGTGAAGAAAGGAAATTCCATGCTGCTTACCAGACAAAGCAAGCATTAGCCCTTACAATGCACCTACAGAACACACACCAATTAGCAACTGCTGTTTAACTCACTTTCCCCCTTAGAAACTTAGCAAGCTACCATGGAAATCCGAGCAAGAACAAAAAGGACATTTAACAAACAGCTTGAACAAAGAGATAAGTTACTGCTTACAACGGGACAGCAGCACTGGGCACAAGAAGTATGTTAAAGGACTGGGACCCTTTCTATTCCTTTGCTTTGAACATAGACCAGTAGAGTTTATTATAGGAATAATATTTAAACCATGAGAAACAATTTTATGTGGTCAAACATTGAAACTTAACATTAACGCGGTTAGTCTGGCTTTGGTCAGAATTACTGTATTCATTGTTTGTATTAATGTAATACATACAGGATTTTGCCTTAAGTACACACGGTTTTAAGCCATCATTTGAAATCGTAAAATTAAGGGTTTTTCTCTAAAGAAGCGTGCTCTGACTTTAACACGGATTCAATCATGCAGCTTTAATAACACAAGGATTTGTTCTTACGTCTAGCAATAGTGCCCTTCACCCGGCACTGGACAACAGAGCACTTAGCCCTCTTCTTGGGACATTAACACCCCGTAAAGCCTTATCTTGAAGACCGTTCGTATCGTAACACGGACAATAAGCGGCAGCATTTCCAGAAGCCACGACCACAGCGCCATTTCCCCATACCGACAGCCCCATACACCAGGAGCGAACAAGGAAGCACTCGGCCCGCGTTCACGCCGCCGAGCACCGGCTGGATCAGGGAGCCAACACAAGGGCACCGACCCCACCAACGGGAAACAGGAGACGAGCAACGACTACAAGAGCCGGAGGAGCAAGAGGCCAAGCGGGAGGCTCACGGCTACAGCCGCGGCAAGGGCAGGACGGAGGGAGCAACGAGCCGGCGCGGCTTCCCTGCTCGCTTAGCGCCGCAGGCCCCACTCACCTCTCGGTGCTAGAGCAGGCCCCTCCGGTGCCGGGACGCCCCGCCTGCCTGCAGCCGGCGGCCAAGGGAGCGGGGGAAGAAGGGAGGAACAGAGGAGAGAAGGAAGGAGGAAGGAAGGGACGGCCACAAGGGCAGAGCAGGGCCGCGACCCCCTCGCCACCCAGTGCGGCGCGACCGCGGCTCCCAGCCAAGATGGCGGCCCGGCGAGGCGGGGCTAAGGCAGCGCTGCCGTCTCCTTCCGGGAAGGCACCGCCCCGCTTCCGACGGCGGGCTTCCGCTTCCGGCACCGCCATGGCGGCCGAGGGCAGACTGAGGTACCGAGCCTGGGGCTGCCGGGCCGGGTCAGGGCGGAGCGATGGGGACACGGCGGCTCCCGTGCTGCAGGGACCCCGACCCGCCGGTGAGGAGGAACCCAGCCCAGCGTGTGTGAATGGCAGCGTTGTCCAGGCTGGAAGTCAGCCGTGAGGGAAGGAGGAGCCGTGTCGGAACGCCGGTGCGATTTGACATCACCGTTCAGCTGTTACAACTTTATTATGTTCGTGGGGTTGTCTTGATTTTGACTTCCCCGAAACACGTTTTGCTCTGCATGGGTTTTTTTTTTGTTATAAGTCTCCTGAATCTGTTCTTCAAATTCCCATTTTTTCATAAAATGGATAAATACAAGCTCCTTTTCAGACATTCAGTATGCAGGAGGTGGTTTTTGCCTCAGGATTCCACTGGTAGGTCCATAAAAATACAGCAAATCCTTTTGTATCATATTCCTTTATTTGCTTCACTAGTATTAAAAAACAAAGCAAGTTAGTCCCTCGTATTTCAGTCCCTATCTCCTAAATAGAATTAGGAGGCCTGATGTGACAGGGAGATGTAGATGTAGTGGCTGTTCACTCTTCCTGTAACTGCATATCCAGACCATCTGGATTATGCCTTTCAAGCCTCGCTGCATGGAAGTGAGCGTGGAGCTCTCTATCATAGCTCCTCAGCTCAGTGTCTGGTGCAGTTGCACACAGCCCCTTCCCTTACGGGGTGATGTGAGATGCCTGTGCTTGAAAGATTCAACATTTCAACAGCATGGGTACTGGGGAGTGTTCTGTCAAAGCAGAAGAGTCCATCTGGCCTCAATACCGTTCTTGGCACAATGAGCATCATAGTATGCTAGAGACTGGAAGGGACCTCAAAAGATCATCTAGTCATGTTGGATGTTAACGCTAAACTCACGCTGCTTTGGGCAATACAGGATTTAGTGACACCAGTCACAATGGTCCTTATTCTAAGGCTCCCACACAGCCTTTTCTGTCAGGGTTATGCTGATCTCTGCAGTGATTTGAGTCCAGCATGAGACTGACTCAGATCGCTTGTGCTTGTTCACACACAGAAGTCACCACCCAATTAAAAACTCCATTTCAAAAGACAAATAACCAATTGCTGGTTAACATTTACTGTTTTGGCGCTTTGCTTGTCACCTATACCCTGAATTGTATCCCAGTTGAGAGAAATTCTTTGCTCACTCCCTTCCAATGCTTTTCTTTAAGGAGTTTTGAAATTTGCTATATCCATCTAGACATGTACCACAAGGGGGTGTAATGACAGGACCAGGGGAATGGCTTTAAACTGACAGAGGGGAGATTTAGATGTTAATAAGTTCTTCCCTGGGGAACACTGGCACAGGGTGCCCAGAGAAGCTGTGGCTGCCCCATCCCTGGCAGTGTTCAAGGCCAGGTTGGACACAGGGGCTTGGATCAAGCTGCTCTAGTGGAAGGGGTCCCTGCCCATGGCAGGGGGTTGGAAGTGGGTGAGTTTTAAGGTCCCTTCCAACACAAACCAGTCTGGGATTCTATGATCTGCGTTCACCACTCCAGGTATAGAGAAGGCCACTGTCTTCTCTTCATTAACTATCAGCATGGGTGCTAGTTTAAGAGAAGCACACCTCTGTTGCTTTGCTGATAATCTTCTTTTATTGCTCAGGTGAAACAAAAAGGCAGAAAAGAAAAATGAGTTGCTCAGAGAGTTTGCTACAGACTCATAGACGGGACCACAGGACTGCAATAAAGGCCAGAATTTTTCTTACTGTTCCGAAAGAGGCATCATCTGTGAGATCAGCTCCAGCAGTGACCATGGGTCTGCTCTGTGCTGGAGCCCCCCTGCACAGGTACCAACAGAGGGCAGTGGTAGCCCACGTAAGTTTTAAGCTCTTAGTTGTCAGAGCAGCACAGGCTCTGCACAGGCTTGCGCTGCCTGTCATGGGTTAATCAACGGCAAGAAAGGGGAGGAAAAACATTGGCTGTGATGTCAGTACCTTTGGGCAAAACCCAAACCTGAAACCATCTATAAGTTTTAAATTTCACTTTGTTTCGACAAACTGAGGATTGCAAAATCTTGTGTCCTCACAGTATTTCAAGCATGTCTGTGCAGTTTTAGTGGGACTGTGGAGTTTTCATTTGTGTCCTGAGCACTGAGGCAGGGTTGTTGATGTAAAGTGACTGTTATGTTAGACCCCAGAGAGAGCTGCAGTTGTGCGACAAACTGAAATGATGTTTGGACTTACGGAGCCCCAGGGAGAGATGGAAGAAGTTTTGTTACTTAAGCTTCAGATCTGGACAAGAACTATTTTTCCAGAAGTAGCAAAATGATAGAGATTTTAGGGGGAAAAAAAAGCCAATCTCAAACAAAAATACTTTCAGTTATTGAGGGTTGTAAGCAATTTAATCTCATGGTAGTTTCCTGTCAGATGTCTTAATATTTCTCGTTATTATCTCAGTCTCAATCACAATAACAGGATCTTTCATACACCAAAGCAGCAATAGTTGGTCAGCTTTATGTTAATCTCTTACACTCACTCAGCCTTATATCTGATCTGAGCTCACAGTTTACAAATGCTTGAAGGTATTGCAGAACAGAAGGAATTCCTTATTATAAATCACTATTATACTTAAAGATTTAAAGCACTGTATGAATACAAGGTATTATTAGAATGCTGTTTTAGCCCACGTGTATTTCACCTAATAACTTCCCCATGGCAACTCATGCAGTGTAATCCATACCTAATTTTATACCTGAGGATAACTACATGGTTTTTTCTCTCTGCTACACCATTTTGGTTTTTTTTTGGTGTGATTACACAGGAATTCCTACTGAGTCATCCAAGTCTAGAACTGTGAGAAACATGCAAACCTGGAGACTGTAATAAAGGCCCCCAAATGCTGAAGGGATTCCAGAGCTCATATTTACACTTCTGTCATTCTCTCTAATGTTCCCCAGCCCCAAAGTATTTCATACATAAGTGTGTTGTCATTCACATTCCATTCATCTCTCTGGTATGTTATTCTCAACACTGATGATAGCGTAGAATGAGACTTCTCTCTCAGGGTAGTGTCTTTCTTCCCAGTTGTTTTCCAACATGCGAATGAATAACACCAGAGAATTTCCTCTCTGTAAAGTATCTTTGGTGGACTGCTCTCGTATCTCCAAGGCATATTTTAAACCTGAGCTTGGGAAGTCAATAGAAATTCCAAATTTACACTCTGAAATCATTAAATGCATCAAGTAAGTAAGTACATGCTGCTAAATTAGAAGGTGAATAACTCCAAGACAGAGACAAGTGAGACAGTTTACTATTTCATGACGATTGGAGTTGCTCTTTAATTTGTTATGGGCTCCTCAGCAGGATCATGGCTGGTTACAGGACATGAAAACATCTTTATGTGCTTGTGACCAGACCTTTTGTATTATTTTAAACCCCAGAGCTGTCTGACTTTCACACTGCAGAAAATCTTCCTTCAGTCGTAAGAAAAGCATTGCAGATTTTCAGGACAGATACAAATAACAGGAATTGGAATTTGTTCCATTTGTGGGTGCCTTTGAGTAAGTCCTTTGCTTCATTTTCTCCACCCAGTGAAAGTGGTACTTCATGCACTGCTCCCCACATGCAGTCAAATGAGTATTTTGAGGCTGACCTTGGTGGATGAAGAAATAAATTGAGAAAGAAAACGCACCCTGAGGAATGTTGTGAGGGGTAATTAGTGCTCACATGTCCTCAAACGTAATCTTGTCCAGTAAATGTGGCAATGCTGTGGCTGCTCAGCTTCTCTTAGATTGCTTCTCAGCTTAGATTGTCCAGAAGGACTCAGAATGCTTTGAAGAGCAGCCTCAAGGCTGCTCAGAACTGAGGATGCTGGTGAAAAGGAAAGCTCTTATATCCCAGAAAGACATTGCATATATCCTTGGGGAAGCAATTTCCCCAAATCCCATTACCGACAGCCATGTTACAGTGGGATCAGGAGAGGATGTCGTCTCATATGTATTCAGTTGGTAGGTTTGTTTCTTTAGCTACCTCATAGGTTGACCATTGAACCCATTGCTGCTTCAGATAACCAAGATAGGTCTCATCTTAAGTAGTGAAAATAAACCAGGAATCTTTACTTCTGCCTTGAATACAAAGAGCTACCCATTAGGCCCTTTACTGGTTTTTCAGTCTCTATAGCCTGTGGGATTGGAAGATCAGTCAGTTATAATGCGTTCTCTCCCAAGTGAGTGGACATTGCCAAGTACAGTAAATTGAGGATGGATTTGCACAGAGGAGCAAAAAGCTTGGATGGAAGAAGAGAACAAGTGGGGGAAAAATTACTCGAGGGTCTCAGAGCAAAGGGGACTGTGGCAACCTTGATCTGGATGGGCTGGAAGCAAGTCAGGCACGGGGCTGAAACTCTGCAAAGCCATGGGGAAAGAAAGACTGAATCTTTAGGATGTTGTTAAGGAAGAAGTAGCACTGAACCATCACCTTGAAGAATTCATCCTGTGAGTAACAGGTGATTTAGCTCAGGAAGCTGCAGTGACATCTTCTCTTATTGAGCAAGGGAGCACCATTTATTGGCAAGACTGTTGTCAGTGTTTGCCAAAGACAATTGTAAGGAGCTCAGTGATACTGGTGAAGGCTTTCTTCCTTTAGCCTGTGTAAAATGTGTGCTCTGGACACTGTTCCCTGAAAGGCCTTAGTTAGGACTTTGGTTTTGTGTTTAAGCATTAACAAATATTGCTGAGCTGTGTGTAACCTTTAAAGTGTATTTGTTCATTCTGGGGCAATGCAAAGCTTTGATGAGTTTGGGTTTCCTCTTTTTTTTCACCAAAAGAAGTTTGGAAACCTGAACCTTGTTAAAAGCAGAAGGATACTTGCTGTTCAATCTGGTGAGACTCCATCGCTGAATGTGCTGCAATTGTAATTACTAGTGTGCAGATGAGAACAGTGACACCGAAACAATAAATCACTGTCCCTGGGCCACGTCTGTAATAGAGCACTAACTGATCACATGCTTTCCACTGTCTGAGCTTGCATTCAAACCAGGAGATATCCTTGACCAATAATCCTTCAGAGATCTTTTTATTAGGGTACAGAACATGAGTGCTAATGTCCTGGCCAGGTTTAGTTCAAGTAATTATATCCTGCCTTCCTGAATTCCCTTCCAATTTCAAGTGCGTATGAGATGCATCACTTCCAGGTCTAAACTATGAGCAAGGTCATTTGCATTAGAACATCTTGTTGCTTTCCCATCTCAAAGTCATTCCACTTCATTGATGAATGAAACAACATAGGAGGGTTTGGTTTGATTTTCTCTTCAAGTGCTACTAAGTTGGCTCCTAATCTTTAACCCAAAAACAATTTTAGAGGTATTGTGTGCTTAATTGTGTCTCTTGGCTTTGGTACTTTGCCCTTCTGAGTGGGTTTATTGCTTTAACTGCCACACTGGCTCTTGCAGAGTAACTTTCCTCAGTGACTGTTTTGTCTCTATAGTACTTGTTTGCTTCATGGTATTACAGAAGTATAATGCATTATTATCTAGTAGAACTATATGATTTTGCAGAATTCCCCAAACCCTTTGATTCCCTGGGAGACTGATCCTCATCCTTTCTTTTAATGGAAATTGATAACTGGTTCATAAATTGCTTCAACGTAGTGATTATCTTGAGTTTCAGAGAAGGGCTGTGATGGCACCTGAGTCTCCCTGATTCATTGTTGATCATGAGGAAATCATTCCATTGTTCCATCATTCAATTTTTTTTCTTGTATAATATAAAGATAATATTTATACAGCTTTACTGGAAGCACACACACTTAATCATTTGGTGAGTGTCACCTACCTTGAGCTCTCTGGACCAAAGGTTTCTCATCAGCAAGGGCCAAGCATGAATCATAATCTTGGGTTTCCATAATCACTGCTCTTACGATAGCAATCAATGTTGTTCATTTGCAGGCCAGATTAATATTTCCAGGCATCATACTTGTGATTTATTACTTTTTCTGCTGTCTGAGTTGGAGAGGCAGCAGGCAGGCAGACAGCCTTAGGTGACCCAAATACAATGACAGGCAATTTAACCTAAGCACTGATAAATCCCTGATAAACTTGCTGAAACAAGAGCTTTTTTCTCTCTTTGATTTCCTCTCCTGCCTGGTTAAGGTCAGGTGTGACCTGCTTTACGATGATGGACAAGGAGATAGTATTACTATCTACTAGAAAATGATTCTGACATGTTTCTGAGTCAGAAAGAGAAAAGGTCAGTCCTCTTCTTCCTTTATCCCACGTGTACTAGGTAAGGAGCTCCATCCCCAGGATAGAGTTCCCATTTACCTCTCCATCCCGTGTTTCTCAAACGATAATTGGTACACAGCCATCAGTGGCCATAAGTGACCTTCTAATGACATCACCTTAAGATGCAGAGACAAATAGCATGACATGCCAGTTTCTCCTTGCTGTTCATCACTTTCTCTGAGAGCCTTTCACCGCTTCCGCATGCTTCTCTTTAGTATTTGACATTTGTGCGATTACATTGCTCTTTATATCCAAAGAACAGCATGCCTGTATTAGAATGTTATTAAGCTATTACCTTGCAAGATGGATGTCTGCCTTCAAAAGCCATTATAATGGCTGTGGTTTCATTGCTGCTGAACTTCCTTTAAAGCCAGGTAATCTCCACCGATAATCATTCTGCACAGAGATCATTTGCAATTTCACAGCAAGTTTTTGTGACAACATAGTTTTTCTTATTTAAAATACTAATTTAGTCCTACAGGAAGATCCTGGCTGAGCTGATGAGTGTTTTCAATAGTAAAACATTTCCTTTATAGAACTTATTAAGCAAGACAGTACCTCCTAAGCTTAACCCAAGCTTTAAATCCTCACTCTTCCACTCCACCTTCTGATCTCCTTATGGCCATGAAGAGAAATGAGCATGCACTGAATGCCACCAGGATGGTTGGAGCAGACAGCAAAAGCACATGCAGTCTTTTACAGCCAGATTCTCCTCGGTTCAGGTAGATAAATAGTTCACTTACTGATGCAAGTTTTTAGAGATACTCTAGCCCTGCAGGAAGACACGTCTTTGAAGAAGAGAAGCCTTTGGGAACTATTGGTACAAAAAAGGTTTAGAATTGAGGTCTGCCAGCATAGTCTCTGGGCAGCTTAATAATAAATGTACGTCAGACAGATTATCAGCAAGAGCAAGGCAGCGTTATTTCCTGTGGCACCCAGAATAACAGAGTGATGTTCCATCTCATAATTTACACTGAATATTCATGACAATGTGTCCTAGGAGTCTTCTCCTGAGGGGGGCTCAGGGCATGTTCTGAAGTCTGTGACAGATCAAAGGTAATCTGCATATGTTCATCCCAACAGCAAACCCCCCCGATCTTACCCTCTTTGTAACTCCACTGTCATGCTTAGTCTTAGTACACAGGTGTGTGTAGAATACAGTATTGTTTTAACAAACTAAGCTAGCTGCAGTGGCAAAGGAGGGCACAGGGAAACAGGGAATGTCTTGAGCAGAGTTCAAGTCAAAGTCAGTGTTCAGGTTTGGAATGGAAAAGAATAGCAAGTTGATGTTTGCTGCCAAAACCTGCTGGCAGATTCCAGTCACAATGGCAGGATAATGAAGAAAACCAGGGTATTTTTTGCTAAGGCACTTTCCAAAATTAGCTAATGCTGCATGCCTTACTTGCATTGTAGTAACTGTCAGTCCTTGTCCGAGGAGGGAATGCATTCTCTCAAAGAGGAGAGAGAATTGCAATAACAACATCAGGTGAATGTTATAGGCCCTCGTGATTCATATTCACATCTATCTGGAGGCATATTCAATGGCCAGCATGGCAAATGCAGATTACAGGTGTTCTTGATCTACAGACAAATAGCGAAAATAATCTCCAGATCTTACCCTTGAAGTGAGAAGAAAGTCTGTTATGTTAAGCAAGAGGCATTGCAAGGAGCTCATCTGATGAGGCTGAAAGCTAAAGGCCAAAACATGGGATCTGATATAGGCAGCACCCCTTGCACTGTGTGGGAAGTTAATTCCAATGCAACTTCTAAATGCACAAGGAATTCTGTCACCCAATTGTCTAATACAGGAGTAAGCACTGATCATCTTGAAACAGCAGATGAGATCTAGGAATATCTCTTAAAAACATGTTTTTAAATACTACAGCATGACTACAGCCCATCCTGTCGCAATTAGCAAGTAGTATCAAAGCTGTAGTCATCATCATGCTTACATGGCAGCTTACATCACCAGAGCTTTATACAAACACCAATTAACCCTCTCAACAATGCTGCAAAGTGTCATTATGGCCATTGCAGAGATGAGGCAACAGAGAGAGGCAGGCAGGAAGATTTGGCCAAGATTGCACAGCCAGAGAAAAGTTCAAGAGTTTAAGGCTTTCAAGTGGGTATTTCTCTGTGGCAGACTCTACCCTTGTCTGTTGGTGGTGTGTTGAATTTATTGCCATTGCTTTCACTGTCCTGGTGGATAAGGAAAATTGAACATCATCACCTTGAGTTTTTCAGTTCAGTTAGGTGGAGTTTAGGTTGTTTTAAATGTGCTAGAGAATGGACAAAACCTTGGCAAAGCAGGGACTCTCCACTAAAAAAGGTGTAGACTTTGAACAAACAGTTGTGAAGAGTTAGAATCAACTAGAATCAAACCTTCAACCGTTGTGAGGAGTTAGAATCAACAGCAACGACCTTTTTGGAGACTTTTGCCTCTACTTGGGTTTTATATGGTGCCTATGGGGTAAATTCAGTTAGAAAACATCACTAGGCCAGTTTAACTCCTTTTGGTTACAGACCCTTCCTGATCTGGCTTTTGGGGCTTGTTTGGGGATTTCTGTGGAGGGTTTCTGAACAGACAGGTCAAACCAGGAATATTTATGCTCTCCAGGTGGACTATTCACTGCACATTACTCATAGTGAGGTACGGGTCCTGGAACTCACATGGCAGCGTTTTAACTCTTGGATTGGCTCATAAAGCTTTCCTGGCCGTGAAAAACACACTGAAAAACAAGTGATTAATAGCAGATTTTTGGCTAAGTGCTGGCTAAGTACAGTGTGAATGAGCACACCCCAAGCATCAGGACAAACGGACCCAGAGCACGAGGACGTTCATGGGTCTCCCAGATCATCTGCAAGATTGAATGAATCAAAAATAAGTCATCAATGGAATCCTTACATCGGCCTAGCGGTTTGGACCGCCTTCGGCGGCATTTAGAGGTTACAAAACTATCTCTTTCCTAAAGCCAGGTCTTCTCTTCAGCCATGCTGCTTCCCTGAGGCTTTACCTGCATTCAGAGCGTCATTACTCTGCTTTGTAAAGTTTTCAGCACTGGTAACCTGTATAGAGCTGTATTTGTGTAGAGTACATTTGCTGCTGGGGCATGAAGGCTATGACTGCACTTACCCACTCAGGCATGGATAGAGCTGTTCTGCAAGAAGGTGAAGGAATCCTTTAGAGGTTGCTGATGGACAATGTAGTATTACACCTGAATTTAACCCAAAACTCCTCCATCTGAAGAGGTATGACACTGACACAGCCACTTATGTAATAGCTGGTTTCAGTTACTGATTCGCTAATGACTGTTTTGCCCTTGCGCAGTTTGTTCCCGGTTTCTTCATTCCCCTCCTTCCTAGCTGCCATACTGTAGTACCTCTTCCTCTTGTTGACATCTTTGCTAGGTCCCAATAGGAAAGCCTAAAGCTACTGGATTGATTATCACCAGTGAATTGATCCTTAACATTGCATTGCTCTCTCTTTCCTGGGTACCAAGAGGAGTAGGGATCACCAGGGAAGATCTACTTGTCTACTGCCAGAAGACAGGAGCCAGAAGTACCATCTGCCACTTTCTCCAGGAGCTTGAACAACTGCTTGGGGAGGTTTGGGCTTCATTTGTGACGGAGTTATGGTATCTGTGATTCCAGGATGGCTCTGTTTTACATGTCCACAGTACAAGAAGCTTTTACTGATGTTCTCCAGCCTCTGCCAGTCCTAATTGCATCAGCATTCCTACAGGTACTGAGCTGGAGTAGGATTAAGAAAAAACCACTAGCGAGCAGGATTTCACCATCCTGTGAATCTGTGGAATTGGCTGAGGGGTTGACAGGTCTGAACAAGTGGAACATTATCTATGAAGACAAGAAACAAGAACAGAGAACAAGAAACAAGAACAGAGAACAGGAAGAGAAACAAGAAGGCAGGTGTTATCCCAGAGGCATGACAGGAGCAGCTACAGACATCTTACTCAGAAAGGTGAGTGAGTAGAAATGAATGCTTGGTCATACTGGAAGCAAGCAGGGTTTTACTACTGAGGCTGCAGTTTTAACCCTCTGCGCCTCTGGTGGAGGCCTAATGAAAAGCAGGGGTTATATGGGGCCTTTTCAGAGCAAGGGGTGTAATTAAGGAATGTTTAAATGGCTGGTGACTAGCAGAGCATGCATGTGCTCAGTGCTGGGATTCCTGGCTTTTGTAAGGATGTGCCACCTAGCTTTAGCCTTGCCAACCCAGGCACTGCTGGTGATAAAACCAGAACACTAAGAGCTCAGCACAAGGTAAGCGGTGTTACCTACATCCTTGAGCAGGTTTGGCAGCCTTTGCAGCACTCAAAGCTGCTTTGGCTAGATGCAGACCAGTGCAAAAGGGACACCAAGGTACACCGATGCTATCCTATTTCTGCAGGCATAGCTCACTGTGGTTTCAAGATAGAGATCTCCTCAGCCACGGCTCAGAGCATCACACAAGCAAAGCAATGAATATTGGGATTCTCAGAAGAACTTTTGGTGAGCAGAGCTTCAACGCAGATTCCAGAGATGAGGAAAACACCTGAAAAATCAGAGTCAGTTCAGGACCATTTAGAGCAGGATCAAAAGTAGACATTAAGCAATGTTTGGAAGTTCTCCAGGGCAGGGACTGCTTTGTTCTGCCTCTTGCATAGGACCGAACAAGTTGTCAGCACATCCATAATACCTCTGAGTACTGCTCCTTTCTCCAGTAGGACAGCACAGGAACGATTTCACAGTCTGCTTTGAAATGATGACAAAGTGGTTCTGGCTTGTAAGAACTAGGAAAAAACTCAGGAGGCAGAGCCTGGTGCGTGCCAGTTCAAGTCCATACACAGCACAGCCAACCAAGTGCAAAAAGGAAGCGCTGGGAGTTTCCTTATTCCCTAGTTGCCCACAGAAGGCTGTCAGCCTTTGAGTGGGAGGAGTAGTAGACTGGCTTATCCAGTGGCCATGAAGAAAGCACCGTGAGGGAGTTTCCACAAAGCCAGAGGAGACAAGTCACGCTGATTTCAGCGAGAGGAAAGCTGGGTTGGTATGCTGCATCCTGTGTAACGAGAGCAAATGTGGAAGATGGTTTGACAGAGCAGCCTGGAGCATTCCAGGGGATAAACCACCATTCATGCAGGAACAAGTGACGTGAGTAAAGCAAGATTTGCTAAAAATGAAGTTTAAACTGTAGATCTACAAAGGCTCCTGAAGGCAGGAGAATGCAGGATCTGCTCCATGTCCCTGCCAGTGCTAGCAGAAGGGATGCTAAAGGCTGCTTTTCTCAGCTCACAGACTGAAGAACAACATGCTGAAAAGTGGGGAATCTCTGGAAGACAAGTTGAGGGATAATGGAAAGTAATGAAACTCTGAAGTGTGAGAGTACGTAATAGTGTGAAACAGATGTAATAAGGGAGAAAGTTCATAACTGAAAGACAGTTGGTGTGGCTTGTAACAGCAAATGACAGTAAAGTTCACAGTGTGGAATGGCAGCAGGGAAAGCTGCTGGAAGTGGGGGGGGATTTTGATATGCCCTTTCAGTTTGCTAGCTTGTTTTAGGTCTCTCAGTGCAAGTGATTTTCAACCAACTGGGAAAGTCTTCATGAATGAGTAGCTAGTGTCCTCTCATTGCTGTGCACGACAAAAACACTCTTCTATCTGGTCAGACTCATCTCACTGCAATTCAGCGTTCTCACAAGAAGTGAGATGTGAGAGCGGAGAGTGCCATGGTGACACCTCTTGCTTTGGACATTTAAAATCATATTGGACAAAGCATGAATATCTGAGCTCTGGAGGAGTAGCCAGTCACAGCAAGAGGGACCAGCCAGAGATCATCACTAAGCTTCTCCAGTTTAATCTCTACCTCAAGCCTGGAGCAACAGCAAATGTAGGAAGAGGCAGGTATACTGGATGGTCTACATGCTGAACTGTCCCTATACTGCTCATCTGCTTAGTGTCTAATAAGCAACCAAAGTCAGTGTTATGAGAGATTTGATCTATAGAGAGCAAAGCTCTTCGTGTGCACTAGCTGTAAGGATGTACTCAAGGATAAATGATTGTCTGTGGTAGATTTTCATAAGTGCCTGAGTCCATTCCATGAGGAGCATTAATTCTCTAACTCTTCTTGCCCACATGAAGTAGCTAAAGTCTCATCTCTCTGCCTGCAAGATGCTCTTTGTACTTCTCTTCTGTTACTCTGAGCTGGTGCTGATGTTAAGACAAAGACATGTTTAGTGGCATTTTTATACCACCTGATTCTCATTTGTTTCAGCAGTCTGTCAGATAGGCAAGAACTGCATCACCACCTAGAATGAGTATGCACAATAATCAAGGCTAGTGTAGAGAAAGAGGGAAGAGTGGAATTTGGACAGTTCCTTCAATATATGACAGCTTAAAAGCAAACTGTCAGAATTCCCTTCTTTTGTTTACCTGTATGGTTTTTATCACCTAAATGGGATGCAATTCCATTAATATCAAATTAATATCAATTGGGGAAGAAATTGTAATTCAGGGAAAGGGGCTTGAAGCCTTACAGTGTGGGAGGCATCCTTCTGTGTCAAGGGTAGCACATCCAGAGGGTGTATTCAACCACTGACATTTGCTGCTGCTCTATTGTGCATGCAGTGTACTCCTTCCCTCCACTACGGTACTATGAGCATTACAAACATTTTCTGCCCCATTGCAGAGTAATGCTAACATAGCCATTTTGCAGCTCTAAAGGACTCTCTCATGAGTGTTATCTCCATAATCTCTGTATTTTGAAAGAAAAACCAACTTACTTTTTAACCAGTGACAGAGCTCTCTTCCCCTCTCCTCCCAGTTGAGGATACACGATGACAAATGAGCAAGTGCAAACAGAAATGGTATCTTGCTTGAGGGACAGCGTTGTCTGCATATCCAGTTCTTCTCCATTTCCTGCAGGAAAAATTCATGGCTGGCTCAGAAGGTATTGTTCTGATGTGTTGCCAGAGAATCTCTACACTGAGGCCTGCAGCCATAATGAAGCAACAGACTTTGTCTTGTGTATGTTCATTGTGCAATAATTTCATTGTCAAGGATTTATTGTTGTGATTTTCTATTGCACAATGTAAAATGAAGTGAGGAAGAAGGGTGGGGGACAAGTAAATGGACATGACAGAATCTGGGTTTCAGTCTTTTGAGTTCTTTAACGAGAATTGAACTGCTTACCTCTTCATCAGCCAGTGACAAGTGCCTCTGCTGTAGCTGTTCTTTCAAGAGCCAGTTGGATTATATTTTTAAGCAAAAGTTTAATTTTTGTACCCCCAAACACTGGCTTTTGGAATATTTAAACCATTTTCCACATGTTTTATGGCATTCCCTTTTAATACCAAAGGGGGGTAAATCACATTAGTAGAAGCTGTTTAATAGGATCATCATCTTTTAGATTAATCATTTTAAAATGGGAGACACATGTTCTACAGGTTCTGTTTTCCTAAAGCAGAATCCAGCGCAAAGCAATTGCTAAAGATGTGAACAGGATTTAAATCAAAGTCAGAAGAGCACGTTTCCCCTGATATCTCTCTTTTCCCCCTTCTTTTTGAATACAGTTTAATAGACAGTTTCAGTTGTCTTTGCAAATGGCAGTGTTTCACACTTCCAAGGTAATAGCACACCTGGTTCCAGCCAATCTCATAAAGCCCTGGGCTGATCTGGAACTCTAAACATTATCCATACCCAAAGTATTCATATTTTCATATAACAAAGCCTCTTGCAAAACCACTGGGGAGCTGTTTTCCAACTGGGCCTGTGTCAGTAGTAATTGTGCAAGCAGTCCTAGGTGCTGGTGTCTCTGCAGCCTCAGAATTCCAAATCTACTTCTGCATTACTTATGCAGCCTTTTGCAAGCCTTAAATAAGCAGCATTACAAAACCAGGATGCTCTGATTTCAGTCGAGTGTCATAGTTGATTTAGTCTAGTCAAGTCTCAACATCTGAAGAGAAGAACAGCATTAAGAATTTAATGGGGATGGAATAGCCCACTACAGATGAGCAATATTCTTGGAGAAGCAGGAAGAAATCCATTGCCACGTGTGCCTTAGCCTGAGTAGCTGATCATTTCAGATTACAGAGGTATGTAATTCCTCAAGCACACCTGTGGAAACCTTAATGGCTTCAATTACTGGGGAGCCTGCAAACCTCCGGAAACCATGGAAAGACAGAAAGCTAGTTCCTTATGGGAAAAATCAGAGCTGAAAGAACCTTATAGGATCCTTGGTTACTTCCCTCTGTATTTGTAGAAATTATGATGGCATCTGTAAGAATTATGGCTAAAAAGCTGTCCTGGCCATTAAATAAAGAACACATCACCACCACTCAAACCAACTTTAGCTCTAGCGTAGCCTTCATGTTAACTTGTTTGTCCAGTTCATTCACTTCCTATTATTCCCTGGATCATGCTTTGAATAATTTCCATGATCTCTTTAAGTCCTGCCCCTTTTGATGTCATCAATACAATCCATATAGGCTGGAGATCTCCCAGGGTATCTCCAGTTAGGGAAGGAATCCTGCACACTCTGGACCAAGACTTGTCTTCTGCTCAGGACAAAGCTGGAGGCTGAGTCTAGTGGCTACTCAAACACTCAAAGATAAGAGTTTCTGCCAAGGTACAGTGGGTCTCCTTCAATCTGGTTTTACTCTACTTTGTATTTCTGTATATGTGTATGTATGTTTGATATGTAGATATACACATGGTTAGGTATTTGACTACATGACATGCATGTCTAAGTGTCTAGTGTGTGTTGAGCATTGAGCTGCTGTGATAATACATAGACATATACTTGCTTGCCACTGCTCTATAACTTCCACTGACTTCCTTATAACCTGCAGCCTCTCTCCAGGCATTTACCACAGAGAAGACAGGCAACTGGTCACTGTTATGTGTTTCAAGTTGCTGACTGCAATTGCTATGTTAAATAAATTAGTGGTAGGCTGATCTGGGAAACCAATGGAGAGAGGGTGTTCCGTTGCCTGTACACGTGTGCTTTGGAAGCTTCCCCCTGGGGTGACTTGCATTATCATGTGCTTTTTCGTGCTAGTTATTTTGAGAATGCAGATTCAGATGGTATGAACTAACTAGACATAGCTTTAAAAGCCCTGTCAGAGTGTCTGAAAACTGGGGATTGCCACTGAAAACCATGGTATAGAGGTGCTTTTTTAGATTCAAAGCTATACATAGAAAAAGCGTGCTTGATAGATTTCATTTAACACTCACTTTTGGTAACTCTTAACCTTTTTCTCATTAGAGCAAGGCTGACAAGTGGGATTCATACAACAGCAACAAATTGCATTTTCCTGTTTTAGTATCACACAGTTTTCATTTCTATCTTTAAGTACCATAAATATTTAAGGACTCATTCAATATGTTCCTTAACATACACTGCAGGCGCATTTTAATGTATTCTTATCTCATTAAAATGAGAAAGAGCTAAGTTAAAGGCTGAACATGCAATTTAGCATTAGAGTTCTATCTGAATAATGTGTAACTAGACCATGTTGGATTTGTTTCTGGAGTTTGCCATAGATAGTCCCTTTTGTGTGAAGAAACCTCAGCTCTATGCCTTCAGCTGTAAATCTGGTTGATAAAATGGGTAACCAGTGGGTCAGAGTACTGCGTAGTCTGCGTTTCCTTGTAGCAGAGCATGGAAATGCTCATTTCCCACTTTGATTCTTTATCACACATCTTTTCTTCTAATTGTTCATGCCCTGTTTCTTAATGTTTCAGTTTGCTTTGGCTCCCTGTCCTTGCTTAATGGCAAGTGCATCTAAAATCTGAAGAATCATGTCATGTTTAATAACAAAAGTATTCAGGAGGTGCAGATGCCTTCGAGTTAACTTTGTATTATTGTTAAACAATACCTTAGAAAATACTAACATGGTATGTATGGTGGTCTGTGGGGAAAATAGCTCGTGATAATCTGTGTGTCCTTGTCAGATAATATGCTGTGGGCTATTTTAAAGCTAATCTGGTAGTAGCTTTTGGAGTGCTCTTCACCACTTAAGGATTATTCCTAATCTTACTGACATTAATACACTGTTTTAGCAGTTTGGAATTCTAAGATACAATTTCCTATGAAGTATCCTAGTCCAAGAACCTCTGAAATAAAGCCATGGTTTAAAATGGAGAGGTCTGCTTGAGGATGAGGATACTGCAGCTTTGTGTATCAGCTGTGGTAACCGCACTGGCACCTCAGACCAAGCCACCACCACCACCACTTCAAAGCCATAACTCAATAAAGGACCTGAGCTTTCATTTCCTTATCACACAGCTCAATTGCAATGATTCTTTAGTTATTCCTGCAGTCCTTGTCTTGGCTTCAAACTCTGATACTGTATTTGTAAGATTTTCATTTCAAGTCGAGATTGTACCAAAGTGCACTGAGTAAACTTCTCTTAATAGCATAATAGGTAGAGTGATTCACAGGGTGCTGTAATGTTGGGAACTCACAGATTGCAGGACTTGATGTCATGTTCAGTACGTGGAAGTCTGTCAACATTAGTCCAACATCCTTAGGTTTTAGTATCGGTTTGGAACGTTTCCTCAGTCTGTGCTGGCTACAATATATATGAGCATAAATAACACACTTTTATCAGCATGAAGCCTGAAACGATGGAGAGTAGCACAATAGATGTTCTACTTACTGTGACAAAGGAGATGGATTTTTGATTTCCAGTTATGTCACTCTTGAGTGATTTTCAGTTTTTGTTCCCTTTTCTCTTCTGTAAAATAAAAGATGATTTTTAGGTTCCTGAAGGAAACTCTAAGTTAAAGATAGGTGGCAATAGTCCTGTTAATAGCAACAATTACTATTTCTAGGGTCTTCAGAAACAACCCAACAGCATTTTAGTTTAATTAGTATCTGCAGTGCTTTATACACATCCTAATTTAGTTAACCCCTTCTATGTTTTCAATTGAGATGTTGTTTTTCCTCCCTTCCATTCCCAATACCTCATTCTGCTCATCTTAGCTGTGGAATACTTACTGTATTTCATCCTGGAAGCAGCTCTGTTTCAGGGATGGTAGAAATTAATCCTGTTTACCTCCATTCTGCAGCAAAAATTAAACCCAGATTCTAATTTGTCCCTGTCATTGACTTGAAGGTTGGATTTATCCTGATTCCCTGACATAGAGATGAAACCACAATGCTAGTTGAGACAGGTTTGTTTGAGGCTATAGGGCAGCTTGTTCCTCTAGCAATACACTCATAATAATGCATTAGTTCCAGATCTGTGTTAATGCACAGTGACAGTGTTTCAGAGTTAGAAGCTGATCCTTAGTGTTCTTAGAAAGAAAACTACGCACCGCTTTGGCTGCAGACTCCTCAGCTCCTGCCTTAGTCACTAATTCTGTGTATCCATGCTAACAGAGAAGTCACAGCCTAAACGTGATAGATTGCCTTGAGTTCCTTGAGCAGCACTATGCAGGACATCTGAACTTTGCACTATTTCCTGGTGTCCCAGCTCACAGTTATTTTCAGCTTTTGCTAGCAGCAAACTCATTGGCACCCTGTTTGAAACAGCCCGTACATTGGCCATGGTCTCTAACAAGATACTTCTCTTTTTGCCTTGAACAGAAACAGACTTAGAGGATGGAGCAGGAAGTGGCAAGAGAAGAAGAGAAGAAAGAAGGCTTGATTGAGTTTTATGATTCCTTCAAGGATATGTTTGAGTTCTTCTGTAAGAACACAACAATCCATGGCACCATCCGCCTCGTATGCTCAGACAGCAATAGGATGAAAACAGCTTTTTGGACTCTGCTTTTACTTGCCAGCTTTGGCATGTTATACTGGCAGTTTGCACTCATGTTCAGCCAGTACTGGGCCTACCCTGTTGTCCTGACCATGTCAATGCATTCAGGGCCTAAGATGTTCCCAGCTATAACCATCTGCAACCTGGACCCATACAGGTAACCTGTGCTTTCTCCTTGTAGTCATCTCTTTAGTCGCAAGAGTTCAGGAAGGGTTAGCAAGGTGATGACTGCAGCCTGGAGGAGCCTCTCTGCCTCTCAGAGGTGGAAATGGACTATTGTTACTTCCAAACTGGTTTTAGGATAAGATCTTGTTGGGAATTATGCAACAGCTTGTAGCAGTTTGTTTCACGCACTGAGTCAGGATAGAGGGAACTTCACCTTGTGACTTGGCTCAAGCTGCTAACTGATTTTGTGCTCTGATGAAAACATGGCTACTGTGTGCATTCATTCCTAAGTAAACTCCCAGTCCCTGGAGTGATACATGCTAGAGCTGATTCTGCTTGGGTTTTCATACCACAGAATGGCTTTAAGGAAAGAACATAACTTCTATAGAAGGCTGTGTGGCTCTGCTTGTCAAACAGGGCTCACACAAGAGTGGCAACTTCTCAAGACATTTCAAATGACATAGTAAAGGAATTATGTAGTTTCCTCAGAATAATTATCTAGCTGGCTGACAGGAAGAACAGTTTGTGCTGCTGATGCTGCACAGCTGCAAGTTCTGAGGTTTACAGTACAGGATCCAGCAACTGGAAAGTCAGCTACTACTACTAGTTTAAGTTATGTATGTTAAGCATAGGTACCATAGTTACTAACTGCTCACACAGAGGTCTGCAGAGATCGGGAGAGTAGCTGTTCCATACATACATAAAATACACAAGGTACATAAAATAGAGTGTCTTTGTGTAATAGAAATGTGGATATTCACAAATACTTCTGTTCCTTGCAGATTTGAACTGGTCAGTGAACATCTTGTTCAGCTGGATCACATGGCAGAGAAATCCATTGCTTTTCTGTATGGCATCAACACATCAGCCAGCTTAATCCACATGAATGAGAAAAACATCCACATAAAAGACCTGTCAAGCATAGGCAACCTCAGCAGATCTACCTTCAAGCTGAGCCAAAACTTCTCACTCTTAAGAATGCCTGGCCACAGTAACAGGTCAGGGAAGAAGCAGTCCAGGGTGGGCTTCAGGCTGGTAAGTTCATGTCCTCTTTGAGACTTTAACCTGGCTACAGACACAGCAGATAGAACTGGATGCTTCCTAAAGGACAGGAGACAGAGGGGAGCCCACAAGTACCTGAGCAAGCAAGCAGGGAAAGCCCACAGATGATGTCCAGGCCAGCCAAGTTCCAGCTCATCAGGAGGTTCACGGTGATGAGGCAGGTTTGAGATCAGGCTATGAAGTTTACTCACTGGATCAAGAGGGTCCACAGTGAAGCAAGAGCACAGCAGCAGCCTGGCTGAAAAGCAGCTCTAGACCCCAGCCCAAAGAAGAGCTGAAGCCCCTGGGCTGAGTTTAAATATGCTGCTGAGCCCATGGGCAGAGGGTGTGGTTGGAGGCCCCAGGTGAGGCTGCTTAGGGCTGTTAAAGCCTAACAGTGCCCTCAGGGCCCTGACAAAGCTCTCACAAGGTACATTCAAAACAATGAGTGAAAAATCATTGTACCCCTTTCTAAACATGTACAAAACACCTAGACTGAGCTGGTGAGCCAAGAAATGACAGAGAAACGACATGCAAGGATCCCCTCAGTGTCTAAATGCTGTGGTACTGGGGCACTAAAACTGTTGTAGATAAAACAAAAGATGGCAATAAAAAATCAAGATGAATACAATAAATGTGCATCTGTGACTGGACAAGAGCACGAATGCTTTGGATTCTTCATATCAAAACCAGGTTTAGTATCGATCTAAGAGCAGAAGCCAGAGAGAGATTGACATAGCTTGAAAGACCAGCAATTTTTGTCTGATTATCATCATTTTACCCCATCCTGAAGTCTTTCACCCGCTTCCACCAGAATCTGGGGGTGTTCACTTGTCTGAGGCCTGAGAGTAAGAACAAAGAAAGTGTCTCAGGACTTGGCTCTTGATTCATGGACTATAGAGAATTCCCACTAGCCCTGTCCTCTTTTCCCTCACACTGAGATCAAGCAGCACACCTAACTCAGCTGGAGGAGAGGAGGTGCTTCCCAAATAACAAGATGTCCAGAGGTCCCATCCAGCCTCAGCCATTCTGTGATTCTGTGATAACTAAAATGATCAGAAACTTCAATTTCTGATGAAAAAAATAGTGGTTTCCCTTGTTCCTGTATCCAGCATTGCCTTTACCCCCTGATCTCTGTTACCCTCAGACTGTTGTGTCCTGGCTGTACTGAATGGCCCCTCTCTTCTTCCAGTGCAATGCCACAGGTGGGAATTGCTTCTACAAGACTTACTCATCTGGGATGGATGCGATTCTTGAATGGTACAGGTTTCACTACATGAATATCATGTCCCAGCTACCTGTTATAATCAACATTTCTGATCATGAGGAGCAAATAGAAGATATGGTTTACTCCTGTCAGTATGATGGGGAGCCCTGCAGACCCAGGTATGTTACTTCTTGAGGCTCTAGTTGTGATCAGCAGAGCTCAAGGGCTTGGGAGATGAAACTGAGCCTACACTTCACCTTATGGCCTACTGCCAGGCTTAGCCCTGGTTGGAGATCCAGCTGAAAGAAAGAAAGAACAGCCTTTCATGATCAGAAATTCAGAAATAGAAATTCAATGAACCCCAAAAGGGTCAGATGGCCTTTAGACATCCTTTTGTCCCTAGAGGCAAAGACATGAGCCTGCTGCACATACCCATGGCAAAGGTACCTTCTTTTTCCTGCATGCCTAAGGTCTCCACTCTTGGAAGCTCTTCCACAAATGTATCTTCCACATACACCAGTGCACTCATCTATGACTCAGAATAAGCAGAAGGCAAATTTAAGTGTTTCTGAACACTTCCAGCAAAGAGGAAGAAGGTCTGCAAAGGTGGTTGTGGATCATTTTATGAGATAAGGTCTTTTTTTATCTTTCCTGGAGGCAACTGACTCTTAATTCTTCTGCATTTAGTGTTTCTGGTGCTCTTATGTACTCTCCAGTGAGTTAACAGCTCCTTCCCATAGGCACTGCTGTACACACACAGACATACACAAAACACATCCTACATAGAAGTAAAGGTGCTGCTACACTCATAATGAAAACCCCTTAACATCTCTCTTGATTTCAGTGACTATGTTCACTTTCACCACCCAGTCTTTGGAAGCTGCTATACTTTTAACAGCAAGGGAACAGACTCTTTTTGGACAGCTACAAAACCAGGAATTCCTTACGGTATGTTATTTGGCAAAGGGTGGGAAAAAAAGGTAAAGTTAATATAATTTGGCTATGGCTTAAATACACCTTCTATACACAGCTTACTGAGATACAGCCCCCTCTTCTAGTCTGGTGGCACAAACAGTGTACTCTGTTTGCTTGCTTCACTAGCCACATATACATGATAACATGATATCAGCAATATCTTAACCTACAGCAAGCAGAATATTACTAGTTTTGGAATAAGCTGGTGCAGTTATTAACTGATCACTTACTGGGACTCTAGAAAAAGAATGGCTCTTCTGTGAGTTAAAACAGCAATTCCATCAGTGCTGAGGATTCAAGACTTAGTGAGGTTCCTGTTTTGGCCCAGAATAAGTTGTTATCTGCTTCCCTTTCTCTGGTTGACAGGACTTTCCCTTATCCTGAGAGCAGAGCAGAAGGATCACATCCCACTCTTGTCTACAGTAGCAGGTGTGAAAGTGATGATACACAACCACAATCAGACACCATTCCTGGAGCATGAAGGCTTTGACATCAGACCAGGCATTGCAACTACCATAGGCATTCAGCAGGTTAGCCACTTGCTCAGGAGCATTGGTTGTTTTCTTACACACCTGTGGGACTCCTGGGTTCACTTCTTGACTGTGCATGTACATGTGGTAGCAGGTGTACATGTATATGTATATATGTGCAAACCCCTTTTCTCTCTTTACTGGGCTCAGGTTCCAGTGGGTAAACCAAAATGATTCCAAATGCGCAAGGAGCCTTTTGGTCCTCAGTACAAAGGTCCTGTGGGGCTCTTACACTTCATTCCAGCTCTACACAGGGGGCTGCATGTGTATAGCAGGATGAGAGCAAACATTCAGTAGTGATTTAGTTATTTGACATGATGAGTTACTGCTTGTCACCTGAAGGATAGTGATTTACCACGTGCACTCTCCTACCTTTGCCCTGGTACTGTGTATGTTTTATTAGCAAGGTATAGCTCGGCTGCTCATGTCTATTACTACATTTCCTGCCCTGTATATGATGCTCCATCCAGTTAAGATTAGATGGTGATGGATAGGTCCAATTACAGCTCCTAATCACTCAGGCCTCTTCTCTGTGTCCACAGGATGAGGTGAATCGCCTGGGTGGCAATTATGGGAAATGCACGACTAATGGCAATGATGTGGATGTTAAACTCCTGTACAACAACTCCTACACCCTGCAGGTATTGTCAGAGCTGCTGGCTGAGGCCCCAGCTTATTCACAGTGGATTAATAGCAAACAAGTCCTACTTTACTGTCCAGAGAGCTTTTACAAACCAGCAGGTTCACTGCTGGAGATAACAGAGAGATTCATGCCCCTCTGAAAAGAAGCTCACAAACAGGGGGTTGTAACTTGGGATGTGTTTGACTGCGTGGAGGATACTCAGTCGTAGACACCAGGGCTCTTCCCTCCTTGTAACACAAGAAAGATCAGGCAGTGAGCCAGTCAAGGCAGCTGGACTGCTCTGGTAGGAAATTCTTGGGCCATCAGGTCTTTATTTGTGTAAGCAGTTGCTCTCGGCTCTGGATGTTTGTTTAACTGAGATGTTACTCCCATAATGAAAACGGGGGAGATTTCTGACTGAGCTCAATACTGCTCTGAGAGGTAAAGACAAGGAATGGAAAGTGAAAACCTTTTGCATCGTCACACTCGAGTACTGGCTGCTGTCTTTTTGCACTGACAGAGCTGTGTGTTGTCTCCTACCAGCTGCAGGCTTCTGCTGGAGGTTGGGGCACTTGAGAGTTTCTGGCTCATCCAATTTTTTATGCCTTCTCCATTTCCCAGGCTTGTCTGCATTCCTGCTTTCAGCACATAATGGTTCGGAAATGCGGCTGTGGCTACTACTACTACCCGCTGCCTCCTGGTGCTGAGTACTGTGACTACAACAAGCAGCCTGCGTGGGGTAAGAGCAGCAGCCTGCTCTCCTGTCCTTGTGGAAGGAACAGCTTCCTGCAGCGGTCACTGCTGACGTGACTCCATAGATCTGCCCTTCTACTTTGTGCCTATTTCCTGCTTAGACTAATTCCTCACATCGCTGAATCCAGCTAGATGGCAGACCCCTTTCTGTGTGGAAATATCATGGATATAGTGCGTAAAAAAATCTCAGTGCTATCAAACATCCTTTTATTAAGGCCATTAATATAAGGTCAAGCTCTTTTGTGTTCTCAGCATTGGTGGCTGTGCTGCTGTAAGACAAAGCTTTGAATGACTTCTCTTGCTTTAGCTGGTTCGCCTGCCCTCAGCAGATCTCACTGCACACACGTAATTAGTTCCATTTGGAGCCATTCCAAAGTGAGAGTGAGCCAAAAATAGGTCTCTTAGAGAGTGCTGTGTGCTTGGGAAGGCCAAGGTGAGGGCAGAGGGTTTGGTAGCCTTCCATTCCCCGAGGAAGCGTCTGAGTGCGTTCCGTTTCTCTCACCAGGTCACTGCTTTTACCAGCTGTACAACAGGCTCCGAAACCATCACCTCAATTGTTTCGAGCAGTGCCCCAAGCCCTGCCGGTAGGTCACAAAAGCAGGGTGCAATAAATGCCAGCTTGCAGGGGAAAGATCACACCAGGGGAAATGTTGGGAACTTAGTGGAAAACTTAGGGACCCACTGGCACTTTCTGAAGCCGAGATTTCAGTTTGATGCTGGATTTTGAAACCCTTCTGGTTTTTTCTCCTGACCAGTTTTTGGGCATCCTTTGGGTTTATGTTCTAAGCTGATTTAGAAGCTTTTCCCAAAGTTCTCAGAACTTCAGATTTAAACAAGTAGTTCCCATTGCTAAACTCCTTCATGTATTCACTTTTAAATGCCAAGAGCCGTAGTGACCACAATCTCTGTTTTTATCTCATCAGGGAATCACTGTACAAGGTGTCTGCTGGGACAGCTAAATGGCCATCAGCGAAGTCTCAGGTAGTCCATACAGACAACTCTTGTGTTTAGAGGGGATGCTATCTTTACTGTGCTTGTTGGAACATTCAGGGTGCAAACAGTGAGTCAAGCCACAGCAATGGAAGTGGCAAATAAAGCAAAGTGTGCCCAAGGGAATGACCTTGTAGTTGAGATGCCAGACTGAGATGTACATTCGATTCCAGTTCTAATCCAAACTTCTTTGTGACCTTAAGCAATTCTCCTCACTGCCTCAGTTCCCACCTACAAACTGGTGTTAATGACTTTCTGCTTCCAGTGGGTGTTGTGGTGTAACAACTCATTACTGCCTGCGAGGTGCTGCAGGGCTACGATGGTAATTCTGTGAGTCAGCAGATTGCCTCTTGCCATTTCTTGTGTTCTGATGTTAAATGGGTATTCAGGCTGTAGGGCTGGGTAATTAATTCGTGTGATAGAGGTGATAATTACATGTAAATACAACCAATACATTTGGAGAGAGGAAACGATTTGGTGGCATTGCCAGTAAGGGCAGAATTTAAGAACCAGAATACTAACACAACTAAACTATCAGTGTGTCTTTCCTTGCTATTGTGGCAAATACAACTACCATTTGATAGCTGTCACTTTATGTTATAAACCAGTGGATCACATCCTTTGTTATCACTTGCAGTGGCCATTTGATTGCTAATGAAATCTACATTTACAAAGCATTAAACATACCCAAACTCAGAAGGCAGATTGCCAGTAACGTACCTCTACTCTGCTGCAGGACTGGGTCCGCCAGGCTCTGAGGCATCAGAATGGGTATAACTCCACCAGCAACAGGTCAGTCACTGTGAGAAGGTGCTCCTCTTAAAACTATGGATTAACTCTTCATCCGTATGGATGAATGTACAGGGTCATCCAGTGAATTCCCCATCTCTGCTCACAGCACTGTGTGACAATCCCGTCTGTAACCTTTTCCCAAGCTTATGTTTAACACCCTCAGGAAGAAAGCCTGAGTGGAGAGAGGAGAATGCCAGACCTCCCTTGCACCAGGTGAATGACATGTGGACATCCCACCGTTGCTAACTGCTCCCTTCCTCCACTACAGGAAGGATATTGCCAAGGTGACAATCTTCTACCAGCAACTGAACTACCAGTCTGTGAACGAGTCTCCTTTACTCACAGTAGGTTGCACTACATCAGCTGAAAACGTTGCTACCTGTCATTAGTTACAAGTGGGCTGTGTGGGGTTGGAGGGGGGATTATTTACAGCCCCCAAAATGGGATGGGATTATTCTTCTTGGGGAAGAGACTTGGAAATGTCCCATTTTACACAATCACACAGAATTGCTCCCCAGGTGGCAGGCAGCTTGCTGACCTGCAGTAATCCCGTGTTCCCAGAGCTCTGCTGTGTTTGATGAACACAACCCTTTGATTCTTTCCACAGGAGAATCTCCTTCTGTCCAGCATGGGAAGCCAGTGGAGCCTCTGGTTTGGATCCTCAGTGTTGTCTGTGGTTGAAATGTTTGAGCTGCTCATAGACACGCTGGTCTTGTCTCTCCTCTTCTGCTACCAAAGGTTCAGGTCAAGGAAGACAATGAATGTAGCTCGCACTCCTGCTATCCCCAGCGTGAGCTTGACCCTAGAGAACTACCGAGTTGTGCGAGAGGAAGCTGCAAAAGGTGATGATTCTGCTCATCCTCACCCTTGTGCAGTGACTGTTGCCATGGACAGGGGAGATTTGCATCTTCACCCATTCTCCAGCAAGGTGGAAATGCCAGAGCTTTGCTCAGATGTGGTGCTTAATGGATTTAGGTACATGAAGGACAGCACTTTGGGAGTGGAAGTGAACAGCTAAGGGTATGTTTGTGTGCACAGGGAGACTTGGAACTCCCCTGTTGCTCAGGTGCTGTCAGAAAGGCTGCAAACAGAAACATTCTGTGAGCACTAAACACCACACTGTGAGCTTGGCAATCCTCCTCCAGCTATTACAGTTCATTATTAAACCATCCGTGTGTCCTGGATTCAGGCATCATGCAATGTTCTTTTGTTCCTAATGAGTATCCAGGGAGGGGAGAACTGTTCTTCTCCTCTCTGGGACAGTCGTGGTGTCCTCATAAAAGCCTATTCATAGCTTTTAACTTCTAAGGCCTTGTGAGGAAACCAGCCTGTGGCTTCAGACAGGCCCATCTACATTTCACACATGCACTCAAAGGAGAAGTCAGCCTGGCTGTTAAAGGGAAGGATTTCCAGAGGAGGCTGAGGACTGTGTGCTCCTGTCAGTCAGGATGACAGAGCATGTCATGACAAGAGGTGCCTCTGATCACAGCTTTGCTTCCCAGACACCTCTCTGTCCTTAACCTGGGTATTGAGGTTGCAGTGCACAGGATGCTGCTGCTGAGATGCTTTTACATTAATTCAAATGAGACTTAACTATCCTGCAGGTAAGGAAAGGGAAGAAACAGGGTTGAAATCTTCTGTGTGTCACAGGCAAAGCATCGGATTTATTGAGGAGATTAAAATGCTGCGTTTTTGTTGCAGCCCGTGTATAGAGATGGTTCAATGTTAATATTTGACAGTAACTTATGTGTACGTAAAAGAACACGTTTATTTTTGATGGTGTTTGCACAGGAGCATTTTACTGTTCCGCTCTTGTTTGTGGCCTGCTGTGGAAAACAAGAGTTCAGAGGAAACCACTGCGCTTTGTTTTGTAGCTTTTGTAAGTAATAAAATGCTCTGGATACAGACTGTGACTGGGGGTCAGTTTGACTTTGTTTTGCCTTCAACCATTACCTGGGTTTCTTACTGTCTGATGGCTCCTTCTCAGTGCTGGGAATGGAAAAGGCTTCTTCAGAGTGCCCAGACATCACCTGCAGAAGCCTAAATGCACAGGGTCAAATCATGGGAAGAGGTCTGGTTCCAGACACAAAGGTGAGATCCCCAGAGCCTCCAGTTTGCTGCTGACCCCAAGATGCTTTTAAAGCCTCACTTTTTTGCTTCTTTTGCTTAATTATTTCTCTTTTCATTCACAAGGAGAATCTACAGAGACATGGAGCAAACCCAGAGGAAAGGGGCTGTAAAGCAGCAGCCAAGTGACAGTGAACAGGAACACGGGGGCTCCATTGCAGTGGGTGAGTCCATTTCCCACTGCTTAGCTTTCATCTGGGAGAGTGGCAGCTACTACAGCAGCTTTCCATGAGGAAACAGAAGCTGGAGCAGGGTGCTGGCACTCTGGATTTACACCTTTCCATGGCACTGCTGGGTGATTCAGGCCGTGACTCCCATTTGTGCCTCAGTTTGTGCTCCACACTGGCAACGCACAGCTCAGATGGAGGGAGCTCCAGATGGGTCAGTATTGCAGGGATGATACCACAAACACTAAGGTACGACCCCATGAAGGATGTGTAGGGCTGAGTTCTCAACTCCATCATGTTCTGTGATACAGAGGTAGCTGCTAAGCTGAAAATGAGCCCACACCCTCAGAGAAGGTTGCTGTAAGCTACCTTCAGACTGGGCACTTCTTACTTACACTTAGAAACCATTATTTCACTCTACTAAAGGTGGCACAAGCTGCTGTGAAGCAGATTTCCTCCACAGTGCAAGGGCAGGGGAGCCCAAAGCCTTCACTGTGTGCACATCCTGCTGTGGGGCTTCATGCTCACCTCGGAGCATCCCTCTGGGTCCCTGTGTCTGTGACTGCCTGTGGAGCTGTGCTCTGGTAAGGAGGGGTTTGGGGTTTGTCTCTTAGGAGAAACACGTTGTCAGAAGGACTGAGATGTCTGTTGAGGTGCCCCATTGCTGGAGTGTTTTGTTAATAGCATTAATGAAATTAGAGAGTGTCTGAATCACATAAAGGCCACCAGGAGAGTTCGACTCTTATCTGTTCGGGGGAAGGTTCATTTCCTTCCTCTTGTCAAGCCATTGACCTGTGCCAGATAAATTTCATATTTAAACCTTCTCCTATTAAAGTGCTTCTCTGGCTTGTGAGCATCTAGAACCTGCACATGGAGAGCTCCAGAACGGTGTCACCAACGTGGGAATCCACCCTTGCTTTGCCACCTAAACCCCCCTCTGTGCACTGCCCCTCTGTTGAGGCATCCCAGCTCCCAGAGAGTTCAGCAGTGGGCATGTCACAATCCCTGTCTTTATTCTCCATTCATAGACACTTTGTGTGGGAGCTTTTCACTCCCACCTCTTCAAAGCAATACATTCCTTCTGCCATAGGATATATTACATGTCTTCATTTATATAGATCATTCTGATAATGCACTTTCTTATGTCATGGTGCCTATACCTGTATAGGCCACACACAACCTCTTACTAGTTTTGGTACATACAATACTAAAAATGAAAGCTGTGCCTTAGGGAAGAGTACAACTCTCCCAGCAGAGGCACAACCAGCAGGAGATGGGGAAGGAAAGAAAGGTTCTGGTCTCATATTGCTTGGGAAGCGTCCATGGAACCAGTGTTGTATTTCCTGGTCCATGATAAACCAAACGGCTCCAAGCACTCCGTGTGGAGCTGTCCTAAGAGGAGTTACTCAGCGCTTTGCCAAAGGGGTCTGTGGAGGTCTGGGACCCCACTACAGCTCAGCTGTGTCCTGTGTGGCCTCTCTCCTCCAAGAGGATGGGATGATGGCGTGAGGAGAGCATCCTGCCACAGGGAATTGCATCCTGTAGCCACTGTGGGAAGCTGGTGACACCCCAGTGGCTGGTGCTGGCTGGGATAGTCCAGCTCGAGTCCAGCTCCAGTGACACAGCCACAGAGGAGGAAACCAAGTGTGGGACATTCACCTCTGTTTCAGAGCACTTCAGACCTGGTCTCCTCTGCACAGTCAATGCTCAGGACCTGTGCTTCATCTGGAGGTGATAAATGATTTCTGGTCAATGGTTCATGATGCTGCTGCAGTATCACCAGTGCCAGTGTCTGCATCCACCTGGGATGGGGAGGTTTTCCCAGGAATAGCAATGCAGAAAGGGCATAGAGAGCTCAAAGATCACCTTAACTCATTTTAAATCAGGTTCTGCAAGGCTGGATCCTAACCCTACGGTCTGAATCCATCCCTGTTCTGGAATTACCCCTGGAAGGGCTGACATTGTCCCGGTCAGGACACAGGCAGACACCAGAGAGAACACAGGCTCCTGGGAGAAGTGTGTGTGAGCAGAGAACTGCTTTCCTCAGGAGCTGAGCTCAGTTTGCTTCTGAGTGTGAGCTTCCAGCAGGTCTCAGCAGAGGGATGGATGGAGGTTGGGTGGATGGATGGATGGATGATGGATGGGTGGATGAATGAGGGATGGATGGATGGATGGATGGATGGGTGGATGATGGATGGGTGGATGATGGATGGGTGGATGGATGGATGGGTGGATGATGGGTGGATGACAGATGATGGATGGATGGATGGATGGATGGATGGATGGATGGATGGATGGAGGATGGATGGATGGATGGATGGATGGATGGATGGATGGATGGATGGATGATGTATGATGGATGGATGGATGGATGGATGGATGGATGATGGATGGATGGATAAATGGATGAGGGATGGATGGATGGATAGATGGGGCTATCTGCAGGAGTGGCTGAAGTGCAGGCTCCTTCTTTTGAGCTTCTCAGGGTTGTTTGAAGCCATGTAAGAGAACTCCCGGAAGATGTCCAGGTACGTGGCATCTCCTGCAAAGATACACAGGAAGAGGCATTAATCCCCTTATTTCCGCTTTGCTTTTCCATCCGCTAACAACAACAGGATTATCCATGAGCTTGAACTATGCAAACTACTCCCAGGCCTCTGCCTTCACAGTCAGACTGGGGATAATTCCTCCCTTTTAATAACCATGGTTCTTCTTTTCCAGAGCCCAAGAGACAGCAGAGAGACTGGAAGGAGAGCGCTGAGTGCTCTGGAAGGCAAAGGTCACTCCTTGTGCTTTATGCAACCAGTTTGCTGGAGCCAGTGCTCAGCCAGGAACAGAGATAAGGGCATTTACTCTTGTCTGGCTTCTCTTCCAGCAGCCGGACCTCCCAGAGCTTGTTGTGGCAGGTACAGCATCAGTCCACCTGCACTGGAACAACACAACAACCTGTTGAGGGGCACTATCAGGTAATAACAGCTCTTGGCGCCGGCTGACTCAAGGCCTGTCCAAACCACAAGTGAAGGCAAAGAGTTCAGGTGTCCCAGCAGAGGTTCTTGATAGGATCTCCCTCGGTGCAGGGATGGTTTCAGGTTTATGCTGCAATCCTAGAGATAACTGGGCACCCGCATCCCAACAGTGACATCTCTGCTCTGCGTTTGCTGCTTGACATTCTAGGGCAGGTTTGGCCATGGACTGCTGAGCTCATTTTTACCTGGTGATGAACCCATGTAGCCACAGGGGAGAAGATAAGTGGAAAGATCGCAGGTATTCACTGACAGCCACCTTTAGTCTCTCACACAGAGCTCCCGTGCCCCTTGTTTGACAGAAGACAAGTCCTGGAGAGTCACTGGAGGGTAGGTCCGGAGCTGCAGAGCTCCCAGGCACATCACTGTCCCCGTTGGTGCAGTGCTGAGGGTAATACCCAAACGTGGTTCCACAAAGCCAACTTGAGCAGGATCCAGCGTGATCGTGCTGCCCTCTTTCACCCCAGCTCATGGGTGAGCACACTGGGATGAGAGAATTGTCCTTTTGTAGCCTATGAAGTGTCCAGCCCAAAGACCTGGAGGGTACCAGCCCTCAGCACTACCCACATGCGCATGGCAAAGGCTCACAGCACGACCCTCATCGTCAGGCAGGCTTTGATCAGGAGCTGCTGTTTCAGGTACATCAATGCTCAGGCAGTGGCAGGTTTTGTGCCTGCCACAAACCCACCTTGACCTACCTGTGAGCTCCTGATTACAGTCACTGGAGCCTCTCCTTAACAGTGGGACTGAGCCAGCCTCCACTGCCCCACCAGTGCTGTCCTGTGCCTACAAACACATCCCGATGTTACAGTGAGCCCTGGACAGCCCCCATCTCATCCCATCCCATCCCATCCCATCCCATCCCATCCCATCCCATCCCATCCCATCCCATCCCATCCCACCTCCCACTCTGCCTTTCCTTCTTTGGGTGCATCACGCAGCTTCCCAGCATTCCCACCTGCTCCCTACCTTCCTTCCCTATATAAAATCCTCCTTTTCTAGGAGAGACAAAACCCCAGCCCACCCACATGGCAAAGAGGTGACTGCTGCGAGGACAAGACTCAGCTCTCCAGGGTTTCTTTAGGATGAGTCTCGAGTCGGGAAGCTCACCCAGCAGCAGCAGGTAGGCAAGCACTGAAGGTGCTGATGGAGAGACCCAGGAACAGCCACTACTTCTCCTCTTTGGTGTCCAAGTGGTACCTTAGGCAGCGGGACACAGAATTCCTGTTGCCTCCTGCCAGGTGATGTGGGTAAGATCCTGACTCTGTCCTTGTTCAGTGAGCTCACCAATCCTCCTGTGCACTGATCCAGTATTCATTCTGCTGACACTGAGATTTAACTCCAATTACAAGAATCCTACTGCTGTAGTAAAGCATCAGTCCCAGACTGGGGAAGACAGCTGAGCATTTAATCCTCATTAACTAAAGAGAGTCTTTTGGGGATCTGGGTGCCTGCAGTCCCATTCCAGTCTCCAATGTGTTTATCCTTGTGAGGTTTGGGGACACCACACTCTGCTTCAGACAGGAAACAGGGGCGAAGTGGGAGGCAACAGCAGGGTGAGGAGCAAACCACGTGGCCCCAAAGCTCTGTGCTTGCAAACACACTGGAAGACCATGCAGCTCTCCTATTAATGCCTTAAATGACTGCAGTACTCCTGATATCCATGGATCCTTCCTCTTTAACTCCTCCACTGAGGTCAGGAGCCTACCTGGATGCATTAACTGGGAAGGGGAAGCAGAGGTTATTCCGCAATCCTGGTTTTGTACATTTGTTTTCCATGCCAAGTATGACAGAAATGATGAGGCCAGGCCAGGCTTTTCTTCTTCTTTTATTTCTCTGCCATAGACACACAGTGTGAGAGAAACCAAGGGGAAGGATTGCACCGAGATACGTGGGGAAGGGTGGTCCATGTGCAGAAGATTCCGTGTAGTGCAAGGTCTCCTGTTACAGGATTGCTCATCACATACCAAGCATTGACTGATGCAGGTGCTCTGAAGAAACAGGAATGGGTGCGTTGGGGCAGGGGGGGTGAGCTGAGCCTCTCACCCTTACCCCAGCCTTCTCCCAAAGCATCCTGACACCACAGTGTCACAAAAGAGCATCACAGAACCCCACAGTTAAATGCAGAGCATTATGTGCCATTCCGCTCTATTCACTGCCCTGAAACTCAAGCAGAGAAGGAAAACAGGTTAAAAGGAGCTGGGTTTCTAGATCCAGTTAATACAGGCAGCAAGGCGAGAAACCCTACACGAATAAATGAAGCCAAAGAAGGAGGAGGGAAGGAGTTTCTCTAGCTTTTTATTAAGAGTGTTTCAAGAGACAAGAGAAGAGCAGGGAAGGGGGGGGAAAGGCAGACACCACAGCAACAGGTTTCAAATAGTACAAAGATAATCACAGAGAGGAGATCTGGGTCCGTAGTTACAGTCAGCACAGGCTGTGCAGGGAGAGGGGGCATTAAAAAACGGGGTACAAAGTGGTACTGAAAGCAGGCAAGTGAAGGGGGGTCATAGGTTACAGCGTATTTACAGCCCAGCAGCCAGTGTGCAACCACCACACGGGGCAGCTTCCACTGCCTAAAGAGAGAACTTCTTCCTCTCTGTGCTGTTTCGATAGGAAGGGTTGGGATTCATGGCCAGGAGGAGGCTTTCTCATCCCAAAGGCTCTCACCTATGTAACCCTATGGGAAGAAAGGTTCTACCGTGATGCAGAAGCCACAGGTCTCACATAGCGTGGATTCCTGATCCTGGGATCCGTCTAACATCCATGTGCTGTTATTGAGGGACACAATGGATTCAAGCCAACTGATCCCTGGGAATCCACACTGACATCCATGTGCTGTTACTGAGGGACACAATGGATTCGAGTCAGCTGAGGTCTATGGATGCGCTGACACTCAAAGGCAACGCATCACTGCTGGGAGCACAGGGAGGTACAAACTCAACCTGCTCCTTCACAGCCCTCACTGTACGCTGGTGCTAAGGGCTGGCCGAGGTGTGGTTGTGGAGCAAATGCTCCTGCTTCAGCCTCTGCGAACACACGTGGTCCTCCTCATGCCTTGGAAACCCTCTTATTCCCACCTCTGTCCCTCATTCCCTCCCAGAACCATTCAGAGGCTCTGCCTTCCCACTGGGTTTACAGTAACCCCAACTCCCCACAAGGCTGAGGAGGAGCCAGCAGATCGATGTGAATCCCATTCCTATGGAAACAGCCCTCGACAGCCTGGAATCTCAAAGGAAAACCTGGTTTCCTCAGAGCTCCCACTCTCCTGCTCAGCCCCTTCTCCACGGAGCAGCACCGCACGCACGAGCCCTCACAGGGACACTTGGCGTCAGGCGCCCGATGCTTTAGGAGCGCGGTTTAATCCCTTCAGCCTCTCTTGTCTTTGGTTGAAAGCGATAACGCTCGGGCAGCGAGGAGGGAAGGGGGTTCAGGGACAGTCGAGCAGCGCAGCACCACCAGCAGCTCAGCACAAGGCACCCTGGCTGCGCTGTGGCCACCGGACTGTAAGTAAATCAGTGCATTCCTTTAGGAGGTCCTGCTTTTCCTCTTGCATAAATAATGGCCATTTTGGCTGGGCTGAGATGTTTCCTCATCTCTTTCATGCTGAGCACGGCCTCAGCTCCTCCAACCTTTCTTTTTCAAGACAGATTCTGCCAATTCCCTGTTTTCCCTCTGGACTGCTCAAAGGAATTCCTCATTGCAGAGCCCATCTCAGAGGCAACAGCATGAACATAACGTGAGGCTTCCCTGGGTGACGTGTGGAGCTGGACCGTGGCATCATCTCCGCTTCCCAGCAACCTGACCTCATCCCGTTTGGAATCAGAGACGTGGCAGACCCCAAAGATCCAACCCTAGACTGCCTTGTCCAGGCACGTGGTTGTACAGGGTTTGGGTCGAATTGAACAACAGCTGGGGCAGGGATGGAACTGTCCAGCCTGATCCCCAACCCTCAAACAGTGACAGAATCCGCAGGGCTGAGGCGATGGCTTGGGTCCATTTGTGTTTGGGCAATGCCTGGCACGTTGCCTTCTAAAGGTGGCTCTCCTCATGTTAACTGTGGCTGCGACCACGGCGGATGGATAACACAGGAGGAATGCAAAGAGAGGGGGTTTGGCTTTGGATACCTCCAATGAGGCTGCACAACACAAACCCAGCTGTGGCTGAAGGCGCAAAGGAAGGCGTTCGATCCTCACCTTCCTTGGAGCCTGCTTGGCCTTTCCCTTTGCTCTGCCCTCCAAGCCTCCACGCACGCACACACGGATGCAGGCACCCACCCACAGGACCACGGAGAACACGGAGAAGTGCCTTTCCCTGGAGAACCTTTCTGCTTTGGAAACTGCAGGCTGGGTGACAGCGATCGCGGGTTGAACCGGAGGCAGCTCTGATGGGAGGCACGGGGGGAGGAAAGGGAAGGAATTGGGGGGGGAGGAGGGGAAGGGAGGTTTTGAAGGGTGATCCCTAAGGAGGCTACAAAAAAACTCCTGACATTAAATACAGAGCGACTGTATTGGAGGGAATTGCACTAATCCTCTGGGCACGGCGAGAATAAATTAAACACTCAACAAACAAGTTCACTGCTTAAAAAAGACAGCACAAAACCCATAACAAAAAGAACATACCCCCCCCCCCCCCCCCAATACTGTATGTAGGAAAAGTGCACAAAGTTGCTTTATACATTGAGTCTAAATAAAGTACCAATACAAGTTAAATAGAGAAATTGTCTTGCAAGACACCGCTTTCTGCATCAGTATTTACATCGGCTTTGACTTCGTGTACTTCAGCAGTGAGGCAGAGCTTCAGTGGACCCAACTGGACAGGACCTTTGTCTTGTTCCCCTGAGCCCCTGCTGCTGTGAAATCAAACGACCCAAAGTGGAAGCCACGGCTCCAGTTCTCACTGGCTCACAGCAAGTATCAGTGGTTTCTAACTCCTAAAAAGCTGGAAAACCAACGGGGGCGGTGGAAGATGCTGTCCATGGGAAACCAGCCATTGCTGGGCCATGAGCGGGCTGGGAGTCGGGAGCACAGCAGGACCATGGCACTGGTGAAACGTCCATTTCACTTGTGAGCTCGCTGAAGTACCCCGAAAGATGCCAGCTCTGATTCAGTGCCCCAGGAAAGGGCACAGCTTGAGGGGACATCAGCACTGGCAAAGCCTCAGTTGGGGCAGGTCAGTGTGAAATGGGATGGGGTTAACAAAGAGAACTCATGACACAGAATCCCTAACCCAGGAAGCACCCTGGATGCTGGTTCCTGTACCAAGCACTAAGTGCTGATGTGGATGCCACAGGGTGACCTGCAAGACCTCAGCCTAAGCATAGCACAGTCCTGCTGAAGGCAGGCCCATGCTTCAGGGCTTTGCTGTATTGCTGCAGGCTCGGCACCGCATCCCATCCTGCTGGACCACAGCATCCAGCACCATCTGGGCTCTGCACAGAGCAGTGAGCATCGCAGGGTGTTTCACACCAGGGGTGATCTGTGACGTGACAGACTTGCTCCTGACCCAACCCAGACTGAGAGCAACACCAGCTGCAAAGCGGGCTCCACTGGTAAGGGAGGGGTGTCAATGGGGCAATGACAAGTGAAGGCATCACCATTTGAATTTAGGGTGAAGTGGACCAGGAAGAAGACAAAGCCCAATGCAAAGGACCAAGAGATGAAGCTCCAGGAGAACACAAAGTGGTAACCTTTGTAATGCTGCACAAGAAACGCCAGCTGTACCTCACATGGGCATCAGGAAGAAAGATTTAACCCAGGGTGTATTAAACCCAAACTGCAGGAGACCATGCAGCAGCACTGCGGCAACAGCTACGCACAGTGCACATCTGCCTGCATCTGGCATCACACAGCTGGATGCCTGGGGCCAGCCCTCTTCACTCAGTGATCATGGAATGGTTTGGGTTGGAAGGGACCTTAAAGCTCACCCAGTTCCAACCCCTGCCATGGGCAGGGACACCTTCCACTGGAGCAGCTTGCTCCAAGCCCCATCCAGCCTGGCCCTGAACAGTGCCAGGGATGGGCGACCGGATTCCAGAGTCACTTGTGGGAGCTACAATGAGGACATGGTCCCTGCTCCTCTGAACCAAGGATTCCTACATCCTGCATTCCTCTGAAGCTGAACTGCGTTTTATGCATACTGCTCCATCCCAGAAGCACCCATCCTGAATCCCTGAACAGAACATGAGTATCACCAAGGGACCTGCCCTCTGCCAACGAAGGGCACATCCCACAGCTTCTACTCCAGAGTTCAGAGGGAGCATTGCCTGTCAGAGGCTATGGGATAGCTTCAGACCAGAAAGGAACCCCAGGACAGAAAGAGTGGGCTGAAGGAGAAAATGCCATGAAAGGCCAATGGGGCCAAGCTCATTCGTTTTTGTTTTCCAGGACTGATGGAAGCAGACTGATTGTTATTTATGGAAGCACAAAGGCCCTGGGGCAGCTTTTGCACTGCCATGACCTGCAGCAGCTCCAGCACAGTCACCAGGAGCATTTCAGATTCACAGCTGGGCCCGAGCTCAGAACGTGGTGCTCAGCACCGTGCACCCCAAAGGGAACAAGCAGGAGAAAGCAACAAGAAAAAGATGGATTTCAAAACCCAGCCTGCACAGATGCAAAACTGTGGTCTGGCTCCAGCAGAGCTTGGGACAGCACCTTCCTAAGGAAGCAGGGATCCTCCCACGCACTGAGAGAACTTCCTACCAGAGACTAAAGTGGAGTTTATTGTTCCACTTCTAGATGTGAGCATGGACACCGGTGCTGTTGGTTGTCTGAGGGCAGCATCTTGAGTGAGGAGCTGGATCCCTGCTGCTTCAGTATCTGAGGACACATGATGTCAATAGGACAGAGCTGTGAAGGTTTGTAAGGGGAGCAGCACGCCAGCAGCCAGGATAAAACAATATAAAGGACTCAGACATGTATTGGGTGAAAAATACTCCGATTGTGCACCACTGCTGATGGAATGCAGGAGGATGGGGAACTCTGCCTGGTATTCCTGCCTTCCTTGCTAGGTCTTGATCCCCTCAAGATCCCAGCACTATCCATAAGGCACAACGGCCCAAGCCCAGAGCCAGCAGCCTGGGAGCCCAAGCAGGTAAATACCAGTTGTGAAGTGACAGCCATGAGCCCTGAAAAACTGATGTCAGCTGCAGCTGAGGGCACTCCCAGAGGCTCTGACAGGGGCACACCTCAGCCTGGCACCCAGGACCCCAGCCAGAGGATACCTGCCAGTGGTACACGTGCTCAGAGCCAGCACTCCATGGCTGCAGCACCTCTGCGGAGCCACTGTAGCATGATCCCATCACGCAGACCATAAACACAGCAACAAAGTGCTCCAAGTCAAACCACGTTCCCCCACTCCAGCAAAGAATAACCCAAGGAAAGAAACAAAAAGGAGAAGATTCTGCCGGGCATTGGAACTGAGGAAGTCAAAAGCCCCTGGGCCTGCTGCTGAGATGCCCATCTCACACGCGTCAGCATGCGGGGGGAGAGCACAGAGGGATGGATACATGCAAGTCGAAGTCTCCTTCACTGAGATGCTAAGTCAGAAACCTGAAGGGAGCAGGAAACAAACAGAACCAAAGTCCAATTGCATCGTGCAGCCACTCGTTCAGGCAGTGGGAGCTGGACGTGGCTTCTCTTCCCTGACAGAAAGCCCATCGCCAGCGACAAGCTTCTCCCAGCCTCAACAGATTAGCACTGCTGCTTCCGTAACACTATAGGCAGGTTGCACCTTGGCCCTGGAAGCAGGTGAGCTATGGCTTTGACCAGCTAACCACCACAGGCAAAACAAGGGGAGTGTGGCTGGTATAGTCCTGAGAGCAATCGAGGTGAGGAGCCATCGCTCTCAATCCTACCCCTTCCGTTGTGCCTTCTGGAGCAAATCTCTCTCTGCCCCTCGAAACAGCCTGGTCCTGACTTCGAGGTCCTCTTTAGCTGTGCAAGCTGCTGCAGCAGTGCCATGGGTGAGCAGGCTGCTGGTCACGCTGCCAGGCCAGAGGGCTCCACGTCAGAATCCCTCCCAGGCTGTTCAGATGAGAACTCAGTGCGTGGAAGCCACGCTGACGCAGAGAGAGGTCTGATTGTATCGTTGGTGGGCTCCTCCTGGTGATAGAGGGCTTCCTTTTCTTGTCTTCATTTTAAATGCTAAACTCACCTCCCACACTTCCCACACACTCAAGTCCACGTGCCATGGTCTGTGGTTATGCCCTAGGAGTCTCCTATACAAAAATCAACCATCCAGTAGTCAAGCATGAGAACTTAACGCTAACAGGAAGGATCCCTTTTCCTTCCTGCGTGCATCTCAACCTATAAGTGCAGGCATCAAAAACAGACCAATCTGCAAGAAACACCAAGATACCAAGGATGGGGCTTCTCAGGGCTTCTACAAGTTCAGCCCAACTTCAAGACAGCGAAGGGGAGGTGGGGGAGTTGTCACTAACACTCATCTATATTAAGGCTGATGAACTCCTGTATACACTTCCTGTACTGCAGCTCAGTAGGGCTGTTGCTGGGATATTGACCTGGTTGTCCAAAGGGCCCCTCTGCTTCTCGCATTTCCTCATTCATCCGAGCCAGACGCAGCCTAGAGAGAAAGCACAAGGGAGAGGGGTTTGGTTATTCCCCCCCATGGCCATTTACAGGCAGCGTTGCTCTGCACGTGCACTGCCAAGTCCTGGCTGCACTTACAAGGTGACTATGTCTGCATTGGCTGCCTGGACTGCAATGCTGAGCGGGTCCTGCCCATCGCCATCCACCGCGTGCTGATTTGCTCCTCGCTTGAGGAACAAGCAGACCTGACTGTACAAGGGAAAGAAAAGACCATCAGAGCACAATTCCAGCTCCCCCACCCCACGCTGATACAGGCAGAGGGCACTGTCCTTCTCTAGGCAGATACAGCTTCACTTGTGTTGGTCTAAATCAGGACATGCTGCACTGGCATGGAGAAAGGAATGGGTGTACAGCGGCCCAATTACCCCCGTCCACCAATATGGGGACAAATACCCTTAAAGATAACCAAAAGGGCATGTTTTGCAATAACCAATTCACCAAACCCCAGCTCCCCTGCCCACCTCACCCCCTGGCTCCCAGTGTTAAGGCTGTACCTCAGTCCAAGGGTGATGGAGCACATCCCAGCAACGTGCAAAGAACTTACCCAGTGTGCCCCAGGTATGTGGCATGGTGCAAGGGAGCTCGGCCTCGGATATCTCTTTGGTTAACATCTGCCCCATTCTGCAGCAGGAATTCACAGGCTATCAAGGAGCCCTGCCAAGAGAAAGGGGGATTTCTAACCTAATTCAGCCAGCAGTACTGAGAGGATACAGGGGCATGTACCAGGCTGTAGGCTGGCCATGGTCAGTGCACCCTGAACTAGAGTCAAGACCTCCCATTGCCAGCCACAGCGTACCCCCATCACAGCTTGAATCAGAGGAGTTTTGTTCTCATCTTCATCATTCACCCAGTTGATCTCAGCCCCATTTGCAAGTGCTTCTGCCATGAGAGGCAGGTTTCGGGCTTGTGCTGCCTTGTAGATCAACAAGCCAGGATGCAGCTCCCTCAGGTCCTCCAAATCTGATGCTTCTTGTTCAATCTCTGCTTCACCACTCGACTCCTCTGACACCTCGCACTCTAAGAAGAGTAAAGGATAGAAAGAGATGATCCAATAGCTTCGTATTTCCAGTGTCTTCTGTTCCCTGTTCTTCTTGGCACCAGGCAGCCCCTGCCTTAGCATTAGCTGCCTCCCCACACTTGTGGCCTGTGACACCCACCTTCCTCTGTCACGCTGTCCACCACAGAGCCAAACACGAGGATATCCGTGCTGCCATCTGTGCTCCCTCCGAGTCCACTGTCACTGCTCAGACCTGCAGGGCCAACAGAAGACAAACCAAGCCCATTTTAATACCCTGGCATTCCAGTACCGGGCACAGCTGAGACCACAGGGGAAAAGGGCTGCGCAGAACGTCACACACACACTGCACCGGGCACTGCAGCAAGGGAGAGGGGGACTGCTATCCCATTTAGCCCCACTCAGTAACACTGCCCAAGGAAAAATGGCAAAGCCTTATGGTGTCCGTGTCCCCACGCTGCCCTTCATGCAGGGATGCTCCAACATTGCCATGGCACTTTGGACTGCTGAGGACAGCCCTTGCTGCAATCCATGAGGGACGCCGTGACGTAGACTGGAGCAGAGCAGCAGCAGAGACAGCTTTGCAGCGGGTTATGCAGTGTCAGAAGCAAACAGACATCCCTCTGCTTTTACCATGGTAATCTCAGTTTCTACTCTAGCCATGCTCTCCCCGGAGCTTTGCAGTTGTCACTTGCAAATGCATTGCTCTTGTCACAGATTACTGACCACGACTGGGGCAAATATCATCAACATTGTGTATCTCAAGGCCAGACTCCTAAGGCATTGTCCATTGGCTCCTTCACCTTCACAGACCTCCCCTCCCGTTCCCTACAGTGCTTCCCACCTTCCCTGCTTAGCTGATGAACGTGGCAAGACAAGAAATGGAGTCAGGAAGAGATGAAGTGATTTGCCCAAGGACACGCAATGTGTCAGTGGCAGAGCAACTCGGTACCTTTACTGCTTGCACCCAAAAGCAGTCAAGAAAATGATAGGAAGACAGGAATTGCTCCTGTGGGAGCATGGATGGCACATCCCCTCTGCCCCAGGGGATGCCTGCACCTCTTGGGAACTCCATCTGGATTCAGCTTCTTCCTGCTTTTAACTTCCCAATGACTGTAAGGGCTGGGGGTGCCTGTCCTCCCACAACTCAAGAGGTTAAGTCCCCCTCATCTACCCCAAGACCTCCCCTCAACCCCTTGTGATTAGGGATTAAAACAAGCTGACAAAGCTCCTGAAGTATGAGCTGAGTACTCTTTGCAAAGAGCAAAGGGGAACAGCAGGGAAGGCTGCAAGAGCTAAGGATCTGAGCCTTGAAACAAGCAGAACAAGACACCTTAACCTTAAAGGCTGGCTGTTGAAAACTTCAAGCAGCTACAGCTAGGACCCAGATAAAGAATATCATCTAAATCAGTGGTCCTGACATTTTGGCTCACAAGTAATCCTTCAGCACTGCTCAACAGCCAGAGGGGATAATGAACCTACAACAGGGAAGGTTTGAAGTGACACCCATTGGATTTGCTGTCAGGAAAATCGTTGCTGGCTGTTGCAGAAAGGAAGCATGGTGCTTGGTGAGATTGTGCTCTGCATTGTCAGGACAATAAAGAGTGACTCCAACAAGTCTAGAGCTACATCCAAGCAAGAAAGGAGGATCTAGCTCCCATCACACAAACATTAATACATCAAATTCCCAGTTCTGTTCCCACTGAATCAGTGACAAATTCCCATTTTCTTCTACAAGGCTGTGGAGCAACTCTGAGGTCTTGCATCCCCCAAGTACTGTTTCTGTTGACTAATAACCCTAAATTCCTCGAGACTGGAAGAGCCCGCAAGGCACCAATTCAGACAAGCACTGAAGCATCATCTTCTTGATTTCAAGAGATAACACGTACTTGTAGGAAAGCCTCTCATTTTCTGCTGTGCTGACTCAGGACCCTAAGTATTTCTCAGAAGTTCATACAACAACAAGCAACTGAGCTGGTAGGTGAGAAGTTACCACTCCTCAGCTAAGTATGATAATGGACTACAGGACTGCTCTGTGAAGATGTGGGGCATTTGAAGTAAACACTTCTCACTTCCTATTTGCCATGAGATCCCATCTGCAGAGGACTGGATCCTTTATCTCATCTGAGGGATAGTTGATCCTTTAAGATATAGTAACTCAACTGCTGAGTCAAGTAAGGTCTTTCTCCAAGTGAGACCCCACTTGGAGTACTCTGAACAGTTCTGGCGGCCCCAGCACAAGAAGAACATGGAACTGTTGGACATGGAGCAAGTCCAGAGGAGGGCCAGGAGGATGATCAGGGCCTGGAGCACCTCCCATATGAGACAGGCTGAGAACATTGGGGCTGTTCAGCATGGAGAAGAGAAGCTGCATGAAGGCCTGAGAGCAGCTTCCAGTGTCTGAAGTGGGCCACAGAGCTGCTAGAGAGGGACTCTTCATCAGGGACTGTAATGACAGGACAAGGGGTGATGGGTTCAGACTTAAACAGGGGAGACTTAGGTTAGATATAAGGAAGCAGTTCTTCCCTGTGAGTGATGAGGCCCTGGCACAGGTTGCCCAGACAAGCTGTGGCTGCCCCATCTAGAACTGGATGATCTTAAGGTCTTTTCCAACCCAAACCAGTCTACGCAGGAAACCCTAGGAAGCTTTCCTGCCCTTCAAAAGCCAACCAGGCTGTCTTTCCCACAAGGGACTGACAATTCCATGATTCTGTGTACGGGTTCCAATCATTTGGCTGAAAGAAAACACAAAACTGCTTCTGAAGCTTGGTTTGGAACAGTGAAATTTGGGTGTCTCTTTTGCTGCTAGCTGCCAGAGCGTCACCTTACCTCCGTCCAGGAGGAACGGCGTACCGCTCCCACCGGGACCAATGCCACTGCCACTCCATGGGCCAGCTGCTAGCGGATGCTGCATAGAGATGTGGCTGGCACCTAGAGGAAGGTGGACGGAACATGAGGGGAGTTCATCGTCACAAACACAAAAAAGAAGAACTGTCCTGAGCAGGACTTGTTAAAAAAAAAAAAAAGGAGGAAAAAAATTAAAAGCCAAAATTAAAACCAGGAAAAAAAAAGCAAAAAAAAAGCTGATGGAATGCAAAAGATGTTGGGAAAAAAATCCCATCAGAATGCAAACACCAGGGACTGACTGGGTATTAACAACAGAGCAACAGGTTGGAGTTGGTGTAACTAACTCCCCATCGCTCCTCTGACATAGTTACCCTCTCTCCAGTGAGGCCGATACCTTCCCTTAGGCCTGGTGCAATGCACGTGCCCTGGCAGAGCTGGAGGTGAAGCGTGCCAGGAGCAGGGGTACTTTCTTTGTACTTACTACGTGGGCCGGAGCCAGCACCAGTGTCAAAGTAGGAGAAGAGAGAGTCCAGCTCGTCGGGGCAGAAGAGGGAATCTCGGCGGAACTTCCTCTCCAGCGTAGCTGCTGTTCCACACAGAGAGATGAAAGACACAGTTTATAACAGCAAGTGAGAGTTCTGCAGCTGTGGTTACACAGGCTGAGCTTGCACATCCGATGGAACCCAGGGTCCAGTGCCATCCTCATGCCCATGTACACCACCAAAGTACAAGAAAGAGCTGACCACAGGTGATACACTGCAGACAGAGTCATCCCAGAGCATCCTGAGCAGCCAGAATCCCTTAGAAGCATGGCCTCTCTTACAGACCAGGTAAAAATCAAAGGATTTGAAACTTATTACAAAGCAGGAAGCCGGGATACAAAAGAAAACGCACAAAGCAGCATATATATGCTCATATATATATATGTATCACCCTATGCTGGATATCCTTAGTGTAATCATCTCTTCCTTTAGCCATAAAAACCTCCTTAAACAGATGGAAAATAATAAGAAGTGGCTCTAAATCCCCACGTCAACAGTTTGTGCAACAGCATTTTGCTTCTACCTCTGGCAGGCTTGCAGGTCCTAAAGCCAGGGCCCCCCAGTGTTGTAAGGGCTGTACACACCTACAGAGCGGTGGGCAGGCCACGCTCTGCATGGGGAGCAGGGAGAAGGGGGCTCCCACCTGAGGACAACATGGCTGGTGATGCGTTGCCTGCTTCGTGGCGGTACTTCCTGCGAGCTGTGGGTGCTTTGGTGGTGCTGTTGTTCCTCTGGCACTTCTTCACACACCAGCGCCGAGGTTTCCGCTCGTTCTCTGTTAGCGTCTCCCCGTTTGGCAGCTTCTTGAGGAATTTCTTCTCCACATACTTCACTTTGATCCAGGCTTCCTTGTCCTGCCTAAGAGGAGAGCGGCATAAAGCTGTGCCCAGCATCACCATTCAGCTAAAGCAAACCTAAATGCTCCATCCCTGGCAGTGTTCAAGGCCAGGCTGGACAGAGCCTTGGGTGACATGGTCTAGTGTGAGGTGTCCCTGCTCATGGTACGGGGTTGGAACTGGATGATCTTAAGGTCCCTTCCAACCCTAACTACTTTGTGATCCTAAAGGCAACACCGCATGCTTCAGTACATGTATTTGCATGGTCTCAGAGCAAGTGGAAACCCAGCAAGCCCTGGTTCCCAAGCATGTTTCAGCAGGTTGCTGGCTGGTAATGTCCCATTGACCTTTCTGAGAGTCAAGCTCAGGCTAGAAACAGAGGGACTGGACTCACCTGGAGCTCCCTGATGTTGGCTTCTTAAGTCCCAACTCTTCACACTGTGCCTCATAAATCTGATTCATGGTGCTGTTCCCCAGCTCACACATCAGCTGCAATATAACAGGGATCAAACGAAATCCTCAGATGAGGAGCTAAATTCCCTCTAGTCTAGCCTGCCACCAAGTAAGTCTCCCTCCATGTCCAACATTTATCTATCTCTTGCTGTTAAAAGCCAACACTCACCTTCAGCAGCTCTGGCTCCCAGGAGTCCAGTGTGAGAGATCGGACCTTGGAGCAGTGAACACCCAGGCTCCTATTTATCCAAAAGGAAGAAAACTGAAATGGTTACATGCCTCAAAACAGAACTTCTCATGCATCATCAGATGAACAAGATCAATCCAGTTCTTATGTATTTATCCATGCAGATTTAGTTACAGCAGAGTTTTATGCATATGCATACACAGATGTGCATCACTTTTGGATCTATCTGTACCAACGTTATGATCAGTTATAATTCAGGCTCCACTGTTCTTTCCAGGAGCTTGCAATCCATCTGTGCCTGCAGTGCACAGCATACATGCACACAGTACCTGTGGATACCAGAGCACTCGATGCACAGCAGAATGCCCAGGTTGATACTGGCCCAGCGAGGATCTGGCTGACCACAGTCACAGCACTGGTCATTCCCAGGAATGCTCTGCACTCTCTGTAGGATGGATTCTCCTTTCACACTGCGCTCCCGGGAGTCAGTAGCAGAATCAATGCTGCTGGTTGATGGGGAAGCAGTCCGGTCCAGTCTCTGCAGGGAAAAAGGGGATCCAGGATTCTGCAGAGGACTGGAACAAACCAGACCTTTGCATAGCAGAGGCACTGATAGGAAGCATCACCTGAAGAACAAACTAAGGCTAGTCCAGGAAAGGAAGCGGTAAAGCCTCATTAATGCTTATTATTACTCCAAGGCTGTGCTGCACCCCATCCCTGCTCTGGCAGCATGCAAACCCCTGTTGTCACTGTGCATTGCTTGCACTTGTTAAAGACAGGGAGCAAGCCCTTCACAGGGGAACTTAATTCCCAGGTGAACGTCAATCCACAGTGATGGCAAGAAAGTGAAGATGTCAGGACACTGATTTAAAGCCTTGCCTTTCCCCCAGACAAGCTTTACAAGCTTGGCTTTGCTGGTGAATAATCGTTGCCTTTGAGTTCATCCTGACATTAGCTCCCTTCCTTGAGGGCAGAAGTATTTCCCAACAGTCCACATAGACACACGGGACCTGCCACAGCCCAAAAGGCCACTATCAGGGTTCTGAGGTACAACTATGGGTCTTTCATGACCCTCTCACCCACTTCAATATAGTAGCTGTCAGGACTCTCCCGGTACGCAGAAGCGATGCTCGCTTGCACAGCCTGGATCCAGGCCTGACGCAGCTTCTCCGAGTCAGCCTGCAGCATGCAGCTCCTGAGAAGGAAAAATGAGTTGGAAAGAGAAAAAGGCCAGGGTTCCCCTCCTCAGCACAGACATTCCACAGACTTACTTGGTAGGTGAGACGACCTCAAAGCAAAATCTCCTCTCGATGTCTTCGCATGGCTTGACAGTACAGAGCCGCAGGTCTTCCACCACGACTGTGAGGACATCCTGAAAGGGTGAGAAGAGGTGGCTTTGTTGGTTCCCTCAATCTGTGTAGGACACAATCAGGCCTCTCAGAAAACTCCTTCCCATAACCTGCTGGCTTGGCATATGCTGAGTGCAGAAGAGCAGAGCCAGCCCACCACTGCATAACTCCAGGGCAATAGGAAGAGGTTACACAGAATCAAAGCATGGGACAACATGCACCTGAAGTGGCAGGCTTAGTGGGAACTTCAACTTCCTCTGCTGAACAGGGGTATTTAGGATGCCACATACACTGTCTGCTGCCACTGAGATCTCAGCACAGTCTAACTTTGGAGCAGAGTAATGCCTGAATAGGCTTCCTGTCCCTCTGATGCAATTCCCCTCCCCACTCCTTCCACTCCACTCCCCCACCATGGTTGGAAGTCCCCAGCAAAGCAGGATACCAGACAAGTTGGCTAATCTGCCAGTGTCATCTGGGGCAGCCTCACTGACCTTTAGCTTTTTCTGGTACACCAGCTGACTGTTCTGTATGGAGAACCACCTCCTGAGGGAAGACAGACAGACAGACATCAGAATTGAACAGTACTAGCAACTTGTTCTGGCAGAGCAGGTATCTCTCCATCTTAAGAGTATGATTTATCTCAAGAAAAGCTCACACTTCCCCAGTGCCCTCCCTCAGAGAACAAGAAAGGGTTTCCAGCCTTAGGGAATGACTCCTGCCTTCAGGATGCTATGATGGCAAGTGTTCTAGATACATCAGTGGATAGCAAGAAGGAAGGAAAGACAGGGAGAAACAGAGGAGTAGGGCAGTCCCATGTTACTGCCTATGATTTCTGTCTGCACACTGGGGCAGGCAGTAAATCCAGTGCCTGTGGGACACGTTGCACTGGTTAGGGCATACTTCCATATGTGCTCAGTGGGTATATTGACATTTACTGTGGAAGGTGGTCAAACAATGCCAAAGCTCCTGTTTCCTCTACAGGAAGCTATGTGTGAAGGAAGTCTACCTTCTTAGGAGGAAACAAATCACTAGCTAGCAGCTTTCCATTAAAATACAAGTGACAGAAGGTCCATGTGATGCTGACAGAAGAGATAATTCTCTGGTGTCTTAATCCAAACCCCCAGGTCATTTCCTCATTCCAAGATACAGCCTAAGATTTAGCAATCTGGTCACCTTCATGGAGGGCAATGGAAACCATCACTACCTCTAAGCTTTAGGAAGAAGGTACTGGAATACCTGAGCAGAGAGTCAGAGGCTTGCAGCAGGATGCTATTTAGAGCATGTACTACACATTCTGTTTGCAAATGAACTAGGTTCCCTGGGAAAATGAGATGAGACAGGGTTCTCTTTGCCATTGCTGAAATATTAAATAGATAAGAGACAACAAAAGGATTTGACACATCTGGGGAGAAATGGGAAAATACAGGTACTTGGAGGCCACACTGGAGCATGTATTTCTGCCTGGTGCTGGCTCCCAGCCCAGTATCCCAAACTGTGGATTTTGCTGTTCTTTCTTTCTGCCCCCTCCTGCTCACAGGAGGGGGAGGCACAAACAGTGAGTAGCTAAGTGACAGTGAGAAGGTGATGAGTAGGCTGCAGGAGCTGTGAATAGCTCAGATGCAGGCAGATATGGCTAAGAGTGGGTGGGTTTGAGGAGACAGAGATGGCTGCGGGGAGGCTACAGACTGCGTATGACTGGGAATTAGGAGGACACAGGGAGGAACCATTCCTCTCTATCACAAGAGTCAAGCACAGGTCTGGATATTAACCCAACATACTCTGAATGTACCTCATAGCCAAGTAAAATACCTCTTAATATTGTATCATCTCCCTGTTATGTGAGAGCAGGAAATGTAGGTCAAAAAGGCATTGATCTCATGCATTAGAAACTCATGGGAAGGGCTTGAATCCTTTTGCACAGCCTTGTATGAAACCCATTGACTCTCTCAAGGGAAGCTAAACACATAAATATCGACCAAGGCTAGAACATGAAATCTTTGCTTCCACTTCCCCAAGGTCTCTGGCAGCTGCAGACACTCCTGACTAGTGCAGGCAGCACATGGCATTCCCAGTGACCTACCAGATGAAACAGTTTGAATTATTAAGAGCAGGGTCAGGGCACTGAAAGCCATTTCCCAGCTCCCAGCAGCACAGCTGGTGTCTCCACTCTCACATATCTCCCTGTTTCAGAAGAGACAGGTTTGATTCTCATGGCATGTCTTGTTGTTTCTCTTAATTGTTATAAATGCATAGCTTTCCTAGGGCAATACCTGAGCTGGCTGTGCCTTATCTTCCCTGCATGGAACCTGGTCATTCTTCCATTGTAGAAAGCACTCCTGGGGTTTTAATTCCCTGGCATTTACTAAGATGCAGAACATGAGCTGGCTCCTTCTATGATGCAGCCTCAAGAGGAATATACAGCTTAGAATCTTTCCAGTGATAATAACAGTTGCTAAGATGCCCCTAAAAGTGAAGTGTGCTCCTTTGCAGGCAGTATTAATTGTGTTCAAGAGTCTCAGCCCAAATATCAAATGGAATATGAGTTATTACTCACCGATTCCATGTTTTGAAAGCATTGCTAGCTCTCTTGAAGAGGTAGCCTTCCATCACCACTCCATTTGGGGCATCAACATTAAACTCCACCTTCGAGTCATCATAGGAGAAGTCCTGCAAACAGAAAGAGACTGAGACTCTAACACGACAGCACTCTGCAGGACCAAGATGAAGATGAGCTTAGTAAAAAGATCAAGAAGAGAAAAACATCTATGTAAAATCCTAAGGTTCAGGCAGAGCTGTCTGCCACACCATATCCCTATGCCTTAGTGGGCTGCAGCCGTGAATAGCAGTCACGAGCTGTTCTCATTCCAGTAAGCTTATGTGACCCTATTTTTTGCCTAAAGCAAATACATGCTATATTTCTATGCTCTGGTAGCTCATGAGGAGAAAGGCAGGTTGCTCATCATAGCGAGAGCTAAAAATGCCCAGTATTTGGGGCAGTTTGCAATGGGAAATACAGCAATAGAAGTGCTTTTCACTGGCTGAATTAGCAATTCTGCCACTTCTCTGTTCTGCAAATGGCCAGGAACAGAACAAACCCCTTTTCACACAGCCATGGTGATTTCTGGAAGGAAGACTTATCAATTCCCTTTTCCTTAGCTATCATCATGTGCCACCTCCAATCTGTGCTCATTCAAGTCTATGCTTTGCTACCAGTCAGAGCTGATTTGTCAGGTTTGGCACTGATTCATCAGCCAGATCTCATGGATTCTGACAGCTGCTGAGCAAGACACAGAGCACAGAGAATAGCAGCTGCTCCCACAGAACACAGGATCCTGCTCCCTGGGCCATGGTCTGCCTCCTTCCCAAGGGAAACTAGGTCAGGAAAGCCAAATGACTTTCCCCTCTAACCTGGGGAACTAAGGCACATTGTCTCTTTGCACACTGATCCCACTCCACTGGTTCATTCTACCCACAGCTCCCTCTCTGTTGAGTGCAAATATTTCCCCCCATACTTTGTGGTCCAAAGACACAACAGTGCAGTGAAAACAGCCCTGTTAAGTGCCTTTCCTAGCTCAGCACAGAAGGCCCCAGTGATGCTGTGTTGCTAAGCAACATGCACTTCACTCTCATTAAGATGAGTTATTTTCATGCCCAGAGATGCAAGCTTGCCTGGGAGGTGTCATAGTAAGAATAAAGCTGATACAGAAGGAGGAGATGTAATGGGACAGGACTGAGTCATTCCCTGGAAAGCCAGCAGGATGCCCAATTACACGCTAGAAACTGCTGTAAGGCACCCAATTAAGAGGTCTGCTCAGCCCTAAATTTCTTTGCTGGAAGAGGGTGAATCCCAGGGGGGTCCTCTTCTGCAGATGTCTTTCATGTACGTGCTGCAAACAGAGGCCAGAGGGAATTTTCCTCTAACTCGTAGGTATTTGAAGATGGGATTTTTATAGAGCTGCTCCAAAGTGACAATTCTGTACCTTTGATGAGAGATGTGTAATAAATAATGCAAACAGCCACAAACCTGGGCCTTGCTCAAAGACACACAGCAAGTGTAGGGCAAAACCCTTCTTAAAATGACCTTCTTAAGCTGTGCCTTACTTTGTAGAACAGGCAAAAATAAGGGGGGAGGGGGGAATGGACATAAAAACACCTGACTTCCTCAGCTGTCCTTATCTACTCAAGCAGTGTGATGGTAAGAAGGACAGATTGCTGATGAGTGCAGAGGAAACAGATGGGCCATATGCGTCACTAGAGTAAATCCACTACAAACCAGTGGAGTCAAGCCAGGTGTGAAGTTAACCTCATTGAGTCTGTATTGTATTACACCTCTACAAAGTAAGTGGCCAAAGCAGAACATCTGAAGGCACATGGAGTTGTTCCTTGCCTTGGGAAGGACCCTAACCTGCATCAAGCCCAGTTTTAGGAAGAGAAAATCATACACAAACCACCAAGCCCGTGTACAGTTAAGATGACAGAGAGGCATCTGGGTGATGGGCAAACATAGAAACACTGCTGGGAAGAACGGCTTGTGTTCACATTACTTTGAAGCTATTTCTCTTCCTTGTTCCCTCGTTAGTCAGGAAACATCGCCAGGCCAAACTCTGCTCATGTGTCTGCTGGTGTAACTCCTGAGCAACTCCACTGCTCTCAACAGTAAGTACTGAAGGGCAGTTGAGGGCACAACACATCGACCAGAGCTGTAAGCTGGATTTGTAAAGTAGGTAGAAATCAAGGGAGAGATCCAAGGGATAAGGACCTGTCTGCCTCTTATCCCTGCGGCTTGTGGCAGTCTGATCCTCAGGGGCACTTTGTTTCATTACACTCTGCTTGGAAGGACCTGAAGTCTTTGCTAATAGATTATTGGGGGGGGGGAGAGTGAAAGAAATCCAGCAGTTATCCCCTTAATCAGAAGCATTTCTCCTTTCTCAGCCAGGCCAAGGCCAAAAGGGAGATGTACAGAGGCAGCTCAGGCAGCTGAAAGGCAAAATCATAGCAAGTGCAACTGTGAAACTTCCAGCACACCAGAACAAGCTTAAACCATGGGCTTAAACACTGGATTCCTGAGCACATCTTCCTGCTGCAGCCCATGCAGGGAACTTTCCTATCAATGGTTGTGATGAGAGGACAGACTTCTGGAAATAAAGAACATGTGTTGACACCTGACTCCAGGCCAGAGCTGGCTTAGAAACTGTGTGAGGAGATCATCTTGCCAATGGTGTTGAAGTGGCTACAGCAGGGTAGGAGAGGGCACACATAGGCTTTGTCTTGTCTCCTCTTTTTCCATTTCCTGCCATACATGAGTTTTTAATGCAGGATTTTAATAAACTACCTTTTACTGAATCCTTCCCATCACTGCAGTGTACACAGAGTAGGCAAGTCAGCTCTACATGAGTTTGGACTGATTTATGAAGTCTGAATTTAGCACCTCATTGTCTATGTAACAGGGAGAGTACTTGACACGGAAAAGGCTGCCTGGGATCAGGATGTGGATGGCTTTGGCTACAGCACGATTAGCAACAGCAGTGACATGTTGGATCACACACTGGTGTAATAAATGGGATGTCTTCCAGAATCAGAAACCAGATCTCTGCCATCATCTGCTTCCCTTCCAGTGGATCACAGCAACCTTGTCTCACTGTCCCCTTCCCTTCCCAGTCCTGTCACTCCAACTTTACACACAGGGCTGCCTGGGAACTGCTATTCTTCTGGACATAACCTTGCAATGGTTTCAAGGGGAGCACGTCAAATGCTGCTGAGGCAGCAATGAAGTAACACATTCCAAGAGACAAATCCATGGGGATGTGGAAAAGGACATTAATGCGGATGCTTTCAACCCAGGAAATGGGAAGGGGAAACCCAGCACAGGCACAGACAGACCCATGGAAGAAGAAACAAGAAAACCCCTATTTGAAGGTTGCTTCACAGACCATTCAGTTAAGAACTCCCTGCCTACCTCCACACACGCTTGCACTGCAGAGGCCAGACAAGCTCTTCCTATTGCTCCTGTGAAGCATTTTGGGCAGAGAAAATGGTTGATGAAATTAAATAACCCTCAGATTCAGAGAGCAGATTTATTATGAAGAGAGAGGATGCCCCTCATCACCCTGGAATCCTGTTCTGAGTAAGGAGCACTGCCTAAGCACCATGGGAGGAGAAAGGTCTGGTTTATTAGTCCATTCTTATCCCAATCTGGGTAAGAATAGACAGAACTCCTCTCTAAAATACGAAAGCTTTCTTAAATCTCTTTAAAATGCATCCACTATGGCAATGGCCTTACCTGAAAAGCCACAGCATCACTTCCTCAGTGTATCAGTTCAACATGGAAATAATGATACTGCCCTTTTCTGTACAATGTTCTGATTTCTACTGATAGAAAACACCATCAAAACTAGGCAATCCTGACCAGTGAATCAGTTCAGTCCAGGTAGGTTTAGATATTTGGATATAGAGAAATTTAGCTCACTACCAAACCTCCATGTTATTTTAGTTTCAATCAATACCATTTAGGATAAGCACAACACATGCAATACACACTGTTCCTCATACAAGACAGGCTTTTACCCAAAATTGCCCTCTTAAGTAACCAATGATGCTGAGTATTGAACAATAATATTAAGCACACTCTAACAGCATCAGGTATCCATCCATGCATTGAAAAGAACTTCTCCTGGAGGCGAGTTAAAAACTGTGTGTGACTAGTTTGACTATTTGATTCTAAAGAGAATTATCTTCTCTTATATTCTTCTCTTATATTGAATACATTACATACATTAAAGATGCTCACACCCCCCTCCCACACAAACACTGGGGCACGCACATTCTGTTCACTTCTGGTGCCTGAATATATTTCAAGCTTTTCTCTGGCTATTTTTACCTCTGTGTATACACTGTGTAGAACCCAAGACACTCAGAGGCAGATGGAATTTGGAGGAGGGCTCCACCACCTCCACTCCTATTCTGTGCAGACAGCTTTCATCCATTCTGGCCAAATCCCATTTACAGACCTTTTGTTTCTTGAATTTCCTAATGCCAAATGATGCACAGAGATCTGTGCCCTGCCCCACAGCTTTTCCAACCCAAAACAGAACCAAACACATTTGCTCTCCTGCAGTAATAAAGCTTTTGGGTCAGCAAGCACGGTCCTACAGGCACAATCCTTGCTCCCCCAGGGAAAAGTGCCCTCTAAACTTCCTCCCCAAGTCAAGCCAACCCTGCAGCAGTCTCCTTACCAGGAGGTATTCAAGCCTGCTGAAGATCTTCATGATGCCAGCTCCAAGGGAGGTTTTGCTGCTCTCGCCTAGAGAGCAGGGAGCAGCTCTGTGCGTCCTCTCTCTTCGCTCTCTAGAGCAGCATCTCTGCTAAGCACCGTGGGCTGGCAGGGAAGGAGGGATTTCTTTTTCAGCCCTTTCTCCTTTACCCCTCCTACTCCTTTTTGGGAAGCTGTAAGCTCTGCCACTGGCTCCTGTCAAAGCAGGGGCACCAGGCAAAGGAAGTCTGCTAGCCCCTGGGGACCACCTGCCTACCCCCTCCTCGCCTCTATTCACTGGCAATCAGCTTAGAGCAAGGGCTGATTATCATACAGCTGCCACAGAGGCACAGAGGGAGCAGGAGAAGCCAGGCAACACAGAGCAAAGTTGACAGGAAGATGCTCACCGAATGCCTCCCTGACCTGAACAGAGCCAGGCTTGTCTGCCTTTAGCAGGGGCTGCTTCCCCCAGCTTCCTGGAGCAGAGCCACTCTTTGGCCAGCAATTCCATCCCAGCTCCACAGAAATCAGGGTGCTGCAGTGCCATATGGCCCCTGGTTTGTTATCTACCAGCTGGACTAAATGAGGCAGAGAGCTCTGCCTTGGCACTGCATCCACCCCATGCAAAAGGGCAACAGAAGCACAATTGCTTCCTCACTGCTCTCGACCATGGAATAGGTGTGAGGATGCAAAGAAGCTTTTATAGAGCCCTGTCCTCTTCCACTCAGTTGTGATGCAGTGGAAGGGTTCAGAATCGGCAAGGCAGGACAGGTTTAAACATTATCTCTCTACCCATTTCCCACTGGGAAAAATTGTGTTCCAGTGCTAAATGCTCCAGATTTTGCCTTCTGAGTGGTCCAACCTACACCAGGTCCTGCATGTCTTTGTGCATCCATTTAAAGCAACTAAACCCACATAAAAATATATAAGCTCATTATATGTGTGGTTTAAGACAGTTTAGTTTAACACACAAGAGAAATGTGGGAAGGTACAGGACTATTTCTTCAGCCTTTGCAGAAATGTCCTTGCACACAGACATCCCACACACAGGCTGAAGAAAGGCATCTTCATGCTGAAGATCCTCTCCCTTTGCACAACAGGAGGAGAACTAAAATATTTAATGTCGCTCGTAAAAACTGAGGCTCTTCCTTTCCTCTTGCTGATTTATTAGAGCACTTTTGTATAAGTGAGCATTATTTCATATAAAGTGTGAAGCTGCAAATGGAGATCTTTAAGGTTTTGGAGCTGGGCAGCACTTAAAATGACAGCTTAAACTGACATCTGTCCTAGGAAACTGCCCTGAAGGTGGCAGATGTTCCATTAGGGAAGATGGGGAAAGACTGGCACAGGAAAAAGGCACCAAAATGAGAGTATCAAAGGAAATAGTCAAGATTTGTGCTGAGTTTTTCTTTCCTAGCAAATTTAATTGAAAGAGTAATTAAATAAAATGCAACACCCCCCTTCCTTGTGAATTTGGTTCTTAGGAGGCTGCCCTCCAGGCCTCACAAAGCTGCCCAAGGACAGTTTAACTCCCTGCCTTCAGAATCTGCACAGCTTCCCCTCCCCAAGAACACTTCAAAAGGTATTATGTTTAAACTGGATTCCCTCCTTTCCTGTCATGCCTTAGCAGGCTGCCTGGGAAATCCCTGTGTTGAGGAAAAAAGGATATTTCTGCCACCATACCACACTTTAATTAAGCACAGCTAAATCTCCAAGAGACCAGGGAGTGTTCTGGGCTCAGCATGAAGACAGATTCAGCTGTGTGTGAGATGCTCACCAGCTGCAGAGTGCCATGCTCCATTGCAAAGGGAGGAGCAACACTGACTCAGAGTAGCTCAAAAGCAGCCTAACATTTCCAGGCAGGAAGCTTTAAATCCTAAATTGCAGTAGGGATGTTCAGCTCTCCTCCAAGCTTATGCATACAGAGAGTCACAGCTCTATGCATATGTACCCTAATGAAGACTAATTGCTCTTTTCCCTCTTGGAGCCTGACCTCTGCTTCATTCCCTGCTAGTCCAGTCAAAGCCACATAAAGAGATTTAACTGATGCACTACACTAGAGAGATCTTCCATGTTCCCTTGAATGAAGTCATCACTCCACCAGAGTCCCAGGGGAGCTGAGAGATCACAAATGGCTTTACCCCTCCCTCGGAACACTTAACCTAAGGGAGCATTTGCACAGGCTGATTCACAGGGAATGGCTGTCATTAGCTTTCAAACCTGGTTAAATTTCCATTTCATGGGTTATGACATTTTTGAGAGAGCATTAGAAAGAAAACAACAGCCACTTACACTCCTGTTGCTGACAGTTATTGATTCACACAAGTGCCTGACAGATACAGACTCATTAGTGGTTCCTGATCAGAGCTTGGTTCATGAACAGCTATTCCTCAGGGCTCTCTGAAATCCACTCTCACTGTGCCCACAGAGCATGAATGTGTATGTTTGAAGTCCACCATCAGCTTCTGTTATGAGCCTGTGCATCCAGTTCACCTCCACCAGACCCATGGTCCTCAAAGGCTCCTTAGGTACCAAACACGTGTTAAGTGCCAGCCAAGTACTGCTGCCACTGCAACACTGAGCTCTGAGTCAAGACTGGCCACCACACAGAGTAAATGGGATGGGAATCTTGTTTTAGCACAGAAGAAGGAAATACATGTGGGTACTCACCTGCAGGAGGGTCTGCAGGGGCAGGTCAGCAATCCATGGAGAGAAGGAAAAGGAAAAACAACAGTTATGTTTCTGCAAACTTCAGATTTGGGATCATTCCCAGATAAATGGTCAGAAAATCAGAGCCCACATTAATCAAAGATGCCTCCTTACTGAAGGCTCAGACTTGTTTGATAATAAATCCTATTGTTTTGTCAGTTCATGGTGGTTAATCCCAGTTACAGCAGGTGAGAAGACACACAGTGGGGTACCATAGCTCAGCTGAGAACAACCCCTTGCTCAGCCACAGCAGCTCTGTTCCTTGCATCCCCATGGAATAGAGCTTTCCAAAGTCATGCTGCTCAAGGCTGCAGCCATGTCATGTCACAAATGCTACTGCTGTGAAGGACTAGCCCAGCAAGACCCCTCATCAGATGGCAGTTGCCACTATGATCCAGAGAACCACAATGATGGAAAGAAGTGCTGCTTGCACCAAGCTGTAGCCCCAGACTCACCCTCTGCTGTATCAGTGCGTGCTTGTGCTCCATCTCCCTCTTCTCCACTGCAGAATCAATCACCAGCTGGTCCAGCTAAAGGCAGGGAGAAGAACATCAGGTATAAAAGTCAAGAAGGAGGTTTATAAGCCACTGTCTATCCCTGCTTCCCTGCTCTGGGATCACATCAGCTCTAACATTGTAAGGCCCCAGAAGAGGGGAAAGGCTGTGTTTGGGTGTGCACTGAAAGTAACCATGGCTCTTGGCTGCCACCCCATAGTGCAGTGTGGCTCATCCAACACCCAAGCAGCATGATGCTCTGACTACTCCCAGATTACCACGTATGGCAGCTGAATAGGAAAGAGTAAGTCCTTCCAGGGTGAAGGGGTACAAACACATTGAATCAATGTATTTCCTGTCCCCTCACCTCTGTGGCTAGTTTCTTCATGTAGGGATCCAGTTCATGGAGAAGACTGTAGCCCTGCTGGAAGAAGGTGTACTGGGCATGCATGAAGGACAGCATCTGGGGAGGGAAACAACAGCAAGGTCAGAACAGGTCCTGGGACAAAGTGAATATGAAAAGTCCTCATCACCCACATAAAAGTCTTTACAAGGTCTAACCCTTTCCTTTCCCAAAGCAATCTGTCTATTAGATGCCTCTCCCTCTTCTCCTTTCTTCCTCTCGCAAATCCACAGTCAGGTAACCCTGTTGTGAGCACAAAGCAGTAAAAGCAGTGTCCTTCACCCCTAAAAGTCCCCTCCAGGCCTGGCCTGTGGAGATTCTTGCTGGTCCTTCATTCTCCCCTCTTGTTGGCATACCTGCAGCCCCCAGAGCAGTCCCAGACAGCATCTCCAGGGCAGACTGAGGAGTCGGTATGTCGACCCATGCAACCTGAAATGGAGAGGGCTGCCTTTCATTGAGTCACTGAGAGCAGCCACAGAGAACACAGAGAGCCCTTACCGCATCCAGGATCTCAAACTTCTTCTTGGCCTGCAGGACGTTGATCTGTGAAGGAATGAAGAGAAGACTCTCAGAACCAGCAGCATCAGTCTGGCACAGAGATCTAAGTATGAGCAACTTGCTGCAATACCCCTAGTAGCAAACCACAAACTATTCAAGGACAGCAAAGCCCTGTGCTGCAGTAGGTCCCAAAGTTCTCTGAGCTGCCTTGAGGCATAATGCAGCCTGTCTTTATGAAAGAGCAGGCTGTGATGGGATGAAAGGACCTTCACTGGTGGGGCTGCGAGTTCTGTCACTGATCACATCTGCTTGGAATAGCCAAAGGATGTCACAAGTGGTGTAAGAGAGGCGAGGCTCTTCCCCATGTCATTAGCTGCTTTGATCTTTATAACTCTCCAGAGAGGCTGGCAAACAGTGTCATGAAACTACTGAAAGTGAGGGACCAAACACAACACTGTCAAGCATTCTCTGCATGCTCCTACATGTAGGACATGTCCTTAAGGGCAAACATCTGGGTCTGTGTACAAGTAAACATGTGTGTACTTGTGCTCATAGTGGTCCACGAGATTGTTTAGCAATTTCCCTCTGATGTCTTGTCCTGGACTAGGAGATCCAGTCAAAGCCGGGGCACAGACACCAACCTGCAACACATAATCTAGAGCCAGATGTCGGAAACACTTTCTGGTTATGGTCAAGGTGCCTGTTGCTTCCTCCACTTCATGGGGCTTGTGTCGAGGTGCCTGGGCATTCTTCACCAGGGAAATCTCCATGTCCTCCCGCACCTTGTCAAACTGCTTCTTGGTTTCCTTGAACTTCCGGACATCACTGGAACCCAGAGAGGATAAGGTGGTGAGAATCATTGCTACAAAGCAACTAGGGTCTTGCTGATACCAGCAATATATATGGAGAAGTGCAATCAGGTACACTGTGACCATCAAGATCCTGCTCCAGATGCCACTGGGATCCTAACCCAGCCCAGCAAGCTCCACTGTGTTCAGATGGACTGACTCTAGATTAACTCTAGACAGTCTTTAATCTTTACAGAGACTTGGTAAGGAAAGATGCTGGACCAAGGGCAGGAGCAATGCAGGTATCAAAGCACCAGGGCCTGCCAGCACAGAGGTTGAGCAGTACAAGAGCAAAAAAAGAGTAAGTTGCAAAGATGGTGGGAGGATGACAGACCCAAAAGGAAGGTGAAATTCCTCCTCCTGGCTGCCAGCCTTAAGCAGATTAAATCTGAGCTCATCAGAGAAATGATTATAGAGAAAGCAGGGGTAGGGTAAGCACGAGGCAAGAAGATGGGGATGAAGAAGGAGGGGGTCAGCCAGTGACTCCCTCCTCCATCAACACACCCAGCTGCTGAGGGATGCACAATTCCCAGTTCCCATGGCAACTGGCTCCTGCTGAGCTGAAGCCTCTCCTGCCTCTCTGACCCATATTCACACACTGGGATGTGCTGCACCCGGTACCTGCCCCAGGGAAAGAGGCACTCAGAGGAAGCACGTCAATGCAGCAATGGCAGGAACAGCCTGGCAGGAGCCATGATCCAAGGAACACACTGTCCCCATCCATTTAACAACCTGGGCCCACTTCTTCTGCACCTCAGCCTTGCCACGTGCAAGTCAACATCCTTAATACCAATATTCTGCATCGCTCACACCACTGTAAACTTGCTTTTCATTAGCAAATAACTCAAGCTCCAAGCTGAAGGCACAGTGATGATAGCTGCTCCCTCTACAGAAAGAAAGGCTTTCCTGTCATCTGACAAGTGCTCAGGTTACTCCAGAAGAGCAGGGCTGCTGTAATTTTGAGCAACTAAACATGATGCATGGGGAGCCAAGAACAGAACTTCATGATGATGCTCTGATCTGGAGCTATGCCCGATATCCAGCTTTAACTAGGAGCTGGGAACAGGACAAAGACATCTGGTAGACAACACAGCAACCAAATGACTGCACGATGACAGCACAGAAACCAGATCCTTTCCTCTGCCCTTCAGTGTCTCTTCTGCCCCAAGCTTCAGCACTTGTGCAGAGGTCACAGTCCTGTTTCCAGTGCACATAGGAGAGGGGCAATGGAAGCTCAAGAAGCTGAAGCCCAAACTGATGGGCCAAGTACTCACTCTTTGACAAAATTGTGCAGCTGCTGTCGGACTGACCTCTGAGCCTGGTCAAACAGGATCTGCAAGAGAAGAAAAGGCAAAGAATAGCAAATGTTTTTGCAACAGGAAAGACTGAGGAGCCAGAAAATCCATAAGCACTCTTTAGGAGCTTCAGTGTGTAGGAGTCAGCATTACTTCAGTGCTTGGTGGTGTTCAGCACTCCCTTACAAGCACAGAATTCCCGTGCTGCAGGTTCTGTGCCAGGGCTCTGAACAGCACAGAGACCTGTGCCACCAACATAAGAGGAGCAGTCGCGTTCAGTCTCCACTTTGAACTGTCGCCTGTGTGGAATTCCTCGTTCTGCCAGAGGAGGGCACTGTCACCTCAGCACTGCACCGCTTAGGCCCGGCCACAGGAACCACCGCTGACGGTACATCCCCGCCAGCCGCAAGCTGGTGAACATCAGAGGTCCGAGCACACGGTATAAAGAGAGACCGAGTTCTTACAAGTCTTTTACATTTTACTCTCCTATTTGTCCTTCACAAAAACAATGGTCCCAAGCCCTTTCATTACTCTGCACTCTCTGCCCATCTCTTCTCCAGCCCTCCCCACCTTCCTTTGAAAGATGCTCTTCCCCTACCCTCTGCTTGATGCCGAACAGCGGTGCCTGCTCGGCTCCCTCCCATCCATCTCTGACAGGCATGATCACAAATAACTCCATGTTTCAGACATGCATCGGGATGACACAGCACTCTGGCTAATGGGGACCAGATGGGCAGATGCTCCCAGACCACATAGCAACTGCAGCAGGAAGTACACATCATCCAAGGGGCAGGAGTTTCTTCTCTCAGACCATTTACACTGCAGAAGAGCTGGCACTGCCTAAAGCAGCAGCTTTTGGTGAGGAGGTGGTGGGTGAACCTTGTCTGGCTCTCAGGTACCCACCAAGGCACTGACTACACCTCCTCAGCAAGACAAGGGGGAAAACAAAATGAGAAAGCTCATGGGTTGAGGTATGTACAGGGAGATCTCTCACATGACAGTCACAGGCAAAACAGACTTAACTTGGAGAATACTGATTTAATTAACTGCCAATTAAAAAGAGGATAGTGTGATAAAGAACAGAACTAAGAACACCTTTCCCCTGGAGCATGACTGGGTTGCCCAGAGAAGCTGTGGCTGCCCCATCCCTGGCAGTGTTCAAGGCCAGGTTGGTTGGACACAGGGGCTTGGAGCAACCTGCTCTAGTGGAAGGGGTCCCTGCCCATGGTTGGAACTGGAAGAGCTTTAAGGTCCCTTCCAACACAAACCAGTCTGCCATTGGCATTCCCAGCCTGAACAGACATCCTCCCTGCCTAACACCTCCTACTAGGAGGTAAGCAGACACTGCCCAGATGTAGCACCCCAAGGAGAATGCAAAGCACTCTGCATAGAAGCAGCAGCATTGGCTGCAGAGCCTCCAACACACTCACCATGTGTATTGCTGCAGCCAAGGAGAAAGCAAGGGACCTGCCAGGACCAGCTGAGTATAAACAGCCATGAACAGCCTCTAAATATGAACAGATGCAATGCAAAGGGGAAGGAAAGAAAACCAAGACCACCCAGCGTTGCGTTTTTACCAATGTAAATTATTTACTCCTCTTGGCATCCATTCACTCTCTCCAACAAAACTCCAAGAGGCATTGGCCTGCAACTGTTCCCATGGAGCTGCTTCCCAAAGCAATGCTTGATACCATGCAGGGATAGGCAGGCAGTAAGAAAGACATCTGGTTCCCACCTGCACCCACATCTGGAAAGCTTCCATCAGGACACACTTCCATCAGGGAAAGGAAGGGACACTATTATGCCATACTCAGGACTGCAGACAAGTGCCCTGGGACATTCCAGGGAAGAACAGATTCCAGGATACATTACATGCGTAATGCTGCTTACTGAGAGGGAATGGAGGTGATCACATAAGCAGTATTCCTAGGCCTGTGGTACAGGGACACTGCTATGTGGAAGTTTAATTTAAATGTGTCTGTATCCAAACAGGAAAACTGCACAGATGAGGGAGACAGGCTATATTTACATACACATCCACCTCCTGCTCCGTCAGTACTCCTCTCCCCTGCTCCTGTTATCCATGTGCTGAGCCCCATCACTGTGAGGACGCCCTTCCTTCTAGCTTGCACTGATTCACATGCGGCAAGGATTGCTAAGTGGTTTGTGAAGGGATACCAGGTAATAAGTAAGCCTTTCTTGCCAGCAGCATCTTTGATGAGAAGCATCCTATGATACCAGCATTGCTCTGCCTGCTTCTGCATTAATTTTGCTAGGCAGGAGCACCAGGGGAATCCGTTGAGGTGGGTCCTCCATTCCATTTTCAACACAAATTAAGGAGTTTCAAGAGCTAGAGTTTCAAACCTGAAGTCATCCCTTGGCTTCCTCCCCTTTCCCAGACATACTTGGAACAAACTCTTTGTTGTCAGATTTTTCCAGACCAAATATCACCCCACCCTCTCAGCTTCCACCAAGACATGGGAAGTCCAGCCCATGACTCACACACATCTGTGCCTGAGGAGGGTCAACGTGGAAGAAGAGAGTTAAGCACAGCTCTTACCCAGCAGCAAAAGGCTAAGTCCTACATTGCCCTTTCCCAGCATGGGCTTTTGTGGCAACAGGATAAATCCAAACCTGCGTTTGACAGGAATTTCATGTCCCCAAGAAATGCAAGCAAGATCAGCAGCCCAGGATGTTAATTCTTGACGTGCAAGCCTAAAATTCAAGATGCGTCACAGAGAACAAAGGGATGCCATTGCTACAGTCCCACAAGGGCTTACAAGAGAAGAGATCCCACCAGGCTCCAAAGCAAAGCAGAAGCTAAAAATAAGCAAGATCACCTGGCTGTGAACTGCTTCTTTCAGCACTTACATCCTACTCAGAAGTAGGACATCACGACTGCACGTGGGAATAGTGCTCGAGTAGAGATTGAAAGCAGGCAACGGAACTAGATGATCTAAAAGGTCCTTTCCAGCCCTAACTGATTCTATGAAGAGCATTTGCGGTGGGGTTTTGGCTGGGAGCAGCAGAGGCCATTGGATCAGGAGCTTGAGGAGGGATAACGCAGCAGATAGGATATGAGCCTCACCAGCCAAGGCTCCACCACATCACACCAAGAAAACAGGGCTGGTTCAGAGCTGGTAACCTGGTTCCACCAAGAGCAAGCTGCTACAGCACAGCTCAAGCCAAGACTGAAGGTCCTGGGGTGGAGCTTAAATGGAGTGTCGGGGCCCACCCATGGGTGGAGGGGATGGATGGAGGCTGCAGGTGAAGCCAGTCAGGCCGTTATGGTCTATTAGTGCACTAAAAGCCATACTGAGACGGGATGAAGTTCATTAAGCACATCAGCCATCCTGCAAGAGCTAGCTCCAGATGTGAGATAGAGGGTGTGGAGCTTCCTCTGCAGCTGCCTGACACATGGACAGCGGCAGCTCCCCCTTGTCCAGCTCCACCACACAGCCATGAGCTGGATGAGTCACATCCCTGTGCTTATCTCCCTTATGGCCAGTCTGGGGAATGGTTTGTGCTGAGTTTAAATGAGGGCTGGTTGTCTGGTGGCCTGGGAATCAGAGCTTGATCCTTTTATCTGTCCCAAAACAGGGGCACTGCAACGTGTCTGTGAGAGAAGGAGGCAGCTACAGCACTGCCCACATGGGATTCCATCAGCTACCTCTCAGCATCTGCTGAGGAACAAAAGTAACCCCCCTCCCTGGCCTGCAGAAGGGGATCATCCATAACCTTGTCAGGCATCCTGCTCCCCAAAGGTGGCCCATTCTGCTCCTTCTCAAACTCTTTTAAGCTTTGGAAGTCTCTCCTGACCTCTCCACCTCTTCCTCTTCTCTTCAGCTACCTGTCCTGCTGCAGAGTTGCAAAGAGGATCTCCAAGACCTGGGTTCTCACTCGTTCTGTGGCATATCTGTCCAGTGTTTGCCTGACACAGCTCTAGAAAGAGCATACAAATACCACCATACTTGTCAAACAACTAAACCTCAACAGTGAGAGCATACTGTACATTTCTCCCTGACTTCATATTCCTACAGTATGTTTCTCTTTCACTGCAGCTTCTAGCAGCTGAATACAGTAACCCAAGGGGCAGGAGGTCCAGGCAGAATTCAAACATCCTCTGTTTGGCAGGAGATGTTTAAATGACTTTTATTGCTGTCTGGCTACATGATTCGGTCCTTCATCTCTTGAGCAATGCCCCACCAGATAAATGCCACCCATGAACAGCATTCCATCTGTGATGCCTCTGTAATACAGCCCACTTGAGGATTTGTGCTCTGGAAAACAAGATGACAAGAGTACTTCTATCACACATATCAGATTTCAACAGTCTAAGCTTAACTTCTGAACCAGGTTGAAGTTGAGTTGCTCACAAAAAGCTCAAGAGCTCCAGTTTGTGCTTAGGTCAAAGGACATTTGTTCCTGCCCCTTAGATATTATGAAGTTGGTTCTCTCCCCTAACTAGAAAGGAGACATCCTAAGATATTCCAGACACTGACAAAACCTGGTCTTTCTGAAACCCTAACTGCAGCACTGAGCTCATGGTGGTAACTGCTAGACTGGTACCAAACTTCAAGAGCAGCAGCTCATGGAAGTCTGTTAGACTAGTATAACATCATTGCACTAGAGCACAATAGCCAAACCTATGAAGCCATGAGATGACAGAAAGCATCTCCCCTGTCAGCTGGTCGTTCTGCATCCACCAATGATGCCCCTGGACCCTTCCCAAGTGCTGTCAGATAACACAGGTGGACCCCCCAACCCTGTGAAGAACAGGCTGTGGAAGCCCTGTCCACTTTCATTTCCTCCTTCCTTCCCCCTGCACTCCACCACTACCCTCCACCCATGACATCTGCCATCTGCCTCACTGACTCATCACAGCTTGGGTGGCTTTTCTCCTTGTCAGCAGGAAATGCCTCCTGGCTCGCTCAGCAAAGCTAAATCTCCCCTGCAAGCTGCTGCTGCTCCTGCTGGAGGATCCCTCTGACGTAGCTGCAATGATTTATGGCAGCTGAGGACACAACGAAGCTGGGGTAGGACTGATGTGGGCAATGTTCCTGTTACGGCTTCTGAAAATGATGTTGAAGATGCATTTACAGGGCTCAGCCAGATTGATCCCATCCCAACAGCACTTTCACTTGCATCCTTTTAGTTTTCTCCTCTTTCTGGTCAGAGAGAGAAAGGGAACTGCATGGGAAAGAGCATCAGCCCACATGCATGTGGTTAAGAGCACAAAAGGCACAGGACACTGATTGCAGCTCTTCTGAACTCAACTTTCTCTTTGACATCTCTCCTCTAAGGTTGCTTTGATGCTTTTCCCTCCCTCTGCACTATAAGGTGGGAAAACTCTGGAGCTCAGTGTGTTCATCTTCTACATTCAAGCAGGTTTCAAGCTTGGATTTTGCTGATCTAACATTCATTGTTCTAGCAATAAAATCATAGAATAAGCTTTTGCAACTGATTTTTTAGGGGATATTTTCCCTTCTTTTTAACTTGCTCCAGTTGTACATACTGTCCTGGCCACATTCCTGGAGTCAGCACTGACAACTGTTTCATTGCTGAGCTCCCCAGAGACGGATGAGCCAAGATACACACACACACACACGCACGCAGCACACACAAAGGAGACAGCAGAAAGCACTAAAAATAACTCCATTAACTGAACAGCCGTCGGAAAGGGCTCAAGATGCAGCCATCATTCCAAAGCCATTTCCTGGAGAGGGATTCACACTGCTGAGCACCAAGGGAAGAGGGTGCTCTCCAAAGGCAGTGGGGAGGGAGGGTGTAAGTATCCCTCGTGCATGCAGCTCATGGTAGGGATGTGCTGTATGTAGCTGGGAGTGTAGAGGGTGGGGTGCATGGGAAGGGTTATTCCAGCGGGGATTTGACAGCTCTGGGAAGGTCTTTCTGCTTATTAGTTGGCTGAGAGAATAGCAATCCCTGAAGTGCCACTTCTGGCAGAGAGTGGCGATCCAGGGAAGCTTCAGAGCTGACAGCATCCTGCAGCCAGAGGCTCCTGGCTGGGACTGCTCCCTCCTGCCTGGGCTGCACGCACTGCTCAGCCTCTGTCAGTGCTGCTGTGATGGGATCCCTGGAAGGAAGGAGCTCAGGGGTTCTTATGCTTCTTGGCCAAAAGGCCTCATGCTTTCAGAGGGAATGTGAGCAGCACCAGAAAACCAGGGTTTGACTTTCTCTGTTTTCACAAAAACACACCTTTTCTCTGATGCTCACATTGGTTTGTTCACTCTAACCCCCCCACCACTTTTTACCTCCTTTCCCTGTCATTTTTTAACTAGGAAACAGCCTTCCCACCTGCTTCATGAAATAATTACAAGGACTTGATGCAGTTTCTTCTCCAGGTACGTGTGGTTAACTTGCATCCCAAAATCAAGCATCGTGCCTAATGTACTTAGACAGGGGCACTGCGGTATAAAAGTGGGTCAGGGCACTGCTGGCACCCTGAAGCTTTACAGCATTTGTGCTTTAAGCTCCAGCTGAGTTACAGACTTAATATTGTAGGTCTGGCATGGAGCCAACAAGCATGAAGTGCCTTCCTCTTCTACGAAGTTTACAGATGTCACGGCTGGATGTTTGGGATGGAGTAAGGGCAGATTGTAACTTCTTGGGCTCTGTTAGTGAGATAAAGTCAACTCAGGAGAACAGGCATTGTCTGGACACTTCCCTCCTTTCATCTCAGTGTATCATTAATATGTCCTGTGTTATCCTTAGCCATGGAGCTGCACAAAATGCACTGAGTCTGCTCCCAGCATCAGCTGAACAAAGCAATCCTTTCAGTTTGATCCATTCATAGCCTTGCTGGTGTCCTAATGTCAAAAATGTGAATGCCAAGCTTCAGAGAGTATTCCAGATCTGCAGCAATATGGTTGCACATGCAAGCTGCAAAGAGCCAGAGTCCTGAGTTGTCCGAGCTCCTCAGGACCTCTCTGTCCTTCCTATAAAAACCCTGTTCTGTCCAAAAAGAACAAAGCACATGGAGTGTGGGATCTTTATAAGCTCTCCTCTTCCTTTGATGAAGGGGTCTCTAACTCCACCCTTCTTCATATTCATTGTGTATCTCTGATCTGAAATGAGCCAAAAGGCACCCATGTGGCAGTACCTACATTCAGTGATACCTCCTCTAACCCATGGAAATCCCATTTCCTAGCATACATGATGCATCAGGATGGAACACTGTAACAGAGTCACAGCTCATTCAATTCAATCCTGTTGCAAAAGGCAACAATAACTCCCAGCCCTTTGCTGCTCTCGAGGCTACACAGTGAGCAGGGACTGGAACCTGAAAACACTTCCTTTGTGGACCCCACCTTTGTGCAGTGTCAGGTAAGCCAAACTCAGGAGACCATAATCAGTGCCTTGAGAAAGGTTGTCATCAGCACACAACAAGACAAGAGGAAGCTGCATCTTACCATGTGGTAGTTAATCATTTCCTGCAGGCTGTCTCCAAATTTGTCAAGGCACTCCTGCAACAAAAGGTGAAGAAACTGGCAGTGAATAGAAGCAGCTGCCCTTCATTCCCAGGGGTTCAACGGCTGGGAGACACCCCCATTACACCAAAGAGCCACACTGCTGTTTGGCAAGAAGGCGTTTCAGAATGCCTGGCATTGAAGCCACAGACTCCCTGTCCTCTCCAGTTCAGTGCTGCAATGAAGATGTCACCTGTCACTTGCGCAGGCTGGTTCCCACATTCCTAAGTCACTGATGCTCACTGACCTAGATTCCAGCAGCCTTGCCAGCACTGCAGCTTCTTAAAAGTCCAGTTCTCCCTGCAAACAATGAATCTCACTCGGACCTTTCAGCATTGCATTACCTCTACATTCCTCTAAAAATAAAATCTCATACTAAATGGCTACTTAATGCTGATGCTCCTGATGCTCCATTCACAGCATCAGGAAGGTTAATGCTCTCCAGGCCTCACTGTGTCCCATGCTCCATCCCAAAGGATCACTTACCGAAATCATCTCATCCTTCTTGCACTGCTGTGACAAGTCCCGGACTCCGGTGACAAAGTGCTTGTTGGTGGTGATGTAGGCTTTGCCTGCTTCAATCATCCCACTGCATAGCTTCACCAGCTGCACAAGGAGAGAGGTGTCAGTGCATATGGAGCTGATCACTTCAAACTGAACTGCAGCCAGGTCGGTTTTAATGTGCACCAGCACCCCAGCCCTAGACCTTTAGAACAGGATGCCATTCATGTGGCTACACCAGCAACCCTTACTGCACGTGGCAGCAACAGGGATGCAAATCACATCTCTCAGGGCATGTCATGCTGTCAACATTTCACTTCTCACTTAAGAATAAGGGTTCCAGGCTACCCTTGAGGACAGATAAATCAGAGCAGCCCATTCTTTCCAGTGGGATCCTCCAGTTCATTCTATCCTGAGGCATCAGGACTGCAGTAAAAGGAACCTGATCACACAGACTGACTGCAGAAAGGAAAAGACTCCTTGGTGCTGGCTGGAAGTGATAGGCTGTCTAGAATCTCCTTGCTGGGAGTATGCTGCTCTTTGGGACTGTCAAGTCTCTAAGCACAGCTGGCTGTTCCATATACTTGTGGAGACTTGTTTTGCTCTTCTTACCTTGGAATAAAGGGGAGCCTGATGGTTTTGTGTCACGTTTTGCTTAAACCAACTGACCAGGACTGCTTAAGCTATGTCTGCTGTGTGCAGCCGATGAAAACCTATGTTCTATCACACACAAGGATGGAACCATCAAGACTGTAGATTAAGTATGCTTCAATTCCCACAGCTCTGCAGCCCAAGGAAACTGCTGGAGCACTGGGAGGGATTCCACCATGTATCTCTGGACTGCCTGTGACTTAGCAGAGACTTTCTGATGGACCTCTGTTCAGAGAAACATTAACTTTAAGCAAGGTACACACGCTCTGAATCTCATCACCAGCCTTGGTATAGAGAAGTTACCTGGAGCTTGCAGCAAAATGGGGTGGCTTCCTCCCATTGGAGTCACTTTGCTGCATCTCCAGACAGCCTTTATTAACTTCTGATAATTTAACAGCTGCAGGGAACATTCCCAGACTTCCTAGCCACACCAAACTGCTATAACATGCCTGGAACTCACTGTCAAGACTGGAGCATTAGCTTAGCCAGGATTCCTGGCCATTAGCCTATCTCCGTTCAGCCAAATCTCCTTGTAAAAGGTTATGTTAAACAACTTCAGATAAATCCATAAACCAAAAGCCCAAGAGATTTGCAACGGGAATGGCTGGTCACTGAGCAAAATGATTCCAGTTTTTGGTTGTTGGTTTATTTTTTAAATCATCACTGTTCTGAGCTTTTTAAATGAAAACTTTAACTGCCGATAATGAGCAACTCTTGGAACTGAAGTTTTCCATTCTCAAAATCCAGGAGGTTTTTAGGGATATTAATTTTACTCATGACAAATGGCTTTAGAAATCTTGTCCTGTCAACCAGCCTCACCTACAGGCTGGCAATGGGCAGCTCTTCAGTTTGGCTGGATACCAAAGCCCCACTGCAGCATGGTGTGCTGGTCTGGGGCTTGGTGCTTGTTCTATTTATGCAGCCACAAGGCTTTGGGGCCTAATCTCTATGCATGCATTGCAGAACAAGCTGGCTTGCCTCTGTCTGCAGTTCTGTAAGAACATATCTGAATGTATAAATATATATATAGTCACACAGGGTTTATCTGTGTATACACAGTATATATAGTCTTCACTCTTTCACACTTACATCCTCTCCTGGCCAATCAATTTGATGCTGGGTGCTAGCACATTTGTGCTACCCCATCCAAGCCCAGAGAAGCAAAGCAAACAGATGCAGTTCCTGTCACATCTGGAGCCCAGACATACACTAGAGGTTTGGACAGATCCTCTGGAAAGGAAACCCAGCCTATTCTGCAACGTGGCGGTTTCTAGCATGCCTCTGTGCACACCCTCCTGGCCACGGCTGAGTTACTGGTAGCTGAAGGCCATTCAGCACAAACACATTCCCAAGGGGAGCAGTGGTGGCTTTGCAGATGGAGCACAGGACAGAATGAAGGAATTCTCTTTGAAACAGCAAAACAAGCCCCCATTTCTGGTCTTCCCTTAGATGAATCTCTTGCACTGCCCTTTACCTCTATCTTAAAGAGGTGTTAAAAGGCTTATCATTTATAAACTAAGTGGTCACGAGCAGAGTAAAAGGCAGAGAAACATTCAGTCCTTGCCAGCTTCCTGCTCTTTCAGAACTAGTGATGCCGGCTATTTGGGTACCACTGCACAACACCAAGCCCTAGGAAGGCCGAAAGAGAGGAGCTGGGCCATCAAATACTGACTGATTAGGAATGAGGGTGACTGATTCTTGCCCAAAGTTACTCTCAGCAAAACAAAGATGAACTTCAGTGGCTCTTCAGATTCAAACTCCAGCCTCACTCCCCCTGCACCCAGGGCTGATACCCTGTAGTTGATGGAGACTGAGGCAGCGTTTCATGTCACCTCTGCAGCAGGCAGGGGAATGATGCATGCAAACAGAATGAAATGGCCACCCACCAGAACATCACCCCATACCTGCTGTCAGGGGAAGGCAAAGCTGCAGGAAACTGTTGTTTTGATGCAGTCCTCACCCAAAGGAGCTCAAATCAATTTGCAACAAAGCACTGAACAATAAAAAACTGAGAGCCTCGAGCTGCTCTTGTACTTCCAGCCCATCCTTCTCACTCCAGGGTTGCTCCTGGCACACCGAGTTGTCTAACTACAGCGGGCACAGACAGCAGTAGTGGAAGATTCAGAGCAAGTTTCACCCCTTGCTTTGTCTTTAGAGCCTTAGCTTAGAGGAAAACAGATAGCCCAAATCCCTCTGCAGCTTTCACCAGTGTCACTAGTTAGCTTGTGCAGATAACTGTTTCAAGCAGCTTGATTAGTAAATAGGCTTTATAGGACACAGCTTTGCCTAAGGCTGGTGACTTCAACAAAGCCCATTTCTCCATCACACGCAGGAGTTTTATCCCTTGGTAGCTTTGGGAAATCTCTCAGATAAAAAGCCCACAGCTCCTCTGGCTCCTTTTCTTCATTTTTCTCTGTTCCTGTTCAGAAACAACTTGGCTGATGTCTCAGACATCAGGAGAAGTGGGGGTGGAAAAGCCGCCTTCCATCATAAAGCCTCTGACTTGGATCCAAACTACCAACTGGATGTAAAGAATCACCAGCATAAAAGCAAAACAGCCAAACTGGTCCCTGAGAGACTATTTCCAGTGTCAGATTGCAGCTGTGGTGCACAGCCTGGCTGAACATCAGACAGCACCACCACCATCAGTCTGGATCTGGCCCCTTGTTTACCTGCAAGGGTCACCTTATATTCCTTAGCTGACACAGCACTGCTGGAGCTGTTTGGATGTGTAACAGCTCCTTAATGTCACAAGCAAGGTGATGGAGAGAGGCATCAGACAGCACTAAAATAACTTTCACAGCAAGAGAAGCAGTGTCAGTCCCCTGAGATCCAGGACCAGAACAAGAAGGCCTTCCTTCACCATTAGGAACCCACCTGGACCTCTTGGCTCTGAATCCTTTGGCAGTCACAAAGGAGCCTTGGCAGGTACCTGTCAGTAGAGGGAGTCATGGTTCTGTTGACAAGCCCTGTACACTATTAGCTTCCTGACTGCCTGAGATGGGCTCATGTTTTAGAAGTAACTGCTGGGGCCATATTCCTAAGCAGGAGCTCAACAGTCCCTCTTCAAACCATTGCACTGAGCTGCCCCATCTTACCTTGTCAAGCTTTGCCTCTATCTCCACCACATCTGTTTCCACTTCATCAATGGTTGCCCTGCAACGACAACAGCAAAAAGCAATCATTAATCCATTGCTTATGATGGAGAAAGAAGCCAGAAGTCCCATGAGTAAAGATGAGAGGGACTGAGGTATGTGTGCTGGTGGTGGACAGGAGAAGGGACTCGCACTTCCCACTTCAGATTTCCTGCTGCTACATAAACTCAGGACTTACTCTGGAGAAGGATCACACCACATCAGGAATGAATTCCACAGGGCTGGGAAAAGAGATCCTGTAGGCAATGTTGTTAATTGGTAGCAATGCCAAGTGATACAGAAAGAACCACTGTTACACCTTAGCCGTCCACTCATATCAGTCACAGATTGCTTATTCAGTACCACCAAACCCTATTTTCCAGGCTATTACTGTGCCTGAAGTGCAGCTATGTGATGAATTACATGCCCTTTGAACCTTAGGAGCCATCACTCAAACAGAAACACAACTTGGTCCTTTAACACCATGAGTCTCTTTCACTCACGTGGGCTCTGCCTGCTTATGGATAAATCTGCTTCATGATTATCAGATCTGTTTTCCTTCCACGTCACTGGGCAGATGTGACAGTAACAGGCCATTAGAATCCAGCTGCAAAGGTCACTGGGCCTCCCTCACAAAGTGAAATATTAACATGACATCATGCATTTGCAATAGGCATTCCCAGATTGAGGCACGTGCTATGGAATGACGTTTTGGAGGCTAGAGTCCAAAAGCAAGCACTGTAAACCTGAGAGCATTCCCTTGCAGAGCTGCTTGCTGCTGTAGGATCTCTGTACTTGGACAGATGTTTCTTTAACCACACACCTGGAAATGTGGTAAGCCTCACACCACCCTTACACACCAAGGATAAGCAACCCAAATTTCCCTGCAAGGAGCTCCTTAAGCGTGTGGGTTTGTAATTTAAAAGGTTGGTTCTTGAAATATTACACTCAGGCTTTCTGAACATGTGCCAGCTGGCAGAACAGGAGGGGAGAGCTGTGACTTAGAGCCACACAAGTCAATATTGTTGTCCCAGCAAAAGGGTAGGACACCCACCAAAGGGAACAGCAGAATTCCTGAAAGGACCATTAGAGTATGTAGTAGCTCTGTGTCTCTGGGGCTCTTGATGTCCCCTGTGAATTAGTGAAGGATGAAAACAGTGTCATCACTAAGGGAGCTTCTTGGAGAAGGAAGGACAGGTTTAAGAAGAAAGCCCCTGAGGTCTAAATCTAACTTTCTACCAAGCTGAGGAAGGGTTCAGGCCAGCAGCATGGTACCTGTATGTACCTTACATGGATTACACGTAACCAAAATAGAGTACATCCAGTAAACATCTGTTCCAAGCATCCTTCAATGGGAAGTATGCACAAAAGCGTACACGGGTGAGTGCAGGCCCCATCTGCAAGCTATGAGACAGCCAGCATTTGCTATAGTTCTGACTAATCTGGATGGAGTAAAGAGGAAAGAGTCTGCCATCAGGCAGTTATTGGCCACAAAGTCCATGGATCTTGTTGAATGTGAATTGGCAGCGTATTCAAGAGCCATGATGTAAGAGCTGGAACTCTTCTTCAGACTCCTGTCCTCCCCTTCCACTGCTCTCCTGCTCCCAGATGACAATACTTACAAGCAGAGAAGTGTCACCTCCATCAATGTCCCTTTCCATTAACAATTCCTTCTAGCCTGTGGTTTTTCCATGCTGCTCCCAGCCAGGGAGGGCAAAAGGGGGATGCTGACCATTTACAGGCCACTGGTGACTCCACTGCTGTCCTTTCCTCATCTGGTTTCTTTTAACAAAGGGGTAGGTCTGCTGTTCCTCAATGAGCTGTGATGTTCTGCAGCAGTGGGAGCTGAAACCCTGTGTGAGGAAAGGATGGGTCTCTACTCCCTTCATCCAAGAGCTCTTGATGTCATCTCAGCAAACAATACTCCCTACATCTTAACATAAGCGGAACATCAAATCCAGAGGAAACAGCCTAAGTTACTCATCACCATTATGTATCCTAAAAGACAGCCTGGAATCTGCTTTCATTCAAGAGTACCGGATGCAAGAAAACACAACTACTGTCTACAACTGGCTCCTCTATTTCCTGCCATGCAAGCAGAAACACCCACTTACAGACAGTTTACACCTGCTGAGGACAAATGAAGCATATGTGATATACCTTCCCTGGCCCTACACATCATCTTCTCTTCCCTTGATAACCTCTCTGCTCTCTCAAGCCGTACAACAAAACAGGACATTGCAAACTCTAACAGAAGAGAGAGACAACAATCTCTGCTCCAGCTCTGCTCCCTTGCTCTGTCACAGTGCTCACCTGACCTGGCATCCCTCTCTTCTTGTTCTGGTACCCAGGTGGGCAGCAAGGGACTTGCCCAAAGAAGAAGAAACTGATCTTACTTTTAAAGCAACTTTGACAGTTCAGAAAAGGTTCCTTAAGTTGGTGTACTTAACAGTGGTCTTTCCATTGGCTTGCAAATTACACTGGATTGGTCATTGGTGTTTAGCAATTCCTTTTCTTTCCAGTCCTGCTGCAGCGCTCATTTGAACATCTCAGCCAACAGGGAGGCTTCATGCAATTGCTATATTCCAGTATAATAATAACCAAGTATCTGCTCCTTAATCTGAGCAAACTCAGATGTCCTCTTCAGCACAGACAACACACACAAGAGTATTTTAAAGCTTTTCAATGTTCTCAGTGTTCCTCAATAGCTTCAAAAGTGTCAGCTTGCAAGGGTTGGAGAAACATATAGACTTAGACACCACAAGAGGGAATGGGTGGCTTCTGAAAGACGGGGTGTTCCATCGATGCCCTGAAACCCAGACTCACCAGGCTGCTGGTTACTGTAGTGTCAGCTAAAAGCTAAATGGCTTTGCCTCTAGAATCCAAGCAGAAACCTAAACCCCTTCACCCTCACATCAGCCGGACTGAAACTGAAATCCTGGTGACTCACGAGGAACATACAGACTGCCTCATGCCCAGGGCTCTGCCCACAATCAATCTGCTACCAGCTCTTTGAAAACACAGCCAAAAAAGCCACTTCTTTCTCTCTAATAATGCAGTGCTCAAGCTTTACTACAACACATACAGCTTCCCTATACAAATGGCAGCCTGGCTGTGCCAGGGGCAAAGCTTTTGAAAGAGATGGAATAATTAAAGAGCTTCTTGCAGGCCAGTTTTTGCTCTTGCAGCTATTTTTGCTCTCTGGGTTTGGAAGCTGTGTGCCTTCATGCATTGCACTCTTCCTGCCAGATTCAATTTTTCCACTTGGTTTCTTTGTGCTTCTGATAGCTGGACATAACAACCAGCTACAAAAGGGAGCCGGCATTTCTGGGGATGCTTTTCCTTTCAGGAAGGCAAGAGCATTGTTTAACCTGCAGCCACCAGCTAGAGGCTGGTGAAACAAGGCGGTCTAGCAGCCTGTCTCCTGCCAGAAGGTGGAGAGAGCATCTATAATTTGCTCCCCATTTTTATCGTAACCTAAGAAAAGGAGCTGATATATTTGGACTCTGTGGAGGAGGAAGACATTTTGGGTCTGGTATCCACTAAGGCACGAATACAACTGACTGTGGCTAGGAGAGCGTGAAACTTGAGCTTGCTCTTTGGTGCACAGGCTTGATTATAAAAGGTTCCAACTCTTTGGTTTCAAGGACAGTGATCTCAGGGACCTATTCAGTTCCAGCACTGTAATGGAGTTCCAGCTTCATTACAGGAAGTGAGAGCGAACATTTATCCATCCTTTCCAGTCACATGGTGCTTTTATATCTGAATGAAGTCTTTGGGGAGATGAATTATGAAGCCAAGTTGTGGTTAGGGGTACTGTAGCCATGCATTCATCTTGGATAAGCTGTAGTGGAAGACAAAAAGACCTCAGTCCTTAAGCAAGTGCCTAACTCCTTCCCTGAAGTGTCTTTTCCCATTTACGAAGTAGAAAGCTTTGGGAAAGAGATTATACCAGGTTCTTTTAACACTTTTCTGAAGGATTTCCCATCCTTCAAGGGTACAGCATGCCTAAGTCTATTCTTTTGGGTCTACGTCTAGTCTATGGCTTTTGGGGTTCAATATCTTATCCCGCTCCCTAATGCAGTTCCAAAGTCCACTGATGATGCTTCCCTAGAGAAATAACAGGTTTCACTGTAACTGCTTACTGCAGAACACAAGCATTGGGCTAAACTCTCTGGCAATTTCATTCCCAAATTTAAATCCTCCCACTATTCCGCCCGCATGTCATAGATAAAAGGCAAAACCCTTTCAGTTACACAAGCAAGCTGGGAACCTGGAATAACTCCACAGGGATGAGTAATGACACCTCAGCACTGCTGAGCTCCCCTGCTCCATCCTGAAGGAACGCACAGGTGGGTTGAACAGCCATGGCAAATGGCACATGCGATCCCTACATATGAACCTACACACTTGCCACATCCACAAACACAAGACCCCAAGCACAGGAGTAGCCACAGTGTGTGCACAGGGATGTTCAGCACTCATTGCTCACACACTCATCCAGCTGGAAGCATCTGGCTGGGAAACAGTGATTCTGACAAGAGGGAATTGAATCCCTTCACCCAAAAACGCAATGTCCCAGCTGCCGGGCAGCTAAAAGCTGTGTAGTCATGTCCTGGCTGGGTGCCCTTTGTGTTTCCTGATGCTGTGCTCTTCCTGCTAATGCTTTTCCAGGCCTTGGGCTATTTCCGTCATGAGGGGGGAGAAAACAATCCACGAGCTCATGTGGTGGTGGTTCAGTGCAAAGCAGAGCCCTTCCGACCACAGGGATGAGGCTTCAGCTTCCTTGCTCAGAGAAATCAGCAATTCCCCACAGTCCAGAAGGCTTTGCATTGTGAATTTTAATTTGTCCTTTAAAGAAGCCATTTAGAAGCATGATAAAGAAATCTTCCCAGAAGCATCTTTACATCCCATGGGAACAGGAATAATAAGCTAGACTGCTATCAGAGAACAGAGTCCGCAGCAAGAACACATCTGCCTTTCACCTCTTGTGACTTGATTCTACTGACTTGCATTAGATGGTCCTAGCCAAGCACCAAGAGAATAATCACCCACATCCAAAAAGCAATCAGAGCAAGAAAATCCACTAGGAAACTGATGCAGAAATTGCCTCTGGCATCACTACAAGCTAAGCTAAGTGTAACTGTGTGGGTGCCTACAACTGCATTTCATAAGCTGTGCTTAGAGTGCATTTAGGACAGAGATGGTAGAGGAGTATGGTCAAACCCGGAGGGTAAATGACATCCTGACTGTGGGGCACTGGCTGTGACAGGTCAACCACAAGGCCCCTTTTTTAGTTACAATTAGTCACTATTTGCTTCTGACTTTGCAGAGTCATAGTCTTACAAAAGAGGGTTTACGATGACTGGAGCAACAAGCAGGCTTACCAAAGCAGTTATTAGCTGCCATATAAGTCATCTCTTAGCTTTGACTTCCCCATTGCTACATTGATAAACATTTGCTTCACAGTGACACTGAGTGTTCAGTGATTAATCCATGTTTGGCAAGCTCCAGGGATCCTCAGGTGACGAGCTGACTACAGCAAAGAACAGTCATGTATTTGATTAATACACCTTAGAACTAAACAATAGCACGTTACCAACCAGCTTAGGCATGAAGTGATCAACAGGCACTTCTCAAAGAGGCCTCCCTGCATGTTTCATGTTTCTTTTGCTTCATGGTGGAACAGTGGTAATGATTTTCTTGAATGCTTTTGTTCACTGAGTGCTATTGACACAAACACACATCTGGTTTCCCTCACTTTGCTGGCAGGCAAACTGAGGCACAGGAATATACAGACTAAGGTTGGTTTTTAATCCTAAATTCAGGAAAACTCCAGGCTATTTTCTGCATGTACTCACCACATTACAGCTTGTTAAACTGGTCAAGCAAAGGGCTCTTTTTTCCCTAAGAAACACTTATGTACAAAGGGCTCCTCATTCACCACCTCCAAAAAAGCTGCATCTTCACAGTCAAGCCGGTAAAAAGCACCTTGGAGGGTCTTGCTTACAAAGGTGCCCACCAAATGTAGGTACATCTTGGGGCCACCCAGCTCTGCACTGCATGAGCTGATCCTGCTCCAAGCATACCAGCAGGACACATGGGGCTCAAGCCAGCTCCCACTGCAGTCAACATGAAGATATTCCCTTAGCTCAGCAGAACAGGAATGTTGCCGGAGAGCCTGTATCCCTCTCTCTACCTCCACTGGTGCCAATTCCAACTCGGGCTGATTTGTGACTCTTACATATGTGATCTAACTGCTACATGGTGTTAGCACTCCCTTACAAGCCCTATGTATTGCTGTGCATAAAACTCTCCCCAAGCTGGAGGGAAGGAGAAGCTGTAGCCCTTGAACCCTGAACAGACCCACCTGCAGGCCAGCTGTTCCCAGCTGTGGGCTTGGATGCAGGCAGGCTTGCTACATCCCTCTTGCCTTAGATGAGTCACACATGAAACAGGAGCACCACATTCAAATAGAGCTTTTATACCTTGTGATGTACCTGATCATCATGTCGAGTGGGCTGGGAGATTCCTAGAAACCCACCTTGCACCAGGAATAGCTACATGTGCATAAACCCCACTTTGCTAGCAGCAACAAAAGTGCCTGTCAAATGCAGGGAAACAGCTAATCCATGCCTTGCAGTGACAACTCCTCCACAGAAACATCCTCTGTGGCTAGGAAAAGGACTGCCTCCTGAGCCTAATGTGTTTGGAAGTGAGCCACTGGCATATTCAGATCAATGTTTAGCCACGCGGAGCATTCAGCTCTCTGTTTAACACAGCTCCAAATCAGGCTGCTAAGGGCCCAACACTAAATGTCATTACAGTCATGTTCAGGGTCTCCCTTAGTTTAATGAAACATGGGCTTTCCAGACCTCAGGACAGGAAACAGGAACTCCTGGATCCTATTCCTGATGGCTACAGCATCTACAGAAGGCCACTTACCGCAATCTCTGTGCTCCATTATCACTAATAGCCTAAGAAAAATGAATCCTTCCCACTCTCTCTGGGGTGTTTGGAGGGTTTCATCCACAATAGTGGCAGAAGGTTCAGAGAGGAGCTGTAGGTGTGCAAAGTAGAGTTATGGGCATGACTATTTATCAAATCTGACTGGGCTTTATTTGATATTGAGTGAAACCAGCATTGCCTTGGTGAGAACAGCTCTGCCCTTAACTAGACAAGGATGTTTGGCACAGACACAATTCAGTTCTTATTCAACTCCGCCTTCCAGAACCATCAGCAGCTTGACAAGGTCACTAAGAGCTGCCAAAGTACTTGCCAAAGGAGCACAGACTTTCTCTAGAAATTAAAATGAGGTGAGTGTGTTCCTTCAAGGAAAGGGGGCCTGCAGGGGAGATGGGGTTTTAAATTCCACCCTCATCTTCTGAAAGATACTGGATTTCTGGAGGTTTCAACTCAGATGAGGTAAAAGCCAAACACTGGTTACTAGTGGTCATTCTTTGGATTATTTTTGCAATAGAGAAAGGTGCTGCTTTCACAGCATGGTGAAATACTGCTGTGGAGGATGCTACAGCAAATATGTAACATCTCACTTCCTTTTGTTGGCTGCTATTATAAGATACAAAAGAGGAAATAAGGAACCTTACACAGACAGAAACCAGAGTCAACAAAACTCTAAAGCAACCTCCCTAAATCCCTATCTGAAAGCTCCTGTGCCCTCTAGTATCCACTGTTCTTCCTCCTTTCTTCAAAGTATACTTTGCATCTCTGTCGATGGGAGCAGAGAGCACCATGGCAACAGCTCCATGGTGACAATATCCATGACAACCAGATCATGCAAGTGCGATGCCTTCCTGTTCAAAATGAGAGTCTGATTTCCATGGCTTCTGCTTTTGCTCATGGAAATAGCACGGGATTGGTTATGACATGGTTAAGTGCAGCCAAAGGTTTCTGAGGACAGTGAGCAGAGAGTACAGAAGAGTGTTGGAGATGTGAGTTCTAAGGAGGAATGAAACTGGACAGTGTCATAAACGCTAGCTCAGCATCCCGCCTTGGCTGGGAAGAGAAGAGAAGAGAATCTACGTGAGATGCTTTCTCAAGGCTACAGTCACACAAGTTTGTAGCTCACCAGGCTTGACAGCAAACTGCCACCTCAGACACCGTGTCACTTGTTAAAATACTGGAGATTTCAATCACTCTGTTAGTTCTGCAACAAGCATGATCCTACGGGAGTACCTCCCAGAGGGATCAGAGAAGGGACTGAAGAGCTGCCCTGGATTAGAACATACACTCCCTCCATTCAAGCCAGCCATTCCCAGACACAGAAGCGCTCTGACAACATGAATGGAGCCTTATCTAGATTAGATATTAGGAAAAAATAGGCCCTGGCACAGGTTGCCCAGAGAAGCTGTGGCTGCCCAATCCCTGGCAGTGTTCAACCATTCCACGATTCTATGCTTCACACATGTCATACAGCTTAGGTGAAAGAAATTCCCCTAACACATTAGTTCAATTGTCAGTGGAGAAGAGGAGAAAAGAGCTCCTTCCTAATCCTTACACTGAGCAGCTGGTAGGAACTATGGTGTTAGTGTACCTCATCTTACCTTGGCTGACTGTAGGGACACCCACATAGTACTGATCATCTTGACAGTGAGAATTTTTACCTATTTTCTATCCCTTCAATAAAAAATCATTTTTTTAATATATCCATCATTCCCCAAAATGTGTGAACTTCCCATTTCTCCTGTTTGATCCAATAGCCCCAGAGAGCAGTGCACGGTGCAGCAAGAGGGAGCTCAGTGCTTCACAAGAGACAAACATGGAGTTGTACCTCAATTCTCAATGGATAGCACATGTGTAAACTGTACTCCATGGTAGCTGGAGGAGAGAGACTCACTGAGGAGACAGTTTGCCTTTGACACGGAGGTCTCACCACAGGGTTTCACTGCAGATCAGCAGAGGCTCCCTGGCAATAGCTAAGCCAGTGAGAAAGCTACCAAAGGTGGGTTAACATCAATGTCTTCGTTGACAAAGGCTTAGAGAAGAAGTCCTGGAGTCAGCTAGGTTTTAAAGGGCATGCATATGCTAAGTCCTCAAGCAGATACTTGATTTGAAACCTGTCTCTCACTCCCACCAAATTCAATGGGATTTCACATATATGCTTAGTGCTAAGCACATGCTTCACCCAGCTTGCTAAGTTGGAACAGGAATCAGAGTGAAGAAATGTCCTTGTAAAACCAGTTGCACTTGCATAGCTAGTATGATGAACCAGATCCAGAGATATGCCCAGAGAAGAATAAGCTAGGGAGTCAATGTTACATGCTGCTACACTTACACCCCTGGGTGCCTTGCTGTCCCACACTGAGAGACGGAAGACATGGAGTGCCTCTTGCTAACCATGGTATATGAAGCACTCACAGGTTTCTTTAGTCTTGCTCCATCTGCATTATTTAACATTAAAGAGCAGTTTGGCACAGAGCACAAGAGGTATGTGTGAACTAACAAAGTGAACCCCACAAAGATGCCAGCCACAATGTGTTTCTAACACAGTGAGCTAGCCTAGACAGAGTGAGAGCAGTTGTTGCCCCAGGACACTGTAGGTCAAACTGCGGGTTGCTAAATTTCTCTATACAAAAATATGCTTTTATGCAAACAAACAGTAAAATCAGGCACAAAACTGAGGGTGAGGTACTTTGGAAGTCTGCACGACCATTGTGTCTCTTTCATTTCTGCTACTGCCTAATGCAAGGACACCACAGATGTCCTTGTCCATGGAAACGCATTGCTCTGTGACTCCACAAATCACACTTTCAAACACATGACATATCCTAAAATAAGAAGCACAAAATCCTTTTTACCTGCCTATGGCCATTGGGCATTTCTCTATGGAAACCATCAACTCTTTGATTTCTCTGGGTCCCATGGGATCACTTGGTACCAGAAGCTGCAACTTAAAGACAAATTAAATACCACAAAGCAATTATCAACTCCTAATGCTCAGCAACCTAACGGTTGCTATGGTGGGAGAGGTGAATTTGGCCAGCAAGTGAAAGCACACAGGCTGGATCTTTAGCATGAGACACTGAAACACCCCCACCATGCTGCCACAAATATCATCCTTAATACTAAGCCAGGATATATGCAGAATCAGCACGTATAGTCACTGTAGGTGGGTGATGAATGGCAGAATTGACTGTTAAATGTCTTCCTATTACATGGAGACTTTAAATGACATAAACCTGCACAAGTGATGAATTAAAGCCTGAAATGAAGGCTGCATACCTTGTCACTGATGTACATCAAATTCCTACCAGGTTTTTCATTAGAATGAAGAATTTCATGCAGAATAGTGCTGCCTTGCAACTTGCTGGCAGTGGCGTGGAGTGCAGGTAGAATCAGGGCCTTTAACTCACTAGAATTCCACAGAAAAGCTGTATTGGGAAAAGAAGCCCCACTGGCAGATGTTAGGTGGACTCTGCTATGTGCAGCACAAGCCTCCTGCCTCCAACCAGAAATAGCTGGACTGCAGCTGTGTGCAAGCTTTTGTTTAGTCTATCATAGTTATTGCTGCAGAGAAAACTTTGTTTTACTCCTAAATATTCCTTCTCCCACACACATACAGAACCACAATGCACACACACAGTTTGGCAGGAGATGCAGAGCCTGCTTGTTTGGAATATGAAGGAATTTCAGAGGGATCAATGGGAGCCAAAGAACAGTGAGGGGAAAAGACACACTGACAATAAAAGGAGATGCTGCAAGTCAGGAAAATGATGCAGAGAAGGAAGGGTAGATTAGCAAAGGGAAGTGCAAGTAAAGAAGGAGAAAAGTGCTTTTGCTGTCTCAGGAGCAGTTTAATGGGATCATACAATCATAGAATGGCTTGAGTTGGAAGGGATCTTAAAGCTCCTCCAGTTCCAACCCCCTGCCACGGGCAGGGACCCCTTCCACTAGAGCAGCTTGCTCCAAGCCCGTGTCCAACCTGGCCTTGAACACTGCCAGGGATGGGGCAGCCACAGCTTCTCTGGGCACCCTGTGCCAGCACCTCAGCACCCTCACAGGAAACAGCTTCTGCCTAAGAGCTCATCTCAGTCTCCCCTCTGGCAGGTTAAAGCCATTCCCCTTGTCCTGTCACTACATGCTCTTGTAGAAGGTCCCACTCCAGATTTCTTGACAACTCCTGTAGGTATTGGAAGATGTTATAAGGTCTTTCAGTTGATATGAAGTCGATGTGGAGCACTGCTGACCTGCACCAAGTGGGAATCCAGCCTTCAGCACTGGTTCTGCATCTTTGCATCCAAAGAGAGTCTTGCCATAAGGCTTCACGACATTAGTTCTTTGCTTCCCATGCCTCTCTGTGTTTCAGAACCATGGGCACTAATCATGCACCTGGCCTTGGCTCCAAATCCTTCCTATCCCTTGGCAGTCTCTGAAGTGCCAAAACAGGCAGAAAGAGGGACTGTGATGAGAAACACACACACACACACACACAAATGCAGAGTGAGGCAGACAGTTCAGTTTGCCAGTGGCAGGTGTCCCTTCACTGCGATGGCAGAGATAAATGTCACCCTGACCTCCTGAACACAAACACACACACACTTTATCTCTTGTTCCCATTAGCTCCGGAACAGACAACCACACAGGACCTGTTCCAGGACACGGTATCATCTCGCACTGACTGCTGCTTGTCCTCTGCCTGGCCGGTGAGGTTTGAACTCATTAGCTGCTAATGGTCCTGCACGTGGAGCACAGGCTGCAGACAAAGCCCTCCCTTGTGGCTGCTGCCACAGGCACTCCATTGTGAGCCCCAACACTGGAGCTGTGTTCCTCTTGGCTGCCTCTCCACCATTCTCCCTGCTCAGTGAGATTTCCCGACCCTCTGCCAAAGCGGATCCTCACTGGCCTTTTCAGCGCTGGGGTTTGCTTTCCATGTCCCAGAGTGGCATCACTGTCAGGGCAGCTCCATCAGCAGGGGCTCACCTGAGCCACAGTCACCCCATTCTGCTGGGAATCCAGGCCCTGACCCCTACAGAACCTCCAGAGTTCTTCCCAACAGGAGTCCAGTTTGCATGAGTTATTTGGCACTTGGCACTCCTTGCTGTGACACTTATGACAAGCCTTTTGAAAGAGTTTCTTGCTCATCCTGCTGAGTCATTTGGAAAATGGACCTCCCAGAGGTTTAAGTGCTTTTAGACCTTGGGATGGGGCTGTGCTTTGGATTTGTGCTGGAAACTCCTGATAATTCCGGGATGGCTTTGTTATCGCTGTGAGTCAGGGCCTTTTCTGCTCCTCATTTCACCCCACCAGTGAGAAGGCTGGGGGTGCTCAAGGAGTTGGGACCCCAGCTGATCCAAGGGATCTTCCTGACTGCAGGATATCATGCTCAGCAATAAAGCAGGGGGAAGGTTGGTTGGGACAGCCACTGCTCGGGGACTGGGTGGCATCAGTTGGTGGGTGCTGAGTAGTTGTTTTCATTTACATCACTTACCTTGGGGTTATTCCCCTCTCCTTGTTATTTTTATTATTATTATCACCATCAATTATAATTGTTATTATTATAATAATCATTGTTATATTTCAATTATTAAACTATTCTTATCTCAGCCCATGAGTTTTTTTCCCTTTTACCCTTCCAATTCTTTTCCCCCATCCTGCTGGGAGAGGAGTGCATGAGCTTAGCTGTCAGTGTGGCTTAAAGCACGAAAAGCAGTGACACAGGAGGTCAGTGCATTCCTCCAGCCT